TGCTGATACTCGATGAAGCTGGGTGCCGTTATATAACCAAAAAATATGCGGATGTTTTTTCTATGCTAAAGCATATATCTGTCGACTGAGTCAAACTCTGGATATAAACTATCATTCTTATTATCTAGAAAAAAGGAAACGCTTATCAAGTTGCTGTATGCAGTTGGTAGTCATACATATATTCTATTTTAACAAAAACATTCATGTTGAAATATTCTCAATAATTTTTTTCAACTTGAACTGGAGAACTATTTGAATCTTTCATAAAAATTGGGATATTTTTGCATAAAATTATAACTTGAAAGTCACATTCTATTATTTTGAATCATTGCTTTGGAATATGAGCTCGTAAATACAAGTTCGAAACGCTTAGATAAAAAATCGAACAAAATTATATTGTTCAATGAATCAGAAAATACAATAAAACTTCTAAATACTGAAAAAAGTTGTTCTAGTCAGGGAAATTTGCGCTATATCATCATTAGTGGCATAAAACATCGCCGCGGCGAACGGGTTGATAGGAAACAATATAAATGACGTCATAGATGCATATCGACATCATCTAGTTATCAGAGATACGGTCTATTACGTAGTATTGCACAATACATTGCACACAAGAGTTATTCAACTTTGCAAAATAGCGTTTTTCAGTCATACTTACGAACGTGGACCTCTTGGATTTATTTTCCGATATAAATGTTCATCATTCAAACAAGTGTCAAAACTTATAGAGTTATTATTACTATTATTATGCAATTACCAGTTGAAAATAGTCGAAATATTTGTCAAACCAATTTTATTTAGAAAATTATAAATTTGTTTTTTTTTTATTCGTTTAATTTAATAATCGACTGTAAGCTTTGTAAGTGCTTTGCCATATTGGTCAATTATATTTTACATTTTTTTTAAATTTAGTAGGTATAAAAATATAATTAATAATTTATCTAGTAAATAGAGATAAAGATTTCTTCGATTAGATTAAGATTGGCAAATCGTTTAACGTCTTAAAATATTACTTTCTTAAATTCTATCTAAATTCGCTAATATTCCAATCAAATTCCATAATTCGGTTCCACTTATTGCTAATGAGTTTTTATACAGAGTTAGTGAGGTATTTCATTAAAATTGAACGAATTCCAATATTGTTCGTTCAATGAAAATATGATGTTTTTCTATATTTACGATCATAATCATCTCTTTTCGCAGAATTTGAAAGTACTTCGTGGGCAACGCTAATTTTTTTGAATTGATTTTGTTGCTCGATTTTCTCTTCATTCGAAGCATCCGAATGCTTATCTGGATGATGTATCAATGCAAGCTTCTTGAAGGACTTTTTAATCTCATCTGTAGAGGCAGTTCTATTGACATCTAAAACATCGTAGTAGTTATCTGACTGAAAACGTTGCAAAGCACATTTTGCTTTCCTCAGTAAATTTTCCGCTTCGTTTAATTTAAATTTTTTAAATAATAGTTCATAGTCGACTACCGCATTCTTGAACTTCCTCACAGCCATCCAACAATCTCCACGCATCTGCAAACACTTTGAATAATCTGTATAGGATGTTTCCATAGCCGTGCTGCAGTCACTAATTGCATCACGAAATTGTCCTGTTTTCGAGTTTGCAATTGCACGTTGACGCAGCAATTTGGGAACATTGCTATGTGGACTGATTTCAAGAACTTCGGTGATCTTCTCTTTCGCTTCGCGATACTTTTCATCTTCTAACAGTTTATTCACTGCACAAAAATAGATTTGGTTAATATCAGAAATGGACACTTCAAAAGGAATATAATAGACTTACCGATCTGTTCTTGTTTTTCGAATTGTTCAATCTTCAAGATCATTGCCTTGGATCGTTTATGATCTGCATCTAGAGCAATCACACTTTGGAAACATTCTAGCCCCTGTTCCCAATTTGTATGATAAATACACAGCGCGTGAATGTATGAAGCATCAACATTTGATGGATTCAATTCCATACATGATGTGGCGATTTCATCAGCCTCCTGAGAAAAGATATTCCATTCAAATTCAATTCAAGAAGGAAAATTACCGATCACTATAACAACTTGAAATGAGAAATAATAAAATGAAAATACCTGGAAACGTTCAAGCGTTGCCAAATATTCTGCTTTCAGTAGCTTCAATTCAAAATTAGCATGTGCTATTTCCAATGCATCATCCACACAGTTAACTGAAATTGAATTTATCTCGTTGTATGAACAAAGTCAAATTTTTTTTTAACATTTATCAATATACTTACGTGCCAATTGAAATTCACCCTTTTCTGAGAATACTTTAGCATTTTCTTCGAATCTTTTGAATTCACGGCACCTTTTCTGATGCCCATCGATAGTGTAACTTTTTGATCCCGTTTCGAAATACTTTTGGATTTCCGCATCAGCAGAATCAGTATCGCCAAGAGCCAAGTAACATTGAATCATACAGTCATAAGCGTGAAAATTGGTCGAATCAAACGAAATTGCAGTTCTACAATCTTCGATGGCTGCCATGAAGTCTTTAGTTTTCATCAGGCATTCTATCCGAGCCTTATAGAATGAAAGATTTTCAGGCCATAGAGAAATTGCTTCAGAATATTTCTTCAACGCTTCTTCATAGTTTTTCTTCTTATGGTGTTTATCAGCACAAACAATCAATTTTTGAGCCGTTTTGTGCTTCAGTTCTTCTTTTAGGTTGTCAACTTTGGTAGTAATCATTTCAAACTTTGTGGTATTCGCTTTCAAACCTTTGCACATTAACGCCCGTTCATAAACCACAATAGTATATTCAATATCGTCAAGATAATGATAACATTCTGCGGTACGCAATAGCACTTCACTCACATCTTTTCCGTTAACGAGCAATATGGTATCGACTGACATATAGTCGTCAATTGCAGATAAAAAATTTCCTACTTTGGAATGTGCCATAGCCCGACTGTAATATAATTGGCGAATAATATCAAGCCGAAATACGATATGAGGCTTGTTAAAACATTCTAGAGCTTCTGTGTAGTTTTCAATGGCTTCATGAAACTTTTTTTCTCCAAACAGATCATCACCTAGAATCAAAAAAAAAATCCCGAATGAATTAAACGAAAATATAATCAACATTTTTCGTCGAAGCGCACCTTTTGATTTCTTTGCATCTATATTCGAGAAAGTTTTTTGCATGTACTTGCATCTTCTATGACTCGAATCCATTTCAATTCCTTTATTCAAGTGTGAAAGAGCTTCGTCAACATTTCCTTGGGTAAATGATTTCAGACCTTTGACGTACAATTGGTCCGCTTCCGAAAGACCTCTTGCGTCTTCCAATTTTCCAATTTCCTATGTTTCGAAAAAGAAATGTAAATTATGTATGAAAATAGTTTCCAAACCAGTAATGTTATCAAAATTACCTCTTCTTCACCTTCATACATATAACATTCTGCCAAGCATAGTTTAAAGCATATACTCTGCGGAAGAATTTCTAATCCTCGTTTAGCGTGTTCAACTAAAAATAGATCACCATTAAGTACTACTTTGGACACAGTGGTATCAAAATTCACTTGTTAAAAACATACTTGCACTTCGAAAGTCTTCATTAATATAACTTTGAACGGCATTTCCATCACATTCACGTAATTTTGTGTAAATCTCTTTGAGTTCTCCATACTTTTCTTCCTCATGTGAATTTTGAATCAGACGTTCGATAGCTCGCTCAGCTTCGTCATATTCACCAAAAATAAAACAGCACCTAGCGATATATTCATAGCCCATCATGTAGTTGTCATCTATTTCCACTGCAATTCTACTGTCATCAAGAGCTCCTTTGAAATTTTCCAATGAGATTAGAGTTTTGCATCGATTTCCATAGAAAACGCAGTTTCCTGGCCATACATTTATAGCGTTTGTGTATAGTTTCTCAGCTAAACGATAGTTTCCGTCATGGTAATGTTTATCAGCGCGTGTATTTATGTCTTGAGCACGCTTATGACGCAATCGAATCGTCATCTCTTCCAGTTTCAAGTGCACTGCTCTTGCTTTTTCCTTGCATTCTCTGATTTCTTTCATGAACAATACGCGCTCATACTCTTGAATGCACTTTTCAAACTCTTCCAAACACTCGTAGCAATGAGTACGTAGCAACAATGCATTGGTACAAAACGGATCAATTTGTAGTGCTCTGTTGCAATCTTCAATCGCTCGACGGTAGCTACCAATTTCAGAATTGGCAAGCGCTCGGTTATACAAAAGTCTAAGTATTATTACACTTTTGTATACAAAATTGCTCGGCAAATTAGTTTCCAGTGCTAATGTATAACATTCAACAGCTTCACAATATTTATTGAGTTTGAAATAAGAGTTACCTGCAAAAAAAAATTAAACGGGTGTTATTCGATAAATGAATGCTAAATAAATGTACCACAATCAATGTTTGACATTACCTAACTTCATACAATCTTCTATACTTTCTGCATCTGTCCGAATCTTTTGGACTTCCGCATGATCTTCATTCAATTGATCAAGCCTTGACTCGAATTCTCGTATGATTTCATTCAATGCCTCGTAGTATTTACACATTGATAAGATTTGAGCACTATCAATATTTTCTGCATCAACAGTTAAGTGATTTTCGCAGAATTTTTTCAATATCTGTTTAAAATAAAGTCAATGCAGTGAAATATATTTTGTGTTTTTGTATTTTTAATCATGAATAATTCAAATATTTAAGTGAAATAAGATTAATTCATACCGTAATTTTGTCCGATGTTCCAACTATACGCATTAGAAACTTTGATCTAAGCTCTCCGAACAATTTCAATGGATCATTTAAAAAATCAATTGTATTTTTATAAGCACCATTTTTGGACGCTGTTGATTCACGATCTTGGACTACCATTGTTTTCATTGTAATAACAAATACAATTTCACAATTAACAATTTTTTGTACGACGTGAACAGCTGGAGCAAACAATGTCAATTTCTGATGTAAACATGACAGAATTCTGTAGTTAATCAATTCATCAGCCGCAATGCCATCTACAGAACTTTGAGGTCAAAGTGTGAACTATATCTTGTCAATTGATGTCAAATGTATTTGAATTCTACTTATCTAAAGAATTGGTCAAGTTGGCGAATAAACGACTAGGAATTCTCCCATAAAATTGAGTCCTGGTGGAAGATCTACCTGTGAATAAATTGAAATAACAATTCTGTCTATTCAGCGTCTGACATCTAGCAATTTTTACTGGTTAATGGAAGATTTCATAATGAATATGAATTATTTCAATGAGGGGAAGTCATTCAAACGAGAGAAAATAGAATGGAAAGAGAGTCTTATATGAAACTGTTGTAATCTACCTTTGTCAGTTAAACAGTTAACATGTGTACAATACAGTTGACATGTGTAATAGCTAAAAAGTAAAATTCACATGAAACTCACTTTTCAACTTTAACTTGATATTTTATTAGTTCGAATTCGACTTCTTTATTACTTGTTTTCATACAAATATAAGTTTGGTATGTACAATGCTAAATTTTTCCGAAACAAAGGTGTTATTTTTTATCATTTAAGCGAATGTACTAAATTGATTACATATTAATTCAACGAAGTTACGTCCTAACAAATTCAATTTTGGATGCTGGGAGTATTAAAATGAAGTGTTAATTTGTGACATTTCCTCCAAATCTATTGACTAGATCGAGAGGAGAGTAAGTTCATCTGACTTTGTTATGAAAGAGAAGAGTAAGTTTCTTTCGACACAAAAATGGTTAAAGGCGAGTATGTTCATTTTTGGCGGGTCCTCGCGGTTTTCCACGGTTTCCGCGGAACTGATAAGAGATAACAACTTGGTGTCTTCGGCAAAGTTGTAGCACTCGAGGTTTTCTATAACATTGCTCAGTTATCTCTTATCTCTTATCAGTTCCGCGAAAAACGCGAAAAATGATAAGAAAAAAAGTTCTATATAAAATTTGCTTTTTTATGTGCGCGATTTGCGCGCAACTGATAAGAGATAAGAGATAGATGTCTTCAGCAATGTTATAGAAGACCTCGAGTACTACAACTTTGCCGAAGACACCATGTTGTTATCTCCTATCACTTGCACGAAAACTGTGAAGACCGCAGAGGCTAGACGGTACTACAACATACTCTACTTTAACGCCAACAGAATCATCAGAAAACATACTCTCCTCTTTCAAAATATATTAGAATTTTTTCACATACTCTCCTCTCGATCTAGTCAATAGAAATGTGGATGGGTGTTCCATGGTTATGGTTTTTTCGATTTACACACGGTACAATATTCGATATTGTATTTGTCGGGCAGACAAATTTCATGGAAAAAGTGTCGACAGTTGAATGCAATGATTTTCATTTTCAGCGGATCTGGAATAAATGACAATAGAAGGATTTAGATTTATTTTGCAGAAACAACTAGACTATTCTAAAGGCGAGTTCACACGCTATGGCAGTTTGCCATATATATGGCCATAGCGTGTAATTAGAGTATGGCAGTGTGACATAGTTCTATGGCATCATATTTTTCGACTCTGCCATAGAAATATGGCATCACTATGGCATACGTGTGATTGAAGCACTCACACTGTTGTCATAGGCAACAACTATGACATAGAAAAAAATATGTTCAACATGTTCGAAATATTTTTTCCAATGGCAGAGCATTGACTGTATATTTGAAGTTTTGCATCAAGATTTCCACTTGAAAATATAAATTTTTTGAAATGCATACATCAATTTCACTTAATTTGATATTTAAATTGAGAAATAAAACTGAAAGACGACTCAACGGGATTGTGTATTGCTATGCTATTCAATATGACGTAATCTGCTTCGCTTTGTTTATGTTAACATGCGCGAAAAAATTCGGAGAATATCATACGATCGCTCGATATATTCTATTCACTTTTCATTGCTCGCGTTCTCTCGTTCTCTTGTTTTCGCTTTTGTATTACTCTACAGTTTGGCTACTCACACTTAATACGATGAAATTATGGTGACTGTATTTATGTTGGTGTTAATTTTTGTGCTTTATTTCTTCCAAATGCGTTGTTGCGAAACCAAAATCACTGCGTTTTTCTATCCATTCACACACCCATACTTTACGTGCCTCTCTATTTCTCGTTTCATTTTCTTCAAATCTCCTCACATTATCCTCCTCTTCTTTCAATACTAAATATGCAGCAATAGCTACCGACAACTTCGCTCTTCGAGACATTTTGCTCAACTGAATGAAATTTTCAATTCCACGGAAAATATATGGCAAACTGCCATAGCGTGTGAACTCGCCTTAACTACCCCCCCCCCCCCCCACCATATAAATCTAATTGATGTGAGTACCTTTGACGACGATTTCTTTTTGACATAGTCCGCAAATGTTATCATTTGAAATGTAGACCGCTTTCTGTTGGCATCGCACGTGTCGATCATGAAGGTTGAAATAGTCTCCGACCAAAATATCATTGCAACCGTCTTGAATGGATACTTGTAACCGTAAATCACACAGCATTTTTACCAGCGAATCTTTGAGACCGGGTATACATTGGCCCATTTTGATTTTATTCACTAAAATTTCCGGATTTATGAATCCGGCGATTCCGTCTAAGAGCTTTGTCATGATTTCGGGCCGATCGAGTGATTGGTTAATTAATTCATTCCATAAATCCATATCGTTGTGTTCCTTGCAAAAATCAATGGCCATTTGAATATTGTCCAATTTATTGATGATGATAGACAGAGCTTCGATTGTATTGCCCATGCGACCATGCAAATACACCATCTCCGGATAAAATAATTTATTGGTGCACACACTCAATGCCTCCTCGATTGGATAGCTATTGGATCGTTTCAAAAATGGCAACAGTTTCTCTCGATTGTACTTCGCATAAAGATGCACCAGTTTTGCGTGGTATCGCCCGGAATTGTCGATTTTGTCAAAAGCATCCAGATACTAAATGGATATTGAAAATGGATTAGCAAATTCTGAACCTCAAGTATTCCATTTTTCTCGCATGAAAATCGATTAGTTCAAAATGATTGATAAATTACCAAGTATAAATATTCTTCGTGATTTTGTAGTTGAGCAACAACAACATCCACCGGGATTTTATTACGCTCCAGTAGCATTGCAATGGCCTGTTCGCTATCCAACTGAATCAAAGGCACAATGGTGCGGTAAATCACATCGTACAAGTTATACTTTTTGATCAAATTAAACACGTCTTTATGTTGAAGCCTGACAAATGCAAGAAAACATGCTTCGGTTCATCACAAAATCACAATTATGCAATCGACGCTACTCACTTCAAATACATTGTCAATGATTTTTCGTATTTGTGCTCATATGAATACAAAAGTGCCAATGATTCCAACAAAATGTCCTTATCCCGTTCGTTAAACTGTTCGTGAACAGCGTTTATCACGGCTGATGTATTGTACAGCGATGGGTCCCATTCTTTGATCAACACCAGAAAACCTTGTGCATCGAATTGTAGGTATTCGTACAAAACCATCTCGTAAACATGTGGTTTCAGTTTGCAATCACTTCCACGGGGAAGATATCGACTAACAGATCTGATAGGAAATACAAATTTGAATTAGTTCACTTTTTACGAACAGCGTTCGTAATGAACTGAAAAGATGTTTCTGCCAAAAATGCCGAACAGATCTGAACTCACCGTAATTTTTGTACTTTGACAAATTTAAACACCTCCTCTTCCCATAATACTTTATCGTTTCCAAATGTTTGTTGACACAATTTGGCCGCTTCGTCGTATTTTTTCTGCTCCAGCAGATGGTCCAAATACAATCTAGCCACACTAACCAATGAATATTTACCACCATGTTCGGATATCACTTGCATTGCTTGTTCGAATTTTCTGCCGGAAAAATAAAATGGAATTGAAATCGTTGTAAAATGTGTGGGAAAAGCTATGATTGTTGATCATTACTTTGAGCATTTTTTTGTATCACAGAATTGTTAATGTTTTCACCCGAGATAATTTAAAACTAGATTGGTAAACAGACTTGCTTTAAATTTGATCGACTAAACTGTCACAGCATCGGGTTTGTGAGGTACTCCAGTCATAAAAATACTCAGGTGGTCGACGAATATTGGTGGCATTTGCTTCTTTGAATGTGCATAAAAATCCCCGATAAACATCCCGCATATTGGTTGGTGTGCGTTTATGCAACAGGATATGGTAGTTCTGACATTTCCGTGGCATGTAAGCGGTATCAAAGCGGATGTCATGCTTTTTGTAAACATTACGCAGTGAGCTCAGCCAAACTCCCATTGAAATGTCTTCGCTAACGTATCGACTCAGCGCTCGACGATTTTGAGCAACAAAGTGAACCAAATTCTTGGAGAGGACATATCCACCGCCGAGAGCATAAGGTAAATAGCGTTCGCAAAGGTTGAAATTAACTTCTTTCCATTGGCCGCGACTTTTTACCATCGCTCGTCCATTGAAGTACCCCCAGTACAATTCTGGCTTGACATTGTTCACAGTGGACTGAGTGCGCTTTATAGATTTGTCATATTGGTATAAATCTTCCAGCAAATAGTCGAGTTTGACATAAGTATCGTCGTCGGTCTTCAGAAGATACTCGAACGACTCAATATTATTGACCGATTCAATCGTATTCAACAGTTTTAACGTGAGATTTGCATATGAATCCGTCAAATCATTCAATAAAAGCAGATCGTTATGTTTGGAATGCTCTTTGGTGAGTTTGTTTGACTCAATGAACGGCAAATTTTCGGTACCAATTGCAAAATAATGCAAAACTTCCACATTCAAATCTTTTAAAAGTGGTTTGTAAATCGCTTTCGACATTTTCTTCTTGAAGAGATTAAGTGATGCACTCTGCTGTTGAACGGTGTCTTGTTGCAAAAATCCACTTTGATCAAACTCAATCGTGTTTGCAACATAGTAATTATCGGAGGATTCATCGATTTTCGGATTTAAATTTAGCCATGTTTGCCGAATGGCATTGCGCTGTCCAATATTTTTCGGTGCCGATAAAATGACAACCACAAGAAATATCGAACTGGTTGAAACATTTCGTTCCACCGTCGAATGCAGTCGGTCTAAATCAGTTTTACAACTTTTCACATTAATCACTGATAGGGTTATTGTACAGCCAGCGATAAAGGCAAGTCCAATCGTTATTAAATGCAAAACTAATGTTCTTTTTCGATAGAAAATCATTTTGAATGGCACAACTGAAATGACTTGATGGCAAATGTTGAGATTTCTATTTTTGTTGACTTCTGTCAAAAATGCACATAACCTCACTTCATTGATTTTCTTCTGTCAAACAAATATCTACGCTGCAAAGTCTGTTTACAGTCACAGAGGCCACACATAGACGTCATGAAATTTAAAAACAACAACAAAAAATGGGATGTGAAATCTGATATATGTCTTACTCATGTTCAATAAACCATTTGACTCGGTCATCGTTTTCATACAGGCTGGCAACAACGATATCTTTTGGAGATACAATAAAATATTGATTCTCCTCAATCAGCGTATCCAAATGATAATCGTTAACCTTGTATTCCGAATATCTAAACCAAACAACAAGAACCAAATCGTTTACAATGTGATTATTCGTGTTATTTTTTTTTTTAGCAAAAAACGATTACACGCAGCTATTTGCGTTGAACTTACCCCCTCAGCGATAGGCTATTGGTGCATATTTCTTCGTAATCATAGCTTTTATATTGAATGACGCACAAAATTGGGCGTAATGCTTTATTTGTCGTTGGATCTTTCTCTTTGGGATAGCCTAGTACAACTAATTGATCACTTTCCAACGGTCCAAGTCCACAAATGTAGCAATCCATTTGAAACGTGGAAACTGAAATGAAATTTTTTGGGGGGTTTTAGAATAAAAATGGGCAATTCGAGACTAAAAATAGATTTTTTTAAGGAAAATAATCTTTTCTTACTTGGATCAACAATGAAATCAGGCAATCCTCTCGTGGAAACTTCAACGGAATTTCGTTTTCGAATCACACAAATGCGAACGATATCAACCCAGCCGATGAGAAGCGTCGTTGAATTTGACCATTTCAAATTACATCGAAAGTCATTGAGCAATTGATCTTTTGGTTCTTCCCACTTGATAAGACCCAGCGAGCATTTCTCATTCAAATCATAGACACGTACTCCAATCACACTGGCCCATGCCACAAAATGATCGGTCCATGCAATGGCCGACACAACACCTTCGGCTTCACACAGAACCGTTTGTTTGAGACCTTTCAAAAATGTTTTTTCATGCAATGTTAATTTTTGGTCGCCAATAATGAATCGACGTCCTGAACCGGACTTGTAATAAACCGGGTCCAATGCAATCGTTTTTACTGCCCGTCCGAGTTTTATGTTGTAATTGTTTTCGTCTGTGTAGAAACCACTGATCACCACCGTTCCTTCGTCCGAGCACGTAGCAATGTATTCGCCCTTATTGTCAATCGAGATCTGATTCACTGAAACCATATGAACCGGAAAGTCCTGTGCATTATTTATCGAATTGTCCACGGTGTTCCCTTGATGGTCCAGCAAATGTACAGCGCCCCAATGCGTTCCAATGCATAAAAACTACCGAACATAATATTAGAAGTGAAAGTTGTTTACGTGTTTGTTATTATTTTACCTTGGAATGCACAGCGATACAGCTGACTGCATCTTTATTTAGAATTCGTTTCAGGTCATTTGACATTCGAACATACTTTAACTTTGGCTCAACCTCCTCCTCGTCAGAACTTTCATTTTCTTGTATCTAGAAAATAAGTAACAATAACATTAGACAGAAAAAAAACATGTTTTTTGCACATATATTAAGGTCATGGTTGATACGAACGGTTGATGTATTTGCAGACATTTCGAGAACTAATCTATTTAAACACTAATTAAGGCAAACTCATTGAACATAGCAGTCAAATGACACATATACACAAAAAAAGATCAACAAAAGAACTAAAATAATTCCAATTCGAACGAATCGATGATATTTATACGCGGAATACAGTGAAATGCAGAGCAACAAATTCCATTTGACAGATGAGTCAATTGTTGACAGCTGATTAGCCACTACAGTTCAGCAATGTTTGTTGTCACATTTAATTCAATGGCTCACGCCTAGAGGGTCTAGTTGTCATGTTTTATTTTGTAGGCAATTTTGTTGAAAAAGCATGTTGAAAATTCGTTTAAAAATATTTAATAAAAAAAATTGCCTTATTTTTTGAAATGTGGATCGACGCATTCACGATTATTCGCTTGACTAAACAATCATTGCCATTCTATTTTTTTTTGAATAAGTCATGCATCGTTGACATTTGTATGCCATCGAAAGATGTTTAATGGAATGCGCCGGTCACACAAAACTATATTTGTCTATCTTTTTTTTTCTTCATTTATTGACATTTCAAGAGGAGCTTCGTTGTAGAAGACTTCTTAGCATCGATCGAATAGTTTTTTATGCAAAAAAAATTATTATCCATTGTAAATAAATACGATAAAATTAAGTAAATCGATAAAACTAGTTAATTCATAAAATGGGTTCTGAAACTAAATCGAGTGCTCGTCAGCGGAGAAAGTCGGATAAATCGAATAATAGCGAACAAGACGTGACAGCGAAAAAGGATGCAGTGACGAATGGCGATGAAAATTCGAAGCAACGGAGGCAGTGAGTATTGGCTACACAAAATTTGATTTGGTCTTTTTGGTTTTCATTTTCATTTTCTATTTTAGAAAAAAGCCTACGGCTCGTTTGACAAGTTATCGTATTTGGACACGTTTAGTTATCGTTGCTGCGGTTTTGATTATCGCATATTTTACGTCAAGCAGAGATAAAGAGCGAAAATTCGCCACACGTCGCGAGTCAATCATTCTCAGAGCTCAGAATGTTGATTGTTCACCGGAGTATTTGAGCGAAATTTCCGAGTTCAACTCCTGTGTACCGAATAAGTGTGGACGGTTTGTGACGGATAATTTGGTTACCGAACCAGAGGCAAATCTTTTGATTGACCTGGCCAAAAAGGGATTATCATTTGGCGGTGGTACTGGAGGTGTGTCGATTTTGGATCTTCACTCAGGCGCACTGTCCAAGGGAAAGGGTTTTATTAATATTTACACGTTACCTGAGGCAAAGGGATTCTTGAATGAAGATGCCTTGAAAGCTTATAAAGTAAGAGCCTAATACGGTGTGCTTCATGAATTATTTGAATCTTTTTTGACATTTTCTTATGGATAACATTCTCTTGTAGATTATTCGCCGAAAAATAGCCAAAGCCATTTCCGATAAGTTTGCCATCGATGTAAACGCAATTTACCTTACACATCCAACATTTATTTCTCGTATTGATAATGAAACAGCAAAAACTGTGCATGATGAATATTGGCACCCACATATCGACAAAGTAAGTTATGTATTCTGAATATATCTGTATATGGACACAAAATTTCTGAATATATTTCTATAAAATATCATCTGATAATCATTTTAGGAGACCTACAGCTCATTCCATTACACCAGTCTATTGTATTTAAATGAGTTTCATCGTGATTTTGAGGGTGGCCGATTTATTTTCATCGATGAAAACAAAGCTGATAACCGCACAACACTCTCTTCGATTGAGCCGAAGAGGGGACGCGTCAGTGTTTTTACATCGGGTGCAGAAAATCTGCATCATATCGAAAAAGTTACCCAGGGGACAAGGTAGGTTCGTTATACGTATTCAATATACGTATGCATATGTGGAATAGCATTAAAATTGCTCAATACATAGATAGAAAGCAAGAGCCATTCTTTACATACAGTCATACAATACATTTTCTCTCTTGTCACCTCTAGGTACGCAATGACCATATCATTTACATGCAACCGTGAATACGCCATCGCTGATCCAGCCGAACAAAAGCAAGCCGAAAAGAAGTGAAAAGTGTGCACTGGAAAATTAAAATCGATCAAGATTTTCACACATACCGTATAGTAGAGACAGTGTGTATCGTTGACTGATTGTAAATACTATAACTCGATTTCAAAGTTTAGAAAAACTGTCATCATGTAAATGGATTTTAGTTGGATATGTTCACTCCGCACACACAAATAGCACCCAAAATATTTGATAGTTGATTGCTCGTTGATAGAAAATTCTGTTTGAATTAAAAATGTAACCACTGTTGATGGATCATCAATGAATGTTTCGAATGATAACCTAGTAATTGCAATAAAACCAGATACATCACTGCAAAATACAGCATTTTTTTTATTCATTCATGAAAATCAAGTACACAAAAGCTAATTTATAAATAGGACGAGTTAAAGTATTCAAACAATCAAATCAGTCCATGGGGCCTTAAATTAGATTGGACTTCGTGTGCCGCAACAAAAACTGATTACATTTTGGAAAGGTATTTTGAAAAGTGTACGATGTGCTTCGTTCTGATGAATGAATAGTGTTAATCCAAACAAAGCGAAATATATCACCAAAATATAATGCCAATATCATAGACAGTGATCTTTCGCACAGTAATTCAGCCGGTAATAAGACGGCATTCTATATCATTGAAACTCACTTATACATACAACAGCCGGCTGTGCCATTTGTTTACGTCAATACTCATGCAGGGGCACAACACTTGATTATACGATTTTAAAAATAATACATCCATAAAAAATACTACCAATTACACTCGTTAGCTGCGTGTATGCTAGGGGCTAACCACGGATTTTTTATTGACAAAATCTGTTTTTATCGCCCAATTTTAATGATATCCGTAAAAAATTGAAAAAATCTGTATACATACACACACAATAGTATGGAGTTTACTTTTATACTAAAGTGTCACAACCAATACATTCAAATATAGTTGACATATACGAATGGGATAAATGTCATCTCATTTGTGTATATTTGTTGGTGCTAACATCTGCTTTTGCGATGTTAAAGTCGGTCAACATTGGTTATTTTTAAAACCGTGGTTAGCCCCTAGCGTGTATTGAAAATTTGTGCAAACAAAAAATATTCGGTAAACCGCTTATAAGCTCTCTACCACACAGAGCGAGAATCATTGGGCATCGGCTACTCTTGGAGAGTACACGTAGAGAACAATTTTTGATTTTTTTTCCGGGGAATAAAACGTTCTTGAAAGTGAGTTTTAAAATTTTGGTGATTTTTCCCATATTCTATTATTCAAAACGTGCATTTTTTTCATGTGACTATTTTTAAAAAAAGACAAAGAAAATTTATTCATCGAAATTGAAAAGTAAAGAAACAAAAATAAAACTATAGCAACGAATGGAAAAAAGCAGGAAAAAAAGTTGATGTTCCAAAATAATGATAAAAATAATACGAATACCATCAGATTAATTAGAAAGAAAAGTTTTTCCAAAGCCATTGTTGCCCTCAATTTGGGTTATGAAATGGATACTTTTTGCGATCAATTTTTTTCACTCTCATTTATTTTTAGTCAGAAATGTCAATCGTTGCCGCGGCTTGTTTTGTTTTCGTTACGTGTGCGGAAGAAAAACACATAGCAAACAAACAACGCGATTACGCAGAGTTTATCAGCTGAGTTATCATATGGAGTGGGGATCAAGTTTTTAGTTCGGATGCAGTTCTTTGTTTTGATTGGCCCAAAAAGCAGTTTGGCACTTGCGTTGTCTGAGTAAACTTGTTTGTTTTTTGTTTCGTTTAAATTCCATTACAAGTTTTTATCTGAATTGACAAATGAAATGTGAATATTTTGATCGAAAAACGTTTTGTGGAGTCAATAAGGTGTTCGTCTTATTTTCATTTAAACTTGTTTTTAAACTTTCGATTTCAATACACTTGTAGGAATATCGCATTCTACGATTTATATATAGTAAATATAGTTTTTGGTTCGAGTTAATATTGAAGTCAGTGATTTTATTAACAAAGTGCATCTTGAAAAAATTTAATAAAAATATTTTTATTGATACTAATTCGTTTTTCCGTAGTTTATTACTAAAATGACACAACAAGGTTCTCCGTTCGATTCCAATGCAATGACATTGACCCGTTTTGTTTTGGCCGAACAAAAGAAATTCAAACATGCTACGGGAGATTTATCACAACTGTTGAATTGTATTCAAACGGCTGTAAAGGCCGTAAGTAGCGCTGTCCGAAAAGCCGGCATTGCCCAATTGTGAGTATATAGGTACCTATTATTTATTTCATGCACACATGAAAATTAAAAACAACCATTTACTTATGGAAAAATAATCAATGAAATATTCGTCGCAAATTGATGAGTTAACATTTAATTATTGTGTTTTTTAAAAGTATTTTCTTTAATTAAAGTATTTTTGTTTTTGTTTGATTGTTTTGATAGACATGGCATATCTGGTGATACCAATGTTCAGGGTGAACAGGTCAAAAAGCTAGACATTCTATCAAATGAACTGTTTATAAACATGTTGCAATCGTCCTACACGACGTGCCTATTGATTTCAGAAGAGAATGAGCACGTCATTGAAATCGATGCTGATAAACAGGGAAAATATATTGTTTGCTTTGATCCCCTAGATGGATCCTCGAATATTGATTGTTTGGTGTCGATCGGAAGTATCTTCTCTATTTACAGGTAAAATATTTATTATGAAAATATTTTTTTTTAGCTTTCTTATGATATGTTAAAACTTTCGAGTAGAAACATCACAAAATTCAAATAAAACATATTGATATTCCCAGAATTTCCTCTTTTGAAAAATATCCCAATGAAATTTGATTTACTATTCATCCGTTTATCTTCATAATTTCCAATAGAAAAGTGTCCGAAGGTGAACCAACTGTACAAGATGCACTCCAGCCGGGAAATAAAATGGTTGCAGCTGGTTATGCGCTGTATGGATCGGCAACAATGCTTGTTATCGCATTGGGTGAAGGAACCGGTGTGAATGGATTCACATACGATCCAAGTATCGGTGAATTCATTTTGACTGATATCAACATGCGAATTCCACAACAAGGCAAAATCTATTCGATCAATGAAGGGTATCAATACATGTGGGACGATTCCATTAGAAAATATGTCGAAGCGAAAAAAGATCCAGCCAAGGGAAAACCGTATGGTGCTCGTTATGTCGGCTCAATGGTGGCCGATGTACATCGTACCATCAAATATGGTGGTATTTTCCTGTACCCAGCAACGTCACAAAGTCCCAATGGAAAATTGCGTCTGTTGTACGAGGGAAATCCAATGGCGTACATCATTGAGCAAGCCGGTGGAAAAGCCAGCACGGGAACACAACGAATTTTGGACGTGGTTCCAGAATCAATTCATCAGCGTTGCCCAGTCTTTTTGGGTTCGTCGAATGATGTCGACGAAGTTTTAAGCTACGTTAATAATTAGGCGAAAAATACTGGAGAGTGAAATGAATTTTTAATAAAAAATTTTTTAGAATAAACGACTTTTTTTGTACAATAGCTATTAGTTCATACGAAATGATTTTACAAATTGTACAATGTACATATGTAGATTTTAGGTGGTCCAATAGATAAGATCAAACAAACATGAATATTTTAGCCATTAGATTCAGTGACTGAGTTTGCTTTGTGTTTCGGTATGAAGTTAAAACCATCCGGCACTTTGCCCAACAACATTTCGCTTATTTTGATCCAGTCAGCACAGTTGGACGATGCCATTAGCGTTTCCATTTCATCTCTGCCACGATATGCGATGGGTCGTTGATTGATTTTCTGCGGTGGACTTTCGAGGAGTCCATACGGAACATATCGATGCAAAAATGATTGCCACTCGAGCAAAAATCTAGTGACAAATAAGAACAAGTTTTATTTCAAGCTCAAAAATAGGCATCAATTAGTATGAAAAATGGTTTACCTTCTTGTGTTCTCGACACCCTTAGTATCTGAACCCCAATGATCCAGCCCATAGTTGACGTATTTTCTCATTATCTCGAATCGTTCGCTGCTGGAAAGGTCAATGTGTCTTTGTTCCTTTATCTCTTGGAATATCCATGGCTTTTAAAAGGGAAAAAAGATGAACAAGTTTAATTTTCAATTGAACAAGAGATGATGATGTGAAAAATTAAAGAGAGAAAATGACCGAAGGTTTATTTACCTTGTACAAAGCTCCACGACCAATCATCACGCTGGAAACAGTTGGTGCGACTTTCTTGCATTCAACATAGTCATCGTAGCTAAGCACATCTCCATTCCCGATAACTGGAATAGATTTGGCTGCCTGAGCACATTGTTCAATGTACTGCCAATCGGAATTCTTTGAATAGCGCATCTCACGTGAACGGCCATGGATTGTAACCGCTTTGGCTCCCCATTCCTCAAACTTTGGCACCAATTCATGGGCCACACTTTTGTTGGTGTAAATTCCTGTTTGGGTTTATTTTGCGGTTTGAAATCGTAAACTGTGTCAAAGACGAGCAAAACAAACACACACTTACCAGTGCGAGTTTTCACTGTGAACGGTATGCCCTTCAACACCTCCGACGAACTACGCACGATTGATTCGAGTATATTCTGACGTCTGATCAATGCACTGCCTGCTCCCTGACTGTAAATCAAATCGATTGGACAACCAATATTCAGATCAATAAAGTCAACGTCGAATTTTTCACTTAATAGCTGCGCAGCACATGTGATTAGCTCTGCATTGTTGCCACAGAGTTGAACGCCGAATACATCTTCAGATTTATGGCGACGAGTTAGAGCCCATTCTGGTGCAAGCCCATTTAAAAGTGGCACCACGCATGCCATTTCACCGCACGTTATGTCCGCCCCAAACTCCTTGCATATTCGTCGAAATGGCAAATTTCCAACGGTGGTCAAGGGGCTCAACACCAATTTATTACTGAAATCTACTTTTCGCTTTTCGGCAGGACGCTCTTTGACCACATCATAGTCCGGTGCATAGCCCAATTTCTTCTCAGATCTTGCTTCACTCGTATCAGTGCATTCTTTTTCCTCTGTTGGACAGCAACTGGACTGTGGCTCTTTTTCAGATGTTTCACTCGATTTGTGGAAATATTTCTTTGCGATCTCCTTGGCGCGATCAAAATTATACGTTCTTTTACGCAACGGTGTCAAAATATCTGTAAATGGAAAATGTTACACATTGAAATACCGATTTCATTAGAATTAAGAAGAAAAACAATCTCTGTACCTGTTGTCATGAAATTAACGGAATCATTCGCCTTGGCTTCGTCATACCAATCTTGTTTGACATTATTACGATTTTCGTCAAGATGATTTTTAGCAAATCGACACGTCAATCCTCTTGGGCAGAATCCTTTTGTCGAGTACACTTGGCACACCGGTCCAATATCTTCCGGTTTCTCGGCAAAGTACTGATCCAAATCATGAATATATTTACAGTTTACGAATCCACACACCTTTGCCGCATCGGGGCCATTGTACAGTGCACTACAGAGATTGGCTTCTTTGTTCACACGGAATGGAAGTGGTCGGGCCTGAAAGTATTTGAAACGTGTACATGATTAGAAACTGATGTCGAAAAATTATGCCGGAAAATACATGTAATACAGCGCGATGTATTATAGCGCGCGCAATAATGAAAAATCATATATATATGAAGTGGATGTTTATAGAGATTTATATTATACTTATCCCTACCTTATTCTGTCCCTTCATCAATCTTTTGTACTCTCTATTGCTGAGCCGCTTCTTTTTCTGCGGTGGTTGCTGTGCATCGCTACCATTTTCGATGGTATCAGCCGTAGCGGTATTTTTGCTGTCTTCAGAACATGTGCCCGTCTCCGGTGTATCAGTATTTTTTGCAGTTTTGGGAACAATGAACCTAAAAGTAACGATGTTTTTAATAGAAATCAACAGAGATTTCCCTTTCTTTATACTCAAACTTACTCAGACTTCACTCGACAGATTCCATCCATTTTAGAACACGAAAAATTAATTCAATTTATGATTCTCGTTCCAGATAGACTCAAATCCGTGTGCTTTTGTTTTGACGGATAAGTTTGAGGTTATGTTTGTGATTCCGTTTTGACAATTATGTGTGTCAACAACACCGAATACTTACGATGATGTATTTAACAGCTGCCGATAATTAATTTTCAAATGCAAAATTGCAATAAAAAAAATGAAAATCGCCCAATTTTGGCGAAAAAACGCGACCAATTTGTTTCGTTCAAATATTTTTTTTATTCAGTAAGTTCATACATAAAGTGCAATATAATTTACTTAACAATTAACGTCCAACACGTTTTAAATAAAAGGTTCGTTTCCTCTAAATGTGATTCGTTTAGAAATTCAATCGCTAAAAAAAATCAATCTTTGATTGGGTGTGTACAAAAAAGTAAAAAAAAAAATATTCCGCGAAAAAAACTGAAAAGAAAATTCAAATATTTGTCTAAACGTTGGATGGAACTGATTATTGCGCTTAAAAATGAAACGATGTTCGGTAAAAAGAAGTCTCACGAAAAGAAATGTTAACAGAAAAAAATAAAGCAGAAACTAATTTAGTCTCAATTTGCGATGTTTTACGTTTTGCCATTTTATGTTGTGCACGTGATTTCACTCACCACAGCTATATAATAATAATTGTTTTTGTTTTTTTTTTTCGGTAGAATATTTAGTCTAAACTTATAGTCTTATGTTTACAAAATAAACAATTCACAGTAAATCATGTCGAAATCATAATTAAATGTTTGAGAAAAAAATTAAACAGATGTGTCCGTGATATTTATTTCGCCTGAGCTTCAAAAATGTTGGGCCCGGAATTATCTCGAAATGTATTTTTTTTGTTTTATCATATAGAAATGATTCATATAACGAATTACAAAAAAAAACCATTCAAACCAAAGTCGTTATCTACTTTTGAACATTCACCAACTTTCGTTCCTTGTCGTTTGCTGGTGATTCGAAAGTAGCAATTTCTACTATCTAATTGTTGGTTTGCATTGAATTTTTTTTTGTTTTTTTACCTGAACACAGTTTTACTTGACCATCGAATAACAACACAAACCGCTGATACAATTTCTTGTTACTTTTTTTTTCTTCTTCTTTTAAATACACTGTTCACACGATAATTTTTTCCTGTTTTTCCATTTTCCTGATCTAGTTTTATTTTGTCTTGTTTTTAAATATATAGCACAAAGAATAGCTAAACTACATCTTAGATAAACGTGAAACGTTTAGATAAAAGGTGAAATATGTAGCCAGGTTGTTGTTTGTAATAACTGTAGGAAAATAAGTATTTACATGTTCAGAATAGAGATAGATAGAATATGATTTAAATGTATTCTTCAAAAGTTTAGATTATGTTTGTTTATCAGGTTCAGGGGAGGGGTTCTAGGTTCGTATATGATTTTCAAATGGTTTAGACAAGTTTAAAACTATTTGTCGATTAAATTGGTTGGAAGTTGTTGTTTTGATAGGAAAACATTTAATCGATTTTTTTTAGTGAAGGTAAAATTCAATCACATGGTCCACTTCAATTGACATAATGAGACCTAAGCACCAAGATGGAATAGAGAATGGTTTTTTGATTCACATGACTATTAGGAAAATACTCTTTTTTTACTTTTACGATGAAAATGATCTAAAATGTTGGTTCCAGAATTTATGATGTTTGCGACTTCTTTGTTTTTCCCTTCTTTCAGGACACAACCACTGTTCACCAAATCAATTAAAGCTTAGAAATCAATTGGAACTATTCCACCAGATAACGAAATGAAATTTGGGGGAAATAATAAAGAAAATCGCTTGACTTTGTTTTCCCTCAAAAGTGCTCGCTACGAAAATAATTCAAACATATACTTAAAATTGCACCATTCACAACATGTTTTTTTGTTTTCTGTTTACTTGTCTTTCCGATTTATCGTCTCATAAATTCGTACATCGACATCATTTAACTCAATTCAACAGTAATCAGTTTCTGTCTTCTCTTTTTGTATACTGTTCTAACGTTATTTTTTTTTGTTACTCATTCTCTAACTGTAATTTCACATTCAAAATGGAAACATTTTTTTCTCTCGAAAGTTTTCAATTGGACTCAATCACGAAAAAAAACTGAAAAATTATTGCCAAACATTGCCCAAATTTAAGGTGCCGAATTGTTGGTTGACATTGTTAACATTTGGCGAATGGTTTGCAGTTGAAAATGAATTAGTTTTGGTCGCATTCGCTTGATTGAATGATTGCAGCGTCGGATTGACTTGAGGTACATTAGCGAAGCCCATTGATTGATTCGGCATGGAATTGATTGAGTTTGGTTGTTGGAAATTCATCGGTTGGCTTTGTTGCATCATTCCAAATTGTGCGAAATTATTCAAACCACTGACTGGTGGGGGATTTGCCATTCCAAAGGCTGGCTGTTGTTGATACGCTGGCATCTGCATACCGAACAGAGATCCATTGTCAACATTCATCGCTGGCATTCCGGGCATAAACTGATTATTTGTCGACATGGCACCGCCTGCACCCATACCACCGCTCGGTGCAGCTCCGTACAATGCTAAAATACTGTCCTTGGTCATTTTGGCCTTTTCCTTTTCATTCGGAACCTGATTGAAGAAATCATGCTCTTGTTGAGCTAACGTTGGCTCTACTTTCGTTGGGTTAATATTCGTCGATGGCACTGCAGATGTGGCTGCGGTGATGGTAGTGGCGGTTTTTCCATTTGTCGCACTTTCGCTCATGAAATAGCCAAAAATATCGTTGGAATTGTCAGTGGCGGGTTTTGGCTCGCTGGGTGGTCCATTCACAGGTGTTGACAAACCAAGCAAATCGGAACTATAGGATTTTGTATCGACTGGCTTCTCAGCTGCTACAGCGGGTGTACTGTTCGGGGTAGAACGTGATGATGTTTTCGGGCTGCTTGAATTCGTCTAAAATTGATTCAAAACAATATTAGGTTCGGTCAAAAATCAAATAATAAACATTCGCTACAGCATTTTACATACCGTTGGTTTGGGCAAAGGTGCAGGGATTGGAGTCGATTTGAATGACGGTGTTGTTTTCGGTGTATCCGTTGATTTTCCATTTGTGGCTGTTGTAATCGGCAAACCCTTCTTTTTACGCTTTTGTTTTTCCATTTCTTCGTCGATCTCTTTGTCCCAATTGACTTTAACTGGTGGTGGTTGTACCCATTCACGTGCCACATATTTCTTTGCCTCATATTTAGCTCGAATGAACGTTTCTAACGCTGAATCGGTTTGTGGCCGTCGGAAGCCGTCCGGCATTTGGGCTTCGTACACAGCACGAGCACGTGAATTGCCCATCTGCTGCAGTGAAACCACCTGTTCTGGCGTCCATGTATCTAAGTTGACCGATTTTACACGCGATATATGCACGCCTAAATTACGATGAATCCCTGCGCAGCGAATACACAAAAACACACCTAAATTCCATGATGCCCATCTAGGACCTGTTTGAACAATCAGAAATCAACCATTTTATTGTATGTGTGTGAATTTTACTACAAAATACAGCAGAGAATTAAAAAAAACAAATTGTGTGTAAATGAAATTCGATTGGTCCTTCAATCAAGAGTTCAATGGAAACTCATTCGATATGATAATTGCAATTAACATAAACATGAGTGTGAACCTCAACTGCGTATATTTTATTTGATAATTTTTTTATTCACGCGTGTATTAAATGAAGTTGTTGAGTTATGATATCAGTCGATTGTCTCTGTGTTTCATGCATTTATTGGTAATCAAATATGTTGACATAGAGAAGAGGATGTAAAAGAGGCGGTGTAAAGGAAACGTCATCGTTCCATTATTTGATAAGAAATATAGTTGTCAAAAAAAAGAGACTGGAATTTGGATAGTGTGGGTCTTATCGAAAATCCAGCTCTTCGACTGTTTGAACAATTGTATTGTATGTATATATATCTGGTTTACCTTTTGCATCACAATCCACACAGTATTTATTGTCTTCATCGCGTAGCATTAATGTCAATAGACTTTGACATTTTTCTTGTACGAATTTTACACGCTCACTCTCTTTACGACTACTGCTCATTATGTTTGGCTTTCTCTCTCTCTCTCTCTCTCTCTCTCTCTCTCTCTCTTTCGTTTACACGTTTTTCAATTGTTTCGATTCTATCGAAGCAAATACTTTGAAATGCCAAAAAAATGATTTATTTCACTCGTAAAACCACTTCACAACTATTTCAATTCAATTCCGTGGCATACACGCTAGAAACTGAGCTAAACGAGTGAATTTAACCGTGAACCGTGACTCGTTTTCAATCTCGACCTGTCTCTCGCTTCAACCCCAAAAATCAACTGAATGTGAACAATCCGAAATCAAGACAATTGACACGAATATTGGTAGCTATCACTTGAGTTGTTGGGCGGCTACACTTAGGATAACTACCACTTCATGCACTGATAAAAAACCGAAAAAAATTCCGAAAAGTAAATTCAATTAGGCTGCACTCGCTTCGCTGTGATCAACTTTTTCTTTCCTACACGTCGATTGTATTCTGTTGTTCTATATATTTCTCTGTGGCTCTTGCTGCTGTGAATAGGCTCAATCGGTATGTTTGTATGTGTATTGACTTTCGCTGCTGCGACGACGGCGGCAACACCAACTCAACTAGACATTTTCGGATTAACCGATGCAACATTGTTTACATGAACTTACTTGAATCATTTCCACCGGAGATTCAAACCAGCATGACTTGATTTGTATAAAATTGAATTTAATTTCCTCAAAGAAAAATATATTTAATATGATGAATGAAAAGCAAATTATTCGTACAAAATTCGGTATGGAATGAATTTGATTGGATTTAATCAACGTTGAAATCTGGCAAAATCGGTGGGCAAGTGCAAATCAAGTGCTTGTCTCCGAAAACATCATCAATTCGACCGACTGTTGGCCAAATCTTTGCGTCTGGCTTCACAAATGACTGCAAACAAATATGAAAATAAGTTTAGAATCCAATTTGGTTAACTGGTTTTAATAGTACTTACCGCCGGGAATGCAGCCAACTGTCTTGAGTATGGTCGGTTCCATTCGCCAGAAATCACTTGTGATTGAGTGTGTGGTGCCATTTTCAATGGATTTATGGCTTTATCCAATTTTCCTTCTTCAATCTGACGAATTTCTTCACGAATCGAAATCATCGAATCGCAGAATCGATCAAGCTCCAGCTTGTCTTCCGATTCGGTGGGTTCAACCATCAATGTTCCGGCTACAGGCCATGACATTGTCGGTGAATGGAAACCATAGTCCATCAAACGTTTGGCCACATCGATGGCCTCCACGTTTGCTGTTTTCTTGAAGTCACGAATATCGATGATGAACTCGTGTGCAACTAGTCCTTCGCCCTCTCGGAACAATGTTCGGTAGTGTTCACCCAAACGTTTGGACATGTAATTTGCATTGAGGATGGCAATTTGAGTGGCTCGTTTTAAACCACGAGTTCCCATCATCTTGATGTAAGCCCAGGAAATTGGCAAAATGGCTGCACTACCGTATGGGGCGGCACTCACAACACCGTAACTCTTGTTTGGCACATCCATGTGATCGTATGGATCATTGACTGGATGTGTTGGCAAATATGGAGCCAAATGGCGCTTCACACCGATCGGGCCCATTCCAGGTCCACCTAATTCATTGATTTAGATTAGAATTTGATTGAAGATTTCAAAAAAATTGTGACTTTGGAAAAAATATCTTTGCAAAATGAATACATACCGCCACCGTGTGGAATACAGAATGTTTTGTGAAGATTCTGAAATGAATATTTCGAATTGAAATTCGTTAATGAAAAGTGAAACTAAGAATTTATGTTTCGAATCGAAACTTTCGTTGTCATTCTTTCGAATCTCGTTGGAAAAATGTCAGCTTACCAAATGCGAAACATCACTTCCGAAATCTCCTGGTCTGCACAAACCGACTTGAGCATTCATATTGGCACCTATTAAGAAAAAATTAAAATTAACATCACTTCCAATACAAAATGTCCGTACAAAAACGCTCACCATCCAAATAAACTTGGCCACCGTGTTTGTGAATCAAATCGCAAATATCCACTACAGTTTCATCGAAAATTCCGTTCGTCGATGGGTAGGTGATCATCAAGCAAGACAAATCATTCGTGTGTTCCTCCACCTTTTCTTTCAAATGAGCCAGGTCGATGCTGCCATCGGATGAGTTAACTCGAATCGGTTCAATTTTCATGCCGGCCATTTGGGCTGAGGCTGGGTTAGTGCCGTGAGCACTGATCGGAATCAAGCAAACGTTACGATGGGCTTCGTTTCTTCCTTCATGATACGATCGAATGGCTCTCAATCCAGCGTATTCACCCTGAGCACCGCTGTTTGGTTGCAACGAAATGTAATCGTATCCAGTAATTTCACACAAATCTTTTTCCAATTCTCTGAATAGCGTTTGATAGCCTTTGGTTTGAGAGTCAGGTGCAAATGGATGTACATCGGAAAAATGGCGATATGAGCATGGTATCATTTCAGTGGTTGAGTTCAATTTCATTGTGCACGATCCGAGCGGAATCATCGAATGCACCAATGAAATGTCTTTGTTTTCCAATTTTTTCATGTAACGAACCATTCTGGTTTCGCTGTGATGGCTACTGAACACTGGATGTGTTAAAAATGGTGATGTTCGTCTGAAACTCGATTTAGAAATGTTGTCTTTGCTCGTGTCATATGTGTCAAGAACCGTTTTTAAATCTTTTGCACGGAAAACTTCCAATAAATCATCCAAATCTTTGGGTCTAACAGTTTCATCGAGAGCAATACCAACAGTGCCATCATTGAAGTATCTCAAATTAATTTCCTTAGCCTCTGCGGCTGATTTAATTTCGTCGATGCTCACATTGACCGGTTTGATGTGCAGAGTATCAAAGAATGCTGGATTCAATGATTTATGACCAGCATTAATGAGACCTTGGTTCAGAGTGAGAGTCGAGGAGTGGATTTTGTTGGCAATTTCCTTCAAGCCCTCAGATCCGTGATAAACGGCGTACATAGCTGACATGTTGGCCAATAAAGCTTGTGCTGTGCAAATGTTACTTGTGGCCTTGTCCCTACGAATATGCTGTTCACGAGTTTGCAATGCCAATCGATAAGCATCGAAACCGTCTAGATCTCGAGTGACACCAACCATACGGCCGGGCATCAAACGTACCAGTGTTTGCTTGCAAGCGAAGAACGCTGTGGGTAGATTTGATGTAAATTAATTAGTTATTTTGTTTCAAATATGGGAGATTGAGTCATCGGATCTTTGATATTCTTTCAATTTCATAAGATTTTTGTGATTTTTCCACCCAATTTTTATTTTCCAATTCAATTACCTGCATGAGGACCTCCATAACCCAACGGAACACCGAATCTCTGCGAATTACCAATGGCGATATCAGCACCAAACTCCGCTGGTGGACGCAATATTGTCAACGCCATAAGATCCGTTGCTACTACAACCAATGTCTGGAATGAAAATAAAATATAAAATGACAATCGGGGTTTTTTAAAATTCTTTTCCCATTTTCCATTCCAAACTTACCCCGTTTTTGTTTGCCGTCTTTGCAATCTCTGTATAATCTTCAACGTTTCCGCATGTGTCTGGGTATTGAATCAAAATGCCGGAAATTTCACGACTTTCCAAGTTGCACTGATCAATCGGCCCGACGATCAATTCCAATCCCAAGGCATCGGTTCGTGTGCGAATGCATTCAAGTGTTTGTGGATGAATTCGGTCTGAAATGTACAGTTTTTTGCGTCGATTGTGACGGGTGCACAGAGTCATGGCTTCTGCAGCGGCCGTTCCTTCATCAAGAAGCGATGCATTAGCAACATCCAATCCGGTTATCTCCGAAACCATAGTTTGATAATTCAACAATGATTCGAGACGACCTTGAGATATTTCCGGTTGATATGGAGTATATTGAGTTGTCCTGTGCGAAAAAAAACCTTTAAAATTCCATAAACAAAAAGTCATTTTCATCGTTCATACCATCCTGGATTCTCAAAGATATTTCTCATGATTGTGTGCGGCACATAGCAATTGTGATATCCCATTCCAATGTAGCTTCGCCATATTTGGTTCATCTGTGCGATTTCGCGTGCTCTATCTATCAACTCATGTTCATCTAATCAAAATAGGAAAATGAAAGTTAGAGAAAAAAACCACATGCACATTAAACGCAATGACGATTCACAATTATTTTCATGTTGCGAACGTTATCAAGTAGAAAAGAGTAAGCAAAACTGGAGGCTAGACTATCGTAAAACCAGCACTATGTAGTAAACTTGACATTCGCACGTGGCAAACTATGTCCGTTTTTATTCATGCCCAATTCTTCAGGCAAAAATGTGGAACAATCTGTAAATATTTTTCAAACGGCGAGTATTATTGTTTCTTTGCTCGTAATCACCAATCGTCGTCAAAGTATCATTATCGTTCACATTGCATACGTTTTAGAAATGTTGTTGTTTGTCATCGAAATAGAAAAAAATAGGGCGAGAAAAAAACCGTGTACATTTTAATCAATTTCGTTGGGGGTCTTTCAAATATAATTGACCTTATTACGTATGCACGCAACTGATAATCTCTATGACATCGAAGCAGTAAATATTTTGCATTGTAATAACAACGTTGAAATAAGGAAAAACAACAATCAAGTCCTAATTTGATAACAACAAAAGAAAATAATTAGGAAACAGTTTTTGAATGGACACTTACTAAATGGTTCGTCGAGCTTCAAATCACGCCGTAGTTGAATATGTTTCGGAACGGCTCTATCGGTTAGCTCGTCTAATGACTGCGAAAAAGCAAATGAAAAATGGTTAATTTTCAATTGGAAAGCACTGACCACCAAAGGGCTTGATGTTTCATATAAAAATGTGGTAAAAAGACACGAACCTTATATCCGATATAGTCTAACATGGCAACAACTTCAGTTTTCCTCGGCCCAATGTGACGACTGGGGAAGTCAGTTTTGTGTGGAAACACTTCTTTGACGGTGGCCAAATATCGTTTTTGCACATTGTCATAGTATCCGCGACGTTGAAGTGCTGTCAAAGCTGATATTCTACGTAATCCCGTGATGCGCTGCATTTTGCCAAAATTCACACACAGCAAAAAAAAAAACGAAAGAAAAAAATCACTTGAACAAATGTTCAGATAATGAACCTAACAGTACGGCAGTTCGTAGCAATTTGAAATGATCCATCGAAAGAATTGTGTATTTAAATGAGCTGCCGATAATTTTTCCGCAATTAATAACAAAAACTCACTCTATCCGTACATGTTATCAGTCAAGTCGAATGCAAAGCAACAAAAAGATGTTTCCAGTTCAATAATGACAAACGCCAACAGATGTGTGCGACAGAAACGCATATACACACTACACGATAGATAGTTCATTTCATTTTTCGTCCATTCATATCATCATTGATTTGCCTATTCGCACAATTCTCAGGTTCAAACGGTTCATTTTTGAATACATGCGCTATCAGTGTCGTTGTGAGCGTGTGTAATTGATTTTGTAGCATTGCTGCGACGTTTTGACATTGAATGCCATGTGCCTACGAACAATGAATGAGCATAAATGAACTGTTTGTTGAAATGTCAAAAACACCAAATCGAATATCGTTTTTAACCCAATCGAAATCTATCACATAGCCATTGCTATGGAAATGATATAAACACATTCCAACTGCAGTGAATTTTCTACAATTTTTTTTCTTAAATATCAAGTAAACATTTGAATTTAAAAACAAATTTATATCAGACGGAAAATTTTTGAGCAAACTGAAAAAAATTTAGCCAGAATGGTTAAGAAGTGTACTTGCCTTGGCTGTCAAAACATTGCAAACCGAACGAAAAAACCAAACCGACGAGGTGATTGTGTTCCAACTGAAGCATACAATAGTCGTTTTGATCGTGAGAACCGACCCGATGAATACTCGGAAAAATGCATTCCTAAACTCAACAACAATATTAACAAACGTTATGAACGTGATGTCAAGACATCGGATTTGTATCGCACTTTGAACATACCAGATCGCTTTGAACGTTCTTGTAAGTTGCATTTAAGGAGATAATAAGACCATCCAAAATAACGAATGAGTTTTAATTCCAAGTACACGTTACGTTTTAGGTACGTTGAATGGCTATGGAAGCCAGTACAAAACATACCATCCAGTATTTCGTACAACCAACTCAGACTATGGCTGGACACCACCGAATGCACATACGGTACCTCATAGGTAAAAAGCAGTTGATTTTTTTTTCATTCAATTTTGATGAATGATTTCATGCGAAAAAAAAATTTTGTTTCGAATTTCCAGTTATTACCCACGTACAAATGAATTCTCCGATCTATTAGCCAAAACCGGAATGTATCGCAATTATTCACTTAATACAGTAATGGACAAATCTCGTGTTTTTTAAGTTTCGAGCGCCCAACTGAGTTTTCAGTTAGAATAAATTTTTAAGATTTTCTTTTGCGTTCCTCAAATTTAGTAGAATAAAGATTCGTCCACATGTTTCAGCTCATCAAAAGTATTATTACATTTATTGTTATCACTTGTTTCAAAGTAATCAACATTTTGCACCATTTTGCACACATTCACATCGTATTCCGACCATCCACTGATACCATTTTATTGAACAGCTGCATTCTAAAAATGATGTGGAAAATTTACAAATGGATCAAGACGAAAAACCGTTTGTATTGAATTTATAGTCAAAAATATGAATTGAAAATGCGATAAAAAACGGTTTTAATGGAATATTCTTGTTAGAAAACAATCAAATGTTTTCAATTCACATAAATTTAATAATCACGTGAAGCAAAGAAGAAGAAAAAAATTATGTAATTCCCAACTATTGGAAAAGTAGGAAAATTTGAATATTCTCAAGTCAATGGAATACCACATGAGCAACGTCCAATTCAAACAAAAAATAAGAGGCTCCAAGTAGCGCCTATTCACTTTATCTGTCATTCAACGTAGTCGTGTCTCGTTGACAAGCAATCTGTAGTACATTGACAGCAAAACAAATCTACTTCAAATAAACAAAACATTGGCTCTTAAACCAGTTATATAATTAATTTCTGCGCCTATATATTGTATTTGGAAATGTTTATTGCAAATTCCACCAGAAAATCCAGCCCATATAAATTGTTATTACGACACTGTCGTGCATTTGCATCGAATAAGGCTGAATTATACAGAGTAAGTTCTATGGGGAAGTGAGAGATATTTTTTGTTTTCAATTGAACTAACGTTTATTTCTGATCGGAACAGAAATGCTATGAAATTCTAAAGATATCATCGGAGTCTGACCAGGAAACGGTGAGAGCAGCATACATATCAATCGTTAAAGTGGTTCATCCAGATAGTGGACATCCCGAAGCCAGTACAGAAAAGTTTGCTGAAGTTGATAATGCCTTTCGGATACTTCAAACAAAGTATGCAAAGGAGAGGCACGGAATTAGAGAAAATCCGGAAGTTAAAGAATGTGATATTAAGGTGAGAGATAAGTTTGGGTAATATTTTACTCGTGATATCGTGCTTAGAAACAACATCGTCTGAACGAAAACTAAATTTTTGTTTTTATTTCTATAAAGCATACCGCTCCACAGCATCGGCAATATTTAAGCCATGACGGAGTTGGCTATGGTGCTCCAGCTCAACGAGAGAGACAGTATCAACAGTCAAGAGCTTCAAAGGCGTTCGGCAAAGTAAGAACTAAAATCATTTGAATTTTGATGGCATTTGCTAATTACATTTCGGTTTTAAGGTGGTCGAATATAGAATCGATAAAATCAGCGCTTCGGACACGGAACTGATGAAGCCGGGTACATTCTTCAAAACGCATGCCATCAAAACCAAGTATGGTTTTGATCGAGTTGTCGAAGATTTGATACAGGAAGCGATGAGCAAGGGTGAATTTGATAAATTGGAGGGCAGTGGTAAGCCATTATCACATACACAGTCACAAAATCCCTACGTCGACTTTACCCAGCACAAAATCAATAAAATTCTACTGGAAAATGGATTCACACCCGAGTGGATAACACTACAAAAGGAAATTCGCGAAGATATCGATAATTTGATTGAAATTCTAACCGAGTATCGATCATATCTCGGTGAAGTTCCTTTGAATGATGTCGATATGGATGAATGGACAACAGTTGTTAGCCGCCAGGAGCATCGGGAAACACAAATCAATAAAAAGATTGATAAATACAATTTGATTGTGCCAATTTTAAATCAGCAAATGTGTCGCATCCAATTCAAACGGATCGCAGACAAAGTCCTGAACTCAAAACCGGTTAAAGTGAAGAAACAACTGTCTAAAACCACAAATTCGGTAAAACATGAGGACAATTCCAATAAATCTCTTTTGTCTACGTTATTCTGGTGGACGTAACCACTTTTTGTTGATCGCAATGCAACAATTCAGAATACCATTTTTTAATCATGTTATTCTAATTAAAATATTGGTAAAGTAATAAAGAAAAATTACGATGATTTCTGAAAGTACCTGAAAATGAAAAATAATATTCATGTTAAAATCATTTTTATTTTTAGTTCCACCAAACTCGTCGAGTTGAAACCGAAAATGTATACGGAGTAGAATAGATCACAAAATCAAAAATCACTCGGTTATTTGTTTTCGATATTCTATGGACACTCACATTTTTCATTTTGTGTGTACATAATCGATATAATTGTAATTATATTATGATACTTACCATTGTGAACAGCTACAACTATGACAGCTACTAATTTATTTATCAATTTTGTTTAACGCGCTAAACAGCGAAAAATTTACATATACAGTGATTAAAAAAATTGTGAAAATAGCAGTAATTCATTCATTATTTAAAATTCCTCTTAATTTTGGGTCCACTTTTTTACCCATCATATGCCAAAATAGACGAACTGTGAAAAAGTATACTATTTCAATGATTCCAAGTACACAAAATCCAGTAAAAAATCCAGCTGACGCTCCAATCGAAACTAAAACAAACAAAAACGTTGTTTTTATAGAGCTCAAAACCAATCAAATAAACTGTACAATACCGTAGAGATCAGTGAGTGAAAAAAGTATTCTTCGCTTGTATCGCACAAGTGGATATTCCCGCAAGATGACGATTCCACCAATTGAGCCAAGCAGTTCGTTTGTGTCTTCCAATATAGTATGCTGATTCATGGAAACGTATGGTATATATCGTATATATTGGTCATCGTTTACCACATGCCCATTAGAAAAGCCGTATCAATAGTACTCACTGAAAAGGGAATTAGTACAATTCGCATACATCAATGGTAAATTATCAAATTACCACCATTACTATTGGCGAAAGTAGTAATATTGTATGTATTGTATCTGCTTTGCTGTGCAATATTACTATGCATTGGTTGGAAAACTCTCGGAAAAGCGCTACTGTGGGAAATCGGGAAATCGGGAAAAATTCAGACCAGTCTCATTCGATCGGGCGGAAAATTTCATGTGAGGTAGCGACCCAAAGGGCGATTTTTAAGCGAAAAAACCATCCATTTCTGAGATAAATGAAGAAAAACTGGCCGATATTTCCGATTTTTTTTCATTTATCTCAGAAATGGATGGTTTTTTCGCTTAAAAATCGCCCTTTGGGTCGCTACCTCACATGAAATTTTCCGCCCGATCGATTGAGACTGGTCAGAATTTTTCCCGATTTCCCACAGTAGCGCTTTTCCGAGAGTTTTCCAACCAATGCATAGTAATATTGCACAGCAAAGCAGATACAATACATACAATATTACTACTTTCGCCAATAGTAATGGTGGTAATTTGATAAATTACCATTGGTGTATGTCAATCGTACTAATTCCGTTCTCTGTGAGTATTAAGCTAGACTTTAGAGAACTGTTCGCAAAAGCGGGACTTGAATCTGTTGTACGCCAAAAAAACTTCGAAACATTATTGCATTCGAAATGAATTTTCGTAATTTTTACGAAGCCATTCGAAGTTTTGCATTGCATGAAAACCATCGTACATTGTACGATATTATTTCTACGAATTAGTATAGTACTTTTGTATCGCATTTTACTTTCAATTGGCTTTGAGTGTACACAAATATGAACTTTTATCATGTTCATTATCAATAACTCTTCAACTTTGAGCTTTAGAGCCGTAATGACAACAACACAAACATTTTTTGAAACAGTTCACCAAAGTCGGGCTAATTCTAGACGGTTTGATTATTGTTTACATTTTGAATGAAAACATTGGAGTCAACGCAGTTCTGTAGACACTTGCAGTCAATTCTTTTCCAATGGCCATTTTCAATTGTAAGCAACTCTATCAACATTTTCCTTTGTGGTGCAACACAGTCCCGGAGAATTTGCCACGAACACACGGGCTTCGGTATTGGGACTATTTAATTTCATAAAATAGAAAAGAAAAAAATCAATTGTGTTTATTGTTCATTATTCTAATTGAATTGAGTAATTTACTTTGGTTCGGATAAAAATGTGGAATACAACCGCATAATTTTAATACCAATTCCAGGCGACACTCTTGTAAACACAAACCTCGCGTGTAAATTTTCGAAAAATGTGTGAGATTCGACTCGGAATTAAATCGACACTGACGTTGTGATACCCTGGTCTCCCTGTGAATTACGTTTATAAATGCAATTTCGAATGAAGTTTAACAATTAAATTGCCTTTTTTTTATACCGTTGTAATTTTCCATCAGCAATTGTTTCAATGGCTGAGCTTATAAATTGATACGAATTGTTTGCATAATATTTTCGTTTTCCAATGTCAATTGTTTCGTATGGACTATGAATGTAAATCTATTCGAACAAAAAATCATAATTGCTTCAATCAAAACGACAACATGAAAAAGCTTATCTGTTAACTGACTATGGCATCGTCAGGGAAGCCAGACATAGAATAACTTTTATCACCGTCAAACAAATTTCCAGCAATGACATCAATTAGCTCAAAATGCTGATAAAATGTCATGGTTTTTAGTGGCCTTGGATGCATACCAGTTAGAATATACCTACGAATACATTGATTTCGATTATATGTTCAACTTGCATGTTCCGTTGGCTTTTTTCATTACATCGCGGATAAATTTGCTGCCAAAAAGTTGTTTGAAACGTAACAGATTCCATTTTCGGTCAGAACTTGTTCACATCGAATGAAATCTGCATTTAGTACTGCCTTTATATTTGGATCGTCGCCACGCAATTGATCTTTTGTTAAATTGTAGATTAACATCATGTAATTTTCAGGTTGGATATTCAATCTCTGAAATAAAACCGAAAAGAAAATAATGACATTTTATTTCGATTTTGCCAATTTTGTCATTTACATCGACACTATTGTAGTGCTGAATTAGGTCAAACGATTCATAAGATGCATTTGCCAGCGATTCGATAAACTCGTAAAACTCGTCCTTCGCCGTTCCAGTTATATGATTTTGCTCGCAGTATTGGTCAAAGAGCTCTTCGTCAATTCGACTCTTAACGGGGCAAATGGTAAAGCTTGGCAAGGATGTATTCCAATAGTAATGGTCGCGCTCAATTGTGACAACGGTACTGCTTGTTTCATATCGATTTAACGAATTCAAACTTATGTGAACAGTCGCAAAAAATGCTACAGCTATCAACATCAACCAGAATAATCTATTTTGAACACAAATAACATTTGTTAAAAATATTTAAATCGAATGGAATGAAAGTATAGCAGGCCAGAAAATATACTTCTCCACTATATGTAAGTATTGCAGCCCGAAATAGGAAAATCCGTGTATATTTGCGCGTTCAAAATATAATACACAAAAACGATGTGCATTTTTAAGAAAAATTGCAAAATTTTCCTCTCGTCGGCGATCCCTTCCTTTTTTTCGTTTCATTGTGAAAGACAAATATTTTTAAAGAGTTCTGCGATAAATGATGATGTTTAAAAAGTCGCCAACGACTATTCCGTTGAAACTAAACAAATGAGCTTAATGCTAATGCAAACTACAAGGATTTTTTTAAAATAAAAAATGCAATCCATTAGATAAATTGGCTATTTGAATGGTTTGGAGCGAAAATGTAATACAGAAAAGTTGAGCGGAAAAATGTCAAATGAAAAGGGATAGCTATAAAGTTCACTATAGTTTACTATATAGCTATCCCTTTTCCGCTCATTTATCATCGACATTTTTCCGCTCAACTTTTCTGTATTACATTTTCGCTCCAAACCATTCATTTTACCCTTTTATTACATAATCTGTTTCTGTACAATTTTTTATTTGATTGATTTAATGCAAGTTTGAAAGCATTTTAAATGATTGAAAAAATAATTGCTTTTCCACTCAAAAAGTCAACAACAACGTGAATTCTACCACACACGATTTCAGTTACGGACGTGATTTGAAACCCATTATGCAGAATAATATCATTCGATGGCTTATTGGTTTCTAGGAAATATATTTAAATATGTATATAGACAACTCTATGCGCGACAATATCAGTTTTTTCAATCATATCCACCACACGAGTCGCAACCACCACTAGATGTGGTTATATATCAAACAAAAACGTGCATATATCATGATGATTGGTGAGTGGAGTTAGAGTGTGACGTGTGTGTGATACACACTGTGTATTCTCACCCGAATTGAATAATGTGAATCATTCGTAATAATGTGAATAAAAAATTTCGCTTTTAACCATTTGATGGCGAATTTTACACTCGATTTGTTGCGATGAACGATTATTCAATGCGAGAATTTTTCGGTTGACGTTAGTTCTTATGCGATCAGATAACTCAGAAGACGCAAATTTTATTGAAATTTCAAAGGAAATTAAATACACCCAGACTATGTCTACAAGAGTAGAAAACAGCGAAAATCATTTCGATTGGTATAAAATTTAAAAAATTGATTGGAAATGATTTTCGTTGTTTTCTTCGTAATCGTTTGTTGTTGATAACTAAAATGAAATCATTTTCTGATAAAACTAACGGAAATGTTTCTTATTTTGATTCTACAGAATTGAAGAAGGAAATGATTAAAGTGTGACTCAACAGAGAACTGTGGAATAGTCGAAATGAACGGAAATTTCTTAGATTGTAAAAACAACAACATCAAATGTTATCAGCCGAATGTTTCTTTTTTGACGAAATATGATGAATATGAGACGCACGTAAGCAAGTATTACACGATAATATCACCATATCTGCCTAATGCGATATAGAAAATATGCGTTTTGGACACATTGAACAATTTTGTGAGTAACTGTATGTTTAATTATATATAGGGGGATTTCTCATGAAAACAATGAATGAATTCTTATAAATTTTGAAAAAATCCTTCAATTCGGTCCGATTCGATCAATTTTTGTCAATTCGTGTAAATAAATGTACATTTACACTGAACTTTTGAATTATGCTTCAATGAAATTGTTCTGGAAGTGGGTTTTGGTGGATCTCAAGGATCGTTCAGAACTGCTCCCGGTTCTGGAAGTGGATCTTCAAGATGGGCCAGGGCAATGTCAAACCGGATCTGGTCTATCCTGAGGATCCACCAAAACCCACTTCCAGAATCGGGAGCAGTTCTGAACGATCCTGAGGATCCTCCAAAACCCACTTCCAGAACTCAAGCAAAATCCTCATTTCAGTACATTTTCATACAATTTCAATAAAAAAGAAGAAATAATAGAAATTTTTGCACATTTGCTCAAACTTTTTGTGTGAGAAATCCCCCTAGAATTTTATATTTCAATGGCAATGAGACAACTCAGTAAAATATACTGTTACAAACACAATCTGTTTTTTAGGATGTTTTTTGGTTTTTGAGGACATTTTTAGGTTTTTTTAGGATGTTTTTTGTATTCTTTTTCGGACGAAATTGAGGTCTTTTAGGTCGATTTTTGTATTTTTTCAGGATGATTTTCGTAATTTATAGGACGATTTTTGGGTTTTTTAGGACGTTTTTCGTTTCACCCGACACATTACTTAGAAAAATTGTGTCAATTTCGTAAATGCTAATCTTGTTTTTGAATTTCTCAATTGATTGAAAGCTATTTCCTATGACTGTTACCTTACCTTCATGTCGAAAATTGCAATATAAATACGCCCGCGGAAGGCATGTTTAGGAGGGTTCAAAGTTTAGAAACTCGTTTTTTCCTGATCCTCTTTACTTTTCTACACGACCATGTCGTGTAAGAAAAGTATTGGGATCGCCCCAGATTTTGTGATCCATTAAAAATCAGTTTTTTCCCGATTTTTTAACGCCGAAAATCGCAAAATCTAGCGTTATTATAGGGTCGTAGGGTAGGTGCGTGGTACACTATACGCTGTACGCAAAAAACCCTGTTAATTTTTTGCTATGTCACAATGTATAAAAAACAGAGTATTAAAATCGCTCTGATATTAAGGTTTGATCAAAATATGATTCTTTCCTAATTTCAATGCATGGAGAATTGGATTTAATTGGAAATTATATGTTTGGGAGTGTAGAAAAGTTAACCTTACGAATGTAAGAATGTAGGCATCTTGTTTTATATTGGTTTTCGATTTATTTACTTTTTTTCTCTATCAATCTACAGTTTTTATTACATAGGAAAATTTTGATTGAAAATATTCGATTTGGAAACGGCAGATTCGACATTTTCCTTCCATTTGACATAAAAGTATAAAAAAAAAACAATTAATCTTTCATATATTGAAAAAATGGAATAGTTTAAATCCATATATATATTCAATTTAACGGCATCTGATCAAAATGATTGTTACTCTTATTCATAGTCGTATCTCGATGGGTAGCGTGATCTATAGCCGTACGTTGATGGGTACCCTGATTCGTAGCCGTACATCGATCGGTTCCCTGGTCCATAGCCGTACCTTGATTCATAGCTGTACCTCGAGGTTGGTTTTCCGTAGATCTCGTTGATGGAAAATAGACACACACCTAGTACAACAAGTACAAAAACCAAATTTGGTTTGAACAACATTTTCGTTTACTTTATGGTTGATTGTAGGTTTGAATGCAACTGTATTCTCGAATGCAACTGATTTCGGTTAACTTTCGCGGGCGTATTTATATTGCAATTTTTGACATGAAGGTAAAGTAGCAGTGATAGGAGATAGTTTGTAATCAATTGGAAAATCCAAAAACAGGATTAGCTTTAACGAAATTGACACAATTTTTATAAGTAATGTGTCTACTCTTGTAGACAAAGTCTGAGTGTATTTCTTTTTTTTTTAAATTTCAATTAAATGTTGAAACATTCTCGCTCCACGCTACGCGTAGAGTCTTTTAGAACCTACGAATCATTTTGGGTCTAGTTTGTTATTGCATAACAAACTATAATTGAGCCGTTACATGAAATGTACATACATCACAATGTATGGATGGATTAGATAGATAGCATACAGAGTACAATAAAGTTCAGGTTGCCAAAAATCAAAAAATCAGCTAAAATTCTGTATTAAATTCAATGCTACCACAATAACCAATACTCTACATCGTACATCATAATGCATGAAAATGAAAATTTTCAAGTATCGTATTGGTAAGAACGTCCTTCTGTCCTAAAAAAATCCCTCCCGGAATACCCGTTGGTGAAAGTTTATTCAGTTGATGAACAAATGAAAACTGTTTTACACATTCTATAAAACAGCGAACTGAAAAAATAGTTTCAACATTTAATTCGGGGGAGTGTGCACTGAATGATTGACCGAATATTTTTGGAGTGTAGTTAATAAAAAGCAAAAGCAAAACCAATACAGAAAAAAAATATTCGGGCTCAAGTTAAATGTCTACTAGAGGTTATGAATATATAATGTTAACATTGTTTACAAATATTTCATGCGTGGGAGTTTTCAGTCACGAAAACGTACACATATAGTAATAAATTAAATAATAAATATGAACGCATGCCCATTTTCATGATCATGCGTGTACTAGAGAGCCTACGCAATGAGGTAGATACAATATTAGAGTTAAGGACATTTTGTAAAAGAGGATAAATCGAAAAAGTTCGATTTATTCGCTCAAACTAGTCAGTCAAATTTCCAGAGAGAGAGCAGTGTTTGTGTGTAATCGATGTAGCTGTACACATCAACGCACGCCGCCTAAACAGTGACTTGCATCGTCGACATGCTGGGATATATCCGCTGCATACGGAATGCTAAGATACTGAGCCATCCAAAAACGTATGTTTGGATTTATGTTTTATTTATTAGATTCGCCTTCAATCGGAAGACAACATTCGCGAAAAACGCGAATGCGAATGTGCTCTATTCGATGTATTTAAATGTGAGCATTTTCGCATCGTATGATAGCAGAGCTCTCATTTTGTATATTGCTATATCTGGAACTATTAGAATCTTTTGGTTATAGACAATAGCTGTGTATATTTTAAAGTAGCAGCTACCGAACACAAAGCTATTCTGAACGTTCCATTGGATTTTCGGAAGTGGATCGATAACGTTAAATTATCGATCCACATACATTTTTGAATTGAACGTTATCTTTCCACTTCCGAAAATCCAATGGAACGTTCAGAATAGCTTTGTGTTCGGTAGCTGCTACTTTAAAATATACACAGCTATTGACTATAACCAAAAGATTCTAATAGTTCCAGATATAGCAATATACAAAATGAGAGCTCTGTATGATAGAACATTTTATTATTAGGTCTTTCATTGGTTCCATACATAGTGCACATAGATCAAAGTAAATAAAAAGTAAAAATATAATTGTTCAAAAAAATGGAATCATTTTGTTTTATTCAACTTGAAGTAAATATTTTTCTCGGCAATTTTCAATTTCAACAGTTAAGTTACGTTCATTTAGAAAACATTTGAATGTTGACAACACTGAGAGACACGACGAACCTATGTACATATCTGTTCCTGTTACTTTATTGCAAAATCTAAGTTCTAGTGGTTTGTAACAATGCATTTATAAATAAATCCATTGGTCGCTCATATCAGTTTTTTCAATCATAACCACCTGCGTCGCAACCACCATCATATCCACCACCCGAGTCGCAACCACCATCATATCCACCACCCGAGTCGCAACCATGATGAGATGTATCATGCGAAAATGTGTGTGTATCGTGATGAGTGGAGTGAGAGTGTGCCCGATGTGTGTCATGCGAATCAGAATGGTGTAAATCTGTCGTCCAATGATGATGTGTTGTATTATTGTCATCTAGGTTGTCAACGGATACAGATACAGAACCAGTAATATCATCATAACGCCGGTGTCGTCTGTTTTGATTTGATGTATTCACATATCTGCACTCATATGACGACCATGAATCATCCTCCAAAGATAAGAAGATCAGATGCGAAAGTTTGACAAGGCTCGAATGTATCACTGAAAAAGAAAAAAGGATGAAAAATTCTCTCAAATTGATCAATTAAAAGAAATTACCAATTACAAATATGAACGAGATCCTATAAAAAGGAATCTCTATCTTTTCTAGGGGGAAGAAAATCAAAAGAAAAACGACGAAATGTATGCTAATCCAACTCATCGATAACCATAGAAACATCGTTTTATACTATTCAAGAAAAGAAAATACAAAAGGAAATCATGAATGAGAAAGGGCAAATGGGAGACTTATTCTCTGAGTATATATACATATATAATATTATTTTTGCTTAATTCCACAAAGTTGAACATTTTTCTTGATTCCGATACAGTATTTTGTGTGCCCATCATGATCCGAAGGTGATATTTATTATGATTCGATGATGATAATTATTATGTTTCGATCATAATAACATACACTGAGAAAAGCCTGGAAGGAAATATTCCAACCCTGCGTTGTAAATGTTGTCATTGCAGACGATTTTGTGAATTGTCCAACCATGGTTGGAATCTGACAAGTGCGGAAATGCTGTCAATATTCCAACCATGGTTGGACAATTCACAAAATCGTCTGCAATGGCAACATTTACAACGCAGAGTTGGAGTATTTCCTTCCAGCCTTTTCTTAGTGTATTATTAGTAATAACGTTATTATTATCACGTTATTACTGATAATATTTTATCATCGGAACAACTGTAGAAACACTAGCTCAAATCAGGGCCTTTTTTCCCTATGTGCGAGGTCGTGCAATGCACGAGGGTGCGAAGCATCTGAGGGCGCTAGCATCCAAAGAGCGCGACAATTCGGGAGCCCACGAACAAGTTCGTTTAGTAAATACACAACAATAGCCTATTCGTGAGCTTCCAAATTATTGCGCTCTTTGGACGCTTGTGTTCTATTTCGCCTTTTCTGCTCTCTTTGTTTATGAAAATTTCCTGAAATATTTTTTTCTACATGAGCGCCTAAGCAACTTTCGGCGCTCTCGTTCAGAGACTTTTCTACCCTGACATGAAGTTGGGTAATGAAGAATGCAGGACCAGAAATTGAAATAATAGATCATTTCTAGGGGCGCACATGGAAAATTTGCTCAAGGGCGCCAAAGGAGTGAAAAAAGGCACTGGCTCAAACGTTTCCCAAAGTGAATCATTGAAAACAAATCGTACCACGCGGTGTTACACTTTGAAAAAAATTTCTGTCGATTTTACTCATACTCATTCTCATGTAAGTTGTACAGAAATCGCATGTACAAAAATCTTGAATACTTTGTTTTGATAAAAAAAAACCTAAGAATTCCGAACGTCGACTGTAATTATAATGGGAAATGTGGAAAAATGTCATCTGTCCTTCTTACTTTGAAATTAATTTTGAATGTTCCAATTGTCCATGCAGTCCATGCGAAACAATTAATCCCTGAAATATTAAAATATTGTGTTGGTTTGAAGAAATTCGGAAGAATTACCCACATGAGAAAAAATGGACCAGTTATGATTTTGTAAAGGTGCAATTTTTGTAAAACAAAAAAAAATCGTGGTATATATTTAGTTTTCATGTGCCTAGTTTTATGAACACTGCTTAATTTATGAAAACAACCAGGTTTTTAACGAGGCGAGAACTGAAAGTTGTACTAAATCAGTGTAAATTATTATAAATTGATTTAACAGTCTTGCACTCTTTTCTGATGATTATTTAAACATGGCTGTATTCTAGTCCAATTTTCTCTCATTTGTCATTCAAAATCAATTTGAAGACTAATTTCAAAAATCATAAAACAATAATTTACCGCATAAAAGGTTTTCAAGTATTGAACTGTATGAAATATACAATTGACAGATAAATTGAATGTACCACCCCATGGAAATTGCGCAGCCCAACAGAATCCCCGCTATTCGAACAGAATTCATCTTTAAAGCTAATTTCGATTGAAGACCTTTGGACGATACCAATTAATAAATAGGAATCAATTCAGTCTTGGGCGAATTTTATACGAAACACGTTTCCTGGAAGACAAAAATGGAATGCAAAGTGCCAGAATTAGTATTAAAAACATACAACTTTGAACGCAGTTCGTTAAGATCAAAAGTTGACGCAAGAAACATAATATATCCCATGATTTTTGGGCAAAAATATATGCTTTAATATTCAATATACATTTGTTCATTTTCTAAGAATTTTCGACTCAGAAAAATTCAATCAAATCATGACTTATATTAAATAGTGTAGTGTCCAAAAATTCAATTTGAAAATAATCTTTAAAAAAAAAAAAAAACGTAATTCACCTCTCAGTTTCACTTGAAATTTATTACCAAAGTTCACTTCATGGAATAGAAAAAAATCTGAAACCGAAAACTGAGGCCAATATTTGAATAAAATATATAAATGTTAAAGAATTAAGTTGTTTCTCTTTCGATAGCTCAGAGAACACTAATGTTTTGTAACGTCGCATGAAATTTCGATAGCTCTGTGTATTCCTTCCAAATTCATTAAAATATCGGTTCCAGCCTTTTCTCCAAGCGATACAAGCGTTGACGCATCATACGAATTAAAATACACTACTACATAAATGAAAGAAATCTGTGGAGATAAACACACAATTTTGAATCATACAGTTGTTGTACACTAGGGTGTTTTTGCCATCAAATAATCAAGAAATGGTAGTTCTGGATTGAAAGAGTGAACAATTCTGAGTCGATTGCATGTATTTTTACTTTAAAATAATCAAAGATGCCACTTCCCGAGATCAAAACAGAAATTCATAGAATTTTGAGGTTATATCACTATTCGCTGAAACTAATCTGATATTTTCCATTTTTTTCGATTCAATCTCACTGCCAGAGACGAGTTCTCAATGCAAACATTTATTATAACGAATGATATTCACACTTCCCGAAGCAAAAAGAACTGTCTAATTTGAATTGTCTAATGTTTTCGGAACGCTACCCAGCATCTGCCAAATTCAAACATTTGAAATGACAACCATTCCAACTACTATGTGCCGAACGAACCGTATAAACAAACTTCTAACAAGAACTTCGATTTGTGTATGTGTTTCACATTAGGAGCGTGATTTTGGCACGAACTTCTCTTTCATCGCATACAACGCAACACAACACAACAGACTCATTTGTTATTGTTATGTTTGTTGCATTTGTTTATTTGATTCCGTTATCCGAGCATGTATTGAGTTTCTATATCGGAACCGATTAAACATGAATTTCATCACGAAATGAGTAGAGTTGTTGCGGTACGGTATTTATGTCAAAACCATATTCAGCTGTCAAACGGGGGCCGGTTGATTCATATCGATCTGTGCATTTGAAAAGGCAAGTCATTTGTTGTGAATACTGTTCGATTTATAGTGATTGTTTTATTCGTTTTTTGTTCAAATTAAGTAATTTAGTTAGTGTTTTTAGGTAGAAAATACATGATATCGAATTAGTTTTCCTCATTTTGATTTTTCGTTGGTGGTGATTGTACACAAAGTGGCTAACATTTTACCGTGCTTGCGATTTGTGTTCCGAAAACAATCAATCCAATTGTTTAAATGTCGAACAAATTACAACCTGCCTATAAGAATGAACATATAATATGATGAAATTTGCTCTTTTTTGTGAATCTCAATCATCTAATCAATTTCTCATGAATTTGTTCAATTTTTTTTTTATTTAATAGTTATTCATCATGGCCCGTGGAGCCTGTGGAGCTCGCGGTGGAAGCGATGAGAGATTCACAACAGTGAAACTGGCTCTACGAACAATCATCCAAAAACCGTATCGGCTGATTTTGACAACAGTGATTGGGGAAATGAGCATCATGGCGACGCTAATCTCACTTTTGGCATCGCTCTATTTTCTATATCTGGTAAGTTTTTTTTAAATTTTTACTGTTTTCGCCATTTTGTACGACCATCTTGAACCGATTCGATTCATTCAAATTGAACAAAAAAAAACCATTGTTCTTGTTAGGTTAATACGGCGGTCGATGAATTCAACAACGACTTTTTCAACAGCAATGGTGATGAAATCATCAAAATGTGCTTCCAAGGTGTGCTCCGGCAAAACTACACCAATGATCGTATGTTTATGGCCCCAGGTTTCCGGCAAATTGTTATCAAAATTCTCGGCGAATGGTTTCCATGGCCAACGAACAGATTTTTCGGCAATACATTCAAATACCTGTACGAGCAATATGCCACAAACGTCAAGACCAACCTCAAAACGCATTGCGAAAAGCGTTTGAGAAAGTTCTTCAAAATGCGTTGCTACGAATTGAACCACATGTGTCTGTGTGGAGATCTCGAGCTGGACGAATTATTCGATGGTGACGACATCAAAAATGCCATCAACTACACATACAACCGAAGAGATTCAACGCGTGGCAATACAAATGCCATACGGAAATTGGAAATACTGTTGGCCGAGCTGTATTGGATTGGAGCACCTTACAGACCAGATGATCCACACCCATTCAACATCAAAGAATTCGTTGAACTCAATTGGTTCCAAGCATTGCGCATGTTCGTTAATATACAGCGCGATATTCATAACTTTCACCTCGCGTTTGCCAATCTACGCCAAAGTTGGAATCTGTTCCGAAAATATCCGCTCTATGTGCAAGAGCCAGAATTTCCAGAGCCGCCTGAAATCACCACCTTCACCGTCATTCCGAAGTGCACATTCCAGCGCCGGCACGTGAAAATAGATACGGATTCATTGTACAATATTTTATGTGGCATCAAGGCAATGAAGCGAGAAGATGGTCTTCGAGTCAACAAGAAAGGCGAAGTCCTCCAGCGCTACATCAGACCGGATGAATTTAAAAGAATAGGAAGCTGGCGTTTGTTTTTCAACATGGACGAAATCAACAAGCTGGTCAAGAATAAGAAGGAATTCGGCGATTCGATAATATCAGATGGTGTGTCAGCGTCGGTGTTATTCAAATTGCCGAAACAGAGCAAAACTGTTGCTGATGAAGATGAGGCCGAAACCAAACGAAAATATTTCGCAAACGAATTCGCGTATGCATTGGGAATTGATCCCGGCATGCGAACCTTTATTGCGTCGGTCCGCCTCGATCTACAGACCGGCGAAGAGGTAAGTATTTACAAAACGAAAAAAGGAAGAAGAAGAAGAAGAAGAAGAAGTATTAATTCACTTTTGTTGCACTTTATTTTCAGACCAACGAGAAGATTTCGTTCAAACAATACCATCAGAAATCGAAACAAGATGCGCGCAACATTAAAGCCGAACGAATGACACGAGTCTTCACGTATGACGAACAAGCGGACCTCAAACGTATCGCCGCAGAGATTGGCCAGACACCATCGCCACGGAACATCTCTTGGCGCCATTACATCGAACATCGCCTGCGAATGTCCCAAGATGGTATCGCGGCATACAGTCAGAAAAACTATGCACGCTTACGTTTGGACAAACACATTGAATGGCGTCGTGCAATTGATCTCATCGCCGGTAAGCTGGTACATTTCAAGACAGCTATCATCAACATCGGAGCAGCCGAAATTTCACCAAATTGCCCGATCCGAATCAAAAAGTACGTGCGGTGTCCAGGCGTTCGCAAGCTGATTGCAGCCTTCAAAAGACGTGGCAATTGTGTCGTTCGGTTGGTGGATGAATACATGATATCGCAACATTGTGCCCGATGCTTCAAACGGTTCCCGATATGGACGAAGAGCAAACGATACAAGAAGTGCAACGATTGCCAACCAGATGAACGTGTTGGACTTCCGAAAACCATCTATACGAACGTCAGCAAACGAGTGTTGCAATGCAACGGAAAATCATGCGTACATGGGAGGAAATGCGCGACCAAGGTGATGCTATTGCAGCCATTCTAACCCAACGAAATTCAGGACGTTTGGTGTCAAAGAAGCAACGCTTCTTCAAAACCTGGCAACCAAATGCTGCTGAAAACGCTGGAACAGAAGACGCTGCACAATCACGCAAGTTGCTCAAATCACTTTGGCATCGGGACATATCAGCAGCCAAACTGATCATGTACAAAGGTTCATTATCTATTAATATTTCATTTGAAAATTGGAATCGACTTGGTTTTCGCTTGAATTAATTGTTATTTGTGTGCTCGTTTTCTATTTACTTAGGTCTTTGCACGCTGCTTGACATTCCGATACATCCAGCATTGCTGCGACGACCAGATGACGACGGCGTTCCACTCAATCCATAAATCAAAATTCAGCGTTTAGCATTAAAGTTTTTTTTTAACAAATATTTTCTAATAGTTTATTAGAGTTCTCAAGCCTTGCACTTAGTGGGCTATTTTAAGGTTTATAAGGTGTCTAACTTTATTTACCGCAGTACAAGAGTGGTTTTATAGACGTTATTTGATGATCAGAATGAGTCGTGTTCATTTTCCGGTTTGACAATGTCGCCGCATTCTTTGGATATGACTTGTTCAATGCATCATATCACGGTAAGTAGAATTTGTTCAACGCTTCGGAGCGAGAGTTATTTAGACATTTGAATGGAAAAGCAGTCTTTTTGCTTCGGGAGGTGTGAATATCGATTGCTCCGTTGTGTGAACACCACTAATTGATAAAGAATTTTTTCCTCTTTAATTTAAAATCTACCATTTTTCTTTTTCAGGTTATGTACACTGTGTTGATAATGAAATCCTGCTCAAGGCGGACGGAATAAATTCAATTATTTTAGCAAACATACTTCCTTTTTTGACAATATAAAATGTATGATAATATGCTTTCCTTCATTATTGAATTGGAAAAATATGCATTCTTTTTAATACTTCAAGTTGCCGTGAACAACAGTTGCCGTACTTCCCTTTTAGTCGGACAGAATCGACAGAAAACATACTTCTCCTTATTGATACGAAACTTAATAAACGTGTATTCTTCAACGTCTCTCCAATAGAACTAATAAAGTGGAATACTATTCATTTGTAACGTGTGACGTTGCTATGCACCGTTTATTTTAATTTTCTTATCGTATTTGAGTACAGTTGTTTTATTTAAACGAAACAATTTTATGCTCATTACAAATTTTGATTTGACACTTTGACTAACCGAATCTGGTAAGCGAATTTGATTGAATGGATTTTTTTACCGTCTAGCGAACTCTGAACACAACTTCTACGTGCATCCACGGCTAGCAGTCAATATTTTTTTCCTTCAATCATGTAATTTTACATATAGTTTATGAAAAATAGGCCTGAACTCAAACACAATTTTTTATTTTCTTTTGAAGTAATGTTTCAAGTGAGATAAAATGATGAAATAACGTATGTTTTTTGATTACGTATTTTGTACATGTGTTGATATATTGACACATTTCTGACAAACGTTCAATGAATTTGGTTTTTGATACTAATCACATCAAACACAATTGTTTTAAGAATAATCAATGAGATAATGCCAAAAATCACGTTTTTCATCCATTCCATGTTCGATGATAAATCGTCCAATCTTCCATTCAACAAGCCTTCGATGTCGTCTTTCAACTGTCCATAATCGCCACTATTTGTTTTCAAGTCACCATGGTTGAAAATTCGTTTGGCCACACGATCCAGTTTGGACTCCCAACGGGCCAGTCTTCCGCCGATTGCATTGATCGCCTTCTCGTTACTTATATGTTGCATCTTCGCGGTTTCGTTGATTTGACGTATCATTTGACCCATTTTCTGGCTATTGATATTTATTTCTTGGAGTTTACCTTCGGTAAGAAGAACGGTTTTCTGCAAACGATCGAGATTTTGTTCGAAGGTCGACAATTTTTCTTCCGAGGACAAGAATTCAGCCAAAACATCAAATTCGTGCGACATGTGTTGCATTTTTGTCAGCTCCAATTGAAGTTCAAGCATTTTCTGATTTGCTGTATCGTGCATGGTGGTGAATTGGTTGCGAAGTTTTACCAAATGTCGGTTCAAACCATCGTTTTTGTCACTTGTTTCAGTAGAATTCACGGTGATCACTTTGGGGCTATCGATGCTTACGAGTGATTTACACATGGGACCCGTTGAGTATGGCGTCGATTGATTTGAAATCAAAGCCGATGATTTCAATGCCGGTTGAGAATTTTTTTCCAACATGGACGACGCAGCAGCAGTGACTTTCTTTATAGGCGCCTCTTTTTCCTTTGAAACAACTTTTTCACCCGGATTCAAACCTTTCACAACGTCAAATGTTTTCTTTGCATGGCCGGAATTGGCTTGACACTGTTTTTTCATCCAGTGCATGAAGAGCAGCGGATCTTTATCCAGTTTTTCATATTGTTTTAACAAGTCACGCGGCTGGAAAATCATATCGAATTAAAATTTTGTTATTAATCATATAAAGTAGTCCAGAAAATTCGTTTTGTCGATTTATTGCAAACTTCATTCACACCTACCTTTCTGATACCAACAGCATCTAGTCGCTTGGCATATTTTACACCGATGCCAGGAATGGCGGTTATGCCAGCGGTGATCACATTTTTCGAAACCAATTTTTCCATTATATTCAATTTGCTTTATTCAACTTGCTTCTAAACGCTGTCTAACCACAAACTGATTGTTCCCACGACTTCAAACAACTACTTTGCTCTAATATAAACAAAAATCGCTTTTGTTTATTTATTTAACTGCAACAATTGATTACTTAGTCGCATGTCGTTCAAAGAGATATTTTTGAACATCGCGAACATTTTTGGCGGTTATATTTTGAAAACTGAACTCAAAAAGTGGTAAATTGAGAAAAAATCCTTTAAAATTGGATAAAATAACCAAGATCTTGAACACTTTTGTTCATATAAAGTTCATAGCTTAAATGCATTCACCCGTTTCGAATGATTCCCGCTTCAGCTGAACGAAAACTCAACGAAACGCTAGCATTGAAGCGACACCAGTGCCTCTGGTGCTGGGTATCGATCTGTCAAAAAGCGATTCTGTTGACATTTCGCTTTATTCAACCGTCCGTCGTATGAGTACAACAAGAAAAAGAGAAAAAAGAAGAACACGAAATATTTGTAGGAGCAATTAAAAAAAATATATATATCCAACAGATCAAATGTTTTATAGCAAACAACAAACTAAACGCAACATTTTGTTCGTAAAAATGACACGGAATATTAGTGCTAGTGACTAATTCAATAATCAAATGTAATACGTTTCGTAATTGGTTGAAAAAATAATTGATAAAATCTCCAAATCGCCCCGTTCCAAATTAAATAAAAATAAACAATACAAATAAATCTGTTTAATGAATATGGTGATTACGTTTTCATGAAAATAACTTGCATTAAGGTTATGTTTATCATTAAATAAATGGCATCCAGTGGATTTAATTGCGAACACGAATATTCATTTCAATAGATTGTATGTGCCTCGGTTCCATGTTATTTTCGATAAAATAATTTTTTGTGTTTGGTGCTAAAATAGAAATATCTCTATCAATTTGAATCGCTGGCCGATCCGCATGTAGTCGTTGTGGAATATCAAAAAGCCTAGATTTAAAAAAAAATAAACAGTCATTTAAACTCGAATACAAATTGATTTGGTGGAATGTACTCTACAATCGTCGGAATAATGTCTGATTCTGCATGCAAAGGAAAAAATAACTTTACTAGCTATTTGGACTCGGAGGTTGGTGTTTTTTGATTTTATTTTTGTGTTTTGCATTCAATTTAGATTGCGGGTTCATCATTTGTTCATGTAATTGCTTTTCGGTTTCTATTCGCAGACACTCACCGAGCACGATGTACTACAGGAGAGTCTCAAGCCCAAACTTTTGACAGGTGAGAGCTAATTTGCATTGAATGGGTCTGACTGGGTGTGTTGCGTGCTGATTTAACATTAAATAGGCGAAAACGCCCCCATTTACGTAGCTGCGAGCAGTGAACATTAATATTTATGTTTTATTTGTTTCGTTTCGTTTCGTTTCATCGAATGTGTTTGTTTATTAATCGATTTACAGGTGAACTGGAAGTGGCAAGTGCGAAGAACGTTATTCTCTACACCACTCTATCGAATAAGAGTAAAGATCGAGAGAATGGCCTATGTGGCTTGCTGGTTGTTACAAATTTCAAACTGTCATTTTTAACCACTGATAATGAACAGGTTAGAAACAGCACACATGCACATTGTACACAATTGATAATAAATCTTTTTTTATCTTTTGTAGAATATTACGTATCAAGAGAACTTTTTCCTCCAACGGAATGATGTCACACTCCAAAACATTGACCGAATTTATCAAATAGTCGACCGGAAGAAGCGATTAATCAATCCCTATTCGAAAATTAACCCGAAACTAGAAGGTTTATACATTGTGTGCAAGGTAAGAGTTGGTGTGATATGAGTATCATCTGAATGAAAGGAATTGAATGAAAAATTCTTTTAAATACAACCGAGCGGCTTATTTGTCATTGCAAGTCAGTACTAACTCGCACAGATTCATACAAATTGACTCTCGAATCCTACCGCAGAAAGTATTCATAATAAATCGACGAATCAACGCGAGTCAGTCACATTTTTTTTCTTTCAAGAAACAGTGATTCGTAAACTCATACATTTTTCGTATTGACTTATGAGACTCGCATGACACATAAGCCCCTCGAATAGAACATGCAACTATCAATTATTTATAAGTTTTTTTCAACTTTTAATGTTTTGCAGAATTTCCGAGCGCTAAGATTTGGATTTAAACGATCAGAAGTGGGGCAGGGCAAACGGATCGCTGAGGCTCTAACAAAATTTGCCTTTCCAAATCAACATGATCTACTCTTTACCTACAAATATGAGTAAGTCTCACAAACGATATCGCTATGTTGAGTGATTGCCATCCAACTATAACTCAATGTCGGAAATTATTTCAGTGAAAAATACTACAATACACTGCGGAATATTTCATTGTACAATAAGAAAATCGACTGGAGCTACGAGTTAAGTCGATGCGGTGCAAGTAATTGGCATGTATTATCAATGGATCATGAAGACACAATACCCAGTGGTTCGTTGCCCATGCACATCGTTATCCCGAGAAGCCTTACAGAGAGTGAATACATCAAAATAGCGAACTCATTTCGAAATGGACGTGCCGCAGTTTGGGTGTACAGCCTCGGCAATGTGTCACTAGTGCGATTGGCTGAATTAATGCCCACGATTACTGACACACGACAGGAGAATCGAATACTGGAAATTATACGAAAGTGTGATCCATTGAAGCCAGAGCCACACATCATGGAATTGAGCAAATGTCTACCGAGCAATCAAGACGTTCAAACCAGCTACACTAAATTGCGCGAATTATTCACGCCCGAATCGACGCGTCAGTTTATGGTACACACAATTTTCGTTTTGATAGATTCTTTTGTACTTTGAATCTGATAATAATGATACAGAATGGTGTTTCATTTCCAACATTATCATACAATTTTCTATCATTCATCCGTACAGACACAGGACGTTCGATTCTACACACTGTTGGACAAAACGTACTGGATACTTTATGTTTCGTTGTGCCTCAAATACGCAAATGAAGCTGCGACCAAAATGAGAGAGGGACAAACGGTTGTTCTTCAGGAAAATGACGCTCGTGACATGTGTTGTGTGATTTCGAGTCTGACGCAACTTTTATTGGACCCATATTTCCGAACGATTTCTGGCTTTGAGTCACTCATTCAAAAGGACTGGGTAGCACTTGGTATATTTACCACCATTTTCACTAATATAAATGGTTTGGAGTGAAAATCTAGGCGAAAATGTAATACAGAAAAGTTGAGCGAAAAAATGTCAAATGAAAAAGGGATAGCTATATAGTTCACTATAGTTTACTATATAGTTATCCCTTTTCCGCTCATTCATCATCGACATTTTTCCGCTGAACTGTTCAGTTTCGCTCCAAACTATTCATATATTTCTTTTATTTATACCTACCAAATATTTATTATTTATTAATATATTTCTTTTATTTATACCTACCAGGTCATCCATTCAGGTAACGCAGTCAATCCCTTTTTTGGCCCAACCTTTTTTTAGTTGGCTTACTTCAATTATTCATTTGGAATTTCTCAATTTTATTATACAATAATTACCTATGCTATCTGCAGCGATCGTTTGGGTCATGTCATCAACAGCGATACAAGCGAACAGAGTCCCTTGTTGTTACTCTTTTTGGATTGTACATGGCAGCTCTTGCAACAATTCCCCGACGAATTTGAATTTTCGGAAACATTTTTAACAACACTGTGGGATTCCGCATTTTTGCCCCTATTTGATACATTCCTATTCAATTCTGAGCATGATCGTCAAGTTGCCTTGAGAAAGGTTGGTTTTATGTTTGGATTATTTGCCAATTCAGTTGATTATAGACTTAAGATTTTGCAGAGTTCAAAAAAAAATTAGTCTAAAAAATGTCCATTCTCTGTATTTCTCCCAACTCAACTCTGTGAAAATATCTAATTCCGATATTATATTTTCAGAATCGATTGGTGTTGCGCCCGGTGTGGGACTGGGGTGAACAGTTTTCGGACAAAGATTTGGCACTGTTCTCAAACCCATTATACAAAAAACCACCCGAACAACAGAACAACGCACGAAAATCGTTGGCTATGGTGTTGCCATCATCAGCTGTTCCGCTGCCTGGACTGCATCGACCCAACAATGCTCGATTCTCGATGAACGTAGCATCTTTGTCATCACCAGCACACGTGATGAAATCAACACCTGAAGTGAGACCCTACAAATTTAATTCAAGACGATAAGTTATCGCCGACAATTCATTGTATCGTTAATCATCCATTGATATTGTTTTTAATAAATCACTCTATTCATTGCATTCCATCAGATTCGTTATCTGAAACCAAATACGGCCGTTCGTGATTTGGACATTTGGATGCAATGCTACTATCGATGGTTGCCGGTGCTTGAAATAAAAAATGGTGGTAATTCGCAAATCGATCTCTTCAATCGCATGATTTTGAATCGAATTTCAAAGCTGCAACAAGACTTGCAAACGCGAACATTCGACGAACCGAATGCAAGAAAACAATCAACAACTGCAACCAAAGCCGATGACAATTTGCTCCACACAATGCCGATGATCAGTTCATTTTTCCCATTTACACCGAATACAACCAACACCAATGAACTGACTGACATTCTCGCTACGAGCAGCGAACTGCTCACTGAGGGCTCTATTTTTGATGGTTTATCTGTGCAACAAGGAGAATAATAGCTCGACTCGTTTAATTTATTATCGTAGGAAATGTAGACGTTAAACAACAACAACAACAAAAATGCTTCGAACGATAAAACAAAAAAGCATTTTACCTGACAGAACAAAAAAGAGAGAAAAAAAAACAAATATTGCAAAAGCATTAGTTGAATTGGACGAAAAAATTTCGCATGTAGTGGAACACAGTGCAGCTTGTATAGTTAGCAAATTTGCTCTACAAAATACTGATTAGAAAAAGAAAAGAGACACACATACACGTCCGCTTATTAAGTGCATAACGAACGAGATATTTGATGAAATTATTATTATTGAACGAGATCAATGACTCGCAAAACGGGATATTTCACTGAGTTTTTACAGTTGAGTATCCGAATTTGTTTTCCATGATGAAATCCCCCTTTGTTTTCCTCATTTGCAAATGGTATATAGATTTATATATTTTCTATATGACTTAGGACATTTAAAATATGCAACAAAATTGAAATTAAATTTTGGAAACATTTTTTTTTTTAATAATTTAAGTGAGAAAATAATTGCTGAATATAGAGACGAATCGAAGATGAAAAGAGAGAAAAACACATTGTGTCTCTAAAAACGAAAGGAGTGAGAGGGGGAGAAATTCGAAATAGCAAATGTTACGTTTTGATCAAAATATAAAATTATTACTTTGAACATATTTTATGTTGTGTTATTTCAAATTGATAATTGATGAATAAATCTGAAAAAGAAAATGAAGTAAAGTCTAAAGAAAACCAAGCGTTGTTTTTTTATTATTGCGATTATCCAATAATGGGATTGCCTATAAACAAAGACCGATATTTTATCAACGATTTCCATGATTTTTCATTAACAATGAACGCATTGTTTCAATATAATTGAACACGAAAGCTGATGTCTATTTTTAGTCATCACCGCACATACGATATCAACCATATTGAAAATGTCTTGCTAATTCAAACGAGAAGAAAGAAAGAAAACAAAAACGGTTTTGAAGGGCCGTGATTTTAATAAATAAACGGTGAATAACCGTTCAGTTGTGAATGCTTATGAGCCGACGATGATTATTCACCTCATGAATACAAATCACACAAAAACGGCCGTTATAGAAGCTAATACAATGACATAATAGACGAAATGGTGAAGAGACGGGTGAAGAAGAATAGAATCTCACATTGTCAATGTAAATAAAAAAAGTCACAATATGATCTTTATGCATTGGTGCTGTTTGGAAACAGAGCTACTTAAGCGTCGCTTACATCGCCATAAAAATGACATAGATTCCTCAAAGTGATTCAAAGTGTTACTTACCTTGTGCCGAAGCGACCATCTCAATTCTTGAGAATAGAAAACAAACAAAAGAACCTCAGTGTCTCAACAAGCTCAGCATGAGGGGGAAAAAGACAGAGAGAGAGATTTGCTATGAAAGGGCTATATGGTTATTTTGAGTTGAGGCCATTGAATTCTGAGATTCTGATGTGACATGCATTCGAAATGATATCTCTCGACACGAATGAACGTGAATTAGATGCAACGTTGGCTGCTCTAAAGTGGCGACATGCAGTTCTAACGTTTCGCATGTTTCTCGTGTAACAGCCAAGTCAAGTAACAGTGTTTATCTCACCTAAACAATGGATGCGCATTGACGTTAATTGACTTTTAAGACTCTTAGCACTTGAGAGCTGCATGCTTTCACTACGTATATATTGACAAACACTAAGAAGCCACTTATTTGCAATTATCATCGTTTCTTTTCAGCGCTCAGATCATGATTTGTTTTTCTTTTAGATGCGCTTCTTATTTTTTGCTGCAAACAATGCACAAAAAAAACGAACAGCAACAACAACAACGACAACATAAAACCTAGGAGAGAAGAGTGAGAAAAAAATGGTGTATGTGATTGTGGTTTAGCCAGTTTATGTCGCATTTAAACCGTACACCGCCGCACACACATGTTATATCGCCAGTGTGAGTCGTGCTTCACACAGGTTTTTACAGCGCGCGCTCACTGTTACAGCTGAAGAGTGTGCCATAGATACCACTTCTCCCGCTACGTACCCAATTCAAGAAACAATTTTTTTACAATATACTGAGCAAAATAAAAAGCCACTCTCTTTTCTCGTGCGTTTGGCTAGCACAAGCATCGGGTTTTTGGGAATTGTAAATCAGCTATTTAGTTATATCAGTGTGTTCAACATGACAACATCTAGAAATATCATTCAACTCGGTTTAATTGTACTGCTTGTGGGTGAGTTAAGACTTTCATCAAATTTTTTCAACAACATTCAAGCATAAAACGCACATCACGAATATTTGTGCAGATCTTCAGTTTTATCAAACCTATGAAATTAGTAAATATGAAAATTTGCATATTTGGGACACGGAGTCAACGGAAATTGTTGTTTTTTTCTATTCAACATTTCGAAAAAAGACACGTACAGCCATGGAAAAATGTTTTTTTGAAGGGAATCACGAAAGATATTGAAACAGAAAAGGTTTTCATCAAATAAAATATCGTCATGTAGAGCCAATGAATGTCAGTGCCATTGGTTCGATAAAACGATACGAATATGAAATTAGTGAGGACAATGAGTGCAGCGATTAAAATGAGAGATGAATGAAAGTGAAAGTGTGAAAAATTGATACAAAGGAATGAAATCGAATGAAAGAACGGGAATGAGTTTGTGCATGTCTGGGTATTTTCAAGGCATGTTTGAACTGCTTTTGCATTGATTACACGTGAGGTCAATTCATTTTATGAGTAAAAAAAAATGAAGAGAGAGAAAAACACGTTGCTGTTGCAACGGCTGCGTGTATTGAGATAATGCTCTGAACAATCGAAACAATTGAACGTGAAAGTTATTGAAACGTGTGCCAAAAGTGCAACCGAACAAATTATTTTGAATGCTTAACTTTTCCTTTTGAAAATGCTTTCTTTTTTCTCTCTCACACTCTTGCTAAAACTTATAGTACATCGAAAATATAATGCAGCGAATGATGAAACATGGTTGGCTAAATTTTTGAACTCGCATTCGGCAAACTTTTCCCAAGAATTGTAAAGTATTGAATACCCTTGAAACGTAGTTTTCTTTCATCTTGCACATTTCAACTTCAATATTTTTCTCTTTCACTTGGATCGGCGAATATCATTTTTTTTTTGCAAATTCTATAGAAAATCCATTGAAAGCAAAATTCAAAGGGATTTCTTCTTCCTCTTTGTTCCGCCATTGAAATAAAATATTCACCGAAAAAAGAAACCGTTACCGTGCTCAAGAAATAGACTCGATATGGCGGTGCGAATAAAGAACAGAGAAAAACGAATGGAACAAATCAATCCAGCGTACAATGCGCAGCTAGAATATAGGACGTTTGTAGTCATAAGACGAAAAGCAGAGTTGTATATTGGAATGTGTGTGTGTGTGTGTTCGATTTTCGAATAATAATCATAATAGAAATGAAAGAGAGATGGAAAAATTGACAGCATAAGCTTATTGCGATTAGCATACGAATGAGATAGATATGGTTCGTTATTCAATGGTTTGATGCAGGCCCACAAATATAATGTTCAACCGTATTTGTAAATGGCATTTTCGTTGTGCGAACGTGAATATTCAGTCTGACTTGAATTTGGATATGGTTTCTTGAAATTTTGGTGTTTTTTTTCTGCTTCTACTTCTTATATAACAGATACTTTTCATCATATCGTTTTTCGTTTTAATCATTTTTTTTGTTATCTGTTTTGACACTGTTCGTATCACATTGATTCACCAGACAAAAAGACCGATGGAATTATGCTGAAGACGACATGCCAATGAAACGTAATGGACACATGAAGATACGTGTCAATTATGCGATGAAAAGTAAAAAATCGCATAAATATCGATTCGAAATGCACAAAAGGCGATCGAACATCTTCATACAATGTGAAAAAAAAAAAATTTCCATACCCGAACATGTTCTGTTTTTATCGTGTGTGTCGTGTGTGCTTTACTTTTTCTACCTGATTCAAATAAACGTAAAAGAAATCTTGCGAATGCAAATATTATTTGCAAAACTTTGACATGTTGCAGAAATCGATAGACGGATGAGGTATACCATTTGTTTCAACACTTTCATTCTCAGTTGCGATTCTTCGGGATGTTCCACGCAGAAGAAAGATACAAAAGAAAAGAGAAACGAAGAGCGAAAAAAGAATTGTATGAAACATTGATGTTTATTATTCATTCTGGTTCCATTATTTCTGCTTGAAATGTGGAAGAAGAATCAGTGGGGGCAGAGCTAAAAATATCTGAAGATGGAAGAACATACGCAGAGTTGCAGAGGAAAACTGATCAATATTTATCCAAAACTTTTGATTGAAATGAAAGAAAAACAAATTCCATTATCATTTGAATGGCTGAATGGCGCACTTTATAAATGACATTGATTTCATACAATTTCTCAGTCAGAGCGAAACGCATTCGGTGAATGATTGCCCAATGGTTATGTTTCGTTGATGAGTTTTTTTTTCTGTTTCCACCGAGAGAAGCTGGTGTGTGTTTCAGAAAATTCAATTGAATTTAATTTAATCAAAAGGAAACAACACTGAATTGTTTTAAATCGAGTGCGTTGCGCGCTCACTCGCTTTCTCATTAGAGCTGTGTGTGCATTGTTTGCAGTGCACTGCATTTCGATTTCATTGTAGTAAATTATGCATTTTTATGGCAGTACAACGAACGACACATTCACTTGTCGGCGGCTGCGGCTGCTGTCGACATTCAAAATGCTAGAAAATATTGATGAAATAATTAAACGGGTCTGAATTTGCCGTCGATCACAGAGCTATTTATGTACTTCAATTTACAATTGCAATACTCGACTTCAATGTTTTATAGGCGCGTTGGCAACCCAGAAGAACCGTAACAATTCATTCTGGAGCCTCATTGAGACAACGGCTTTGATCTCACGTTTTTTCCATTGATTTCCGCCGTTATTAATCTACAGGTTTACATTCAATACATCGATACTGTATGCCGTATTCACCGCCCGCAATTCCGAACTTTTTTAGTGCAAATAACTGATATATATAAGTGATATGAATTGTTCACTAGACTCGATATTTTGATATATGTTAATGGAGTTTTAAGCGACATTTTGTTGCCAGCGGAGCAATTTTTTTTTAAAAGTATATTTTGATTCAATGTCATTTGCTTGCGGCAACATGATTATGACTTTGAATGGGGTTTTCGAGCAACTGTAAAACGTTCAACCATTTTTGAAGCACATGAACATGTATCGAGTTTACATCGTAAAATATTAGCTATTTTTTTTCATGGATTTTTTTTCACATCGACAGGTTTGGTAGCATCACAAGAAGAAGCAACAACAAAACGATCAAGCTTTTTGCATCGCAAACCAAGCAGGAACTATCGCACCAAAGCCCCACAGAAACCCACAAGACCCACACCAGCAGCTATTTCAGAGGACGATGACGAAGAATATCACACATCACCACAATGCCCCGAGCCAGATGGTTTCTTCGCCGATTCAGAGCAATGTGATAAATATTACGCTTGCAGGTACGGAAATCGTAGTGTCTTGTTACTGTTTTGCTTTGCCTTTTTTTCTGCTTTTTTCGATGTTGCTTTAACCTGTTGCAATGACATTGCACACAGTAAACTCGTTTTTGCCAATTGGCTTTTATCACATTTTCACATATTGCAAAGTGTTACTGGATATGCTGGGCATTGAATGCACATACTGACTCGACGGATGATTTCGAAGTAAAGCTGATGATTTTTTTCTTTTTTGTTTTGTTTCAGCGATGGACAGATGACTGAAAAACTTTGCCCTGATGGCATGGTGTTCAACGATTACAGTTCGGATCAAGAGAAATGCGATTTACCATACAACCTCGATTGTTCGAAACGTCCAAAATTACGTAAGTGTTATCTTTGCACAACGAATTTCGATAGTTGATTTCAATGCATTGAATTTCAAAGTGTTAGTAACTTTGTGTTCAATTCAATTGACAACTCACGCAAGGTGCTGTTGTGATTGACGCATTAATTTTCAAACATATCATTTGAACACACAAACATCCCTGGTATTTTTAAATTCCTGCATATTATTATTTTTCATTGAAATTCCTCGATTTTTCCCTGTATCGTTTGATTTTTTCTGCTTCATCCCTGGAATCATTCCCGATTTTGACGTCATTCGATATTCGATGACCCTTTGGTGAATCTATTCATGTAATTGATATCAAGTTGCAGGAAAATTGTACCGAGCCAGGCTCGTATCTATCATATTCGAAGTAATTATTTGTCTATTTAAAAAAATCATTATATAACGATATCTAAATGATAGCATGGTAAATATTGTGAAATTATCAGATCAGTTCTTTTGAACAGTATTTTCATTTCCAGAATGAAGCATATTGAAAATGTGATTACTATCGATTTATTCCATTTACCCAATTTTTCTAACCAGTTAATGTAAAAGGTCAATTACAACCAAGCAGAGACAAAAAGCGCTGAATCAAAAATCAATTCACCCGAAAATAAAAACGCGTAGAAGAAATATGGCAAAATTAATAGCAATTGGATAAATGGATGACCATTTAAAACCAAAAAACAGTTGTACATAGAACTGCAGACATCAAAAAAACCTCACTACCGAGTTTTGGTATCACATCGGCTCTGAAATATCATATTCGTTGCCCGAGAGCCGAGATCATTAATTCATTAACATAAAAATTAACATTTAAAATTGGCAACTTTTTCGGCACAAATTTTCTCTGCATGTGTTTTGCGTATTTTTTTGCTTGCGTCCATTCAAAGTGCCAACAATTTATTTCCCATTGTATTTTATACTTAAAATTTTTAATTTATTTCTGTTTAAATAGATAGAGTGATATTCACACACACAGCAATGAATTGTGTGGATTTTTATAGGCACCAAATTTGCAATGCATTATAATTTCTCTCGGTGAATATGAGCAATTTATTGGCAACGCTTTCTGGATTGCATAAAGTGGCTTTGGGTTTTTTTTATTTGATTTTGCTCGTTTCATTTTTGCTGCAGCCAAAGTCAAAGGAAAATAAAATGCAACAAAAACACGCATTGCAACGCCATTCACTAAATTTTTATTAAATTTTCGAAATGCGTTGAGTTATGGTGGGTGAAAAATGAATAATGTTCTGATTACTCTCTACGCCCACCGCTCCACATTCAGTAATAATCATACGCCGGAGAATGTGTAGAGCAGAGATGCAAAATTAATGACAACCAAATGAATGGAAATTGACGGTCATCAATGCAATCAAATAATTAGAGTGTCTATTTTTAATAACTTTGATTGATGAAACCCGATTTTTTTCTTTTGAATTTTTACAGAGGAACCAAAGCCATCTTTGAATTGCCCTCGTCGGAATGGATATTTTGCTCATAAAGGATCATGCGACAAATTCTACTATTGCGTCGATGGAATGTACAATATGATCGTATGCCCAGCTGGCTTGGTCTTCAACCCACGTACAGGTATGCACATGCTTTTCATTTTACTCTAACACGAGTACGGTTTTATTTATGGATTAAACTTTCGTGTTGGCAGGTATTTGCACGTGGCCAGACGAAGCACAGAAGAAAGGTTGTTCTTCAGAAGGTGAGTGAACGCTACATCTGGAAAAAAAACAATATTGAAAATTCCATGGAAAATCATAAATTTATGTATCGCAGAATTTTTTTCTCCTCAAAATAACTGACAAAGTATTGAAATATAAAAACAAAGTCCTGTTCAATTGTTTATTTTCCATCTGCAAGAGCCATTGAAGCATAAGGGCATACTATACATTTATGTTGTTTTAAGTATCCGACCAATTTGTTCGTTGGCTACATTTCAATTTTGGTTAAAACAAATGGCACTGGCAATTTTCAAGCATCATTTCATTACACATTTTTATTCAAGTTGAAGTGAACTCTCGGCTTGCCAATTCAAAAACTCATTCGAATAAACAAGGAAAAAAAATAGCAGATAGTTTAAAAATGTATGCAATAATCCCATTGTATTTTGTATCGTTTCAGAACTGTTCAAATTCATATGTCCAAAAGTCGATGAAGGAACAGCGGCAACGCATCCTCGGTATGCTGATCCAGAAGATTGCCAATATTTCTATGTGTGTATTAATGGCGAGCAACCAAGACGAAATGGATGCAAACTTGGCCAAGCATTCGACGATGTCTCGAAGCGTTGTGAATGGGCGCGTAAAATCCCTGAATGGTAATTGATTTTATCTTTCAATTTAGATTTTTCCATCAAAAATATGTGGAAACAGCTCATTAAATCCAAATATGTGCAATCGCAATATGTTCTGCTCTGAATGTTTGTCATTAATTTTTGTTTCCTCTATGTGTGTTTCGTTATAGCGCCGATTGGTATAAGGATATATTGACTGATAAACAATTGGACGAACTGGAAAATCCACCAACCACTGAAAAACCCATAGCTAAAAAGGTTTCATCACGACGAAAACATCCAAAATTGCGTCAACGGCAACAAGATGAACAAGAAGCCGAACGATTAGCCGAAGAAGTTGTCGAACAATCCGAAGACTAAACTCAACGAAACAATAGCAAATTAAATGATTCGATAAGTTGTGTGTTTTAAGAGATTATTTCAATTTTTGTATAGTTTTCGAATCGATAAAACTATTGAATACGAAATAAAAATATTTTCATTTCACCAAACGAATTTTTTTTTGTCATGTTCCGTTTGCAATATCTTTCTGTTTCAGTTTAAAAAAATCCAACGTCTTTAGAAATCGTTCAGTTGCAAATTCGGTTTCAACTCACAACAATTGACAGTAGGCATTGTGTCAACATAAATCGCACGCTAATGCGATGCAGTGTCAAATGAAATCTAATACTTTGCTCGGCAGACTGTGTGGCGAATGACGACTGACGTAAATATTTTCGTTTCATTTGTTTATTACATGGAAATGTACCACTTTTAGTAGTGTGTAACGGAGCCGACTAAGCGCGCAGTGTGCGATCTGTGTTTGGCACATTGTATTAGTGAGAGTGAGAATGAGTTGAATTCATATACAATAACGTCCTCAGCCATTTTAGAGTGAGTTTGACAGTCACACACTGAAAATGTGCATTTGCCGAGCAAAACGATTGAATTTGTTGGTTTGCATGTAATTGAAATTTGAAATAATTGTGCCGTATTAATTGAACGTAAAAACAAAATGTTGTGGAAAAAAGAATCGATTGGAAAAGATGCACGGTTGGTGGATTTTCTTGATTCGGAAAGAACTCACCACAAGCACATTTTTTCCCTGTTCGACGACATCAGCGAATCGAAGAAGGTGCTGGAAAAGAGTGGCAAATTGTCAACGCATTATCGAAAGAAGGCAATGAGTCAATTGGAATCGAAAAATTGGCACGAAGCGATTGAATTGCTCAACGAGGCATTATGTTTCGCCGAGAATGATTCACAGGACGTAGGCGGTGCTTATGCCGAACGATCTACGTGTTTTTTCAATTTGCACATGTACGACCATTGCCTAACAGACATCAAATTGGCCAGATCAAGCAAATGCCCACAGGTAGTCCAAGCGAAATTGAGCAAGTTGAGAGAATCATGTAAGAAAATGTTGAAAATTTCACCCAATACCGAAGCCGAAGACGATTTCAAACCGACGCTCAGCTTTGATGCTAGCGAACAATGTCCGTTTGTTGCAAATGTCGTCAAAATTGAAGGCAAAGAGAAAATGGGACGATGCATTACTGCTACTCGTGACATCGACGTCGGTCAAGCGATTATGGTTGAGGAGGGATTCGTTTGGTCAACCACCGAGAACTACCGAAGATGCTGTGTTTGCCTGGAAACAACGAACCCATTGGTCCCATGCAAAAATTGCACCGACAGCTTGATGTGCTTTGGCAAGTGTGAAAAAAATCAACTACACGAAATTGAATGCAACATGGGGTTGCCGACCGTCAACGGGAAAGAAGTCAACGGGAAAGAAGTCAACTTTCAGTTAGTCGTTCGATCCATTTTGATGGCATTGAAAACCATCCCGAATCTCAATGAGTTGATTCGTTTTGTTGAACGTATTGTTTCGGCAGAGGATAATGAACCCATCAATTCGGCATCAACACCGCTATCACGGTATGCTGTCTTCTTGGAAAATGGATTGAAATGGCAATGGCCGAAGAAAGAAAGTAAGTTTTATTGTCAATATTTACAGAGACTTCAAAACTTAATGGTACTATTGAAACAATAGAAAATAGAAACTAATCAAAAAGGCGATTAAACACTTTTTTCTGATCAAATTTCAATCAACAGACAAAACCTACATTGGGCATATAAAACGCATTCACGAAGCATTCATGGACAATGATGACTTTGCTGAACTGTTCGAAGACGATGATCATGAACGTTTTTTGAGGCATTTGATTGGTCATCACATTTGCGCATTGCAATATGCCACCCCGAATGTATGCATTGGCGAGAATGACGGAACATCAGTTCATTCCATTATCGGAAGATTCTTCTTTCACTCGTGCTATCCGAATGCGGTTCTGGTTACTTCGGATCGATCAACAGTGGCGGTTACAATTCGACCAATCGAAAAGGGCGAAGAGGTCACCGTTTCATATTTGCCAGACGAACTGAATCGGTCCACCAAATATCGTCGAAAGTGGTTACTTGTGCAATATAACCTCATGTGTTTCTGCTCGCGATGCACTCAACCGGCGACTGCAGCAAGTAATGCAACAGCGTTATCGAAACTACAAAAGAACGAACTTCGCAATGCATCGAATCGGGACCCAAAAAAGCAGGCCAAACGAAGAAATCTCACCGTGGCATGTACCAAATACCTCAACGCAAATGGCCGCGAACAATGGTGTGATGACATATACTATATGCTCCACGCGTACATTCAATTACTCTGCACCAAATACTACTTAAATTTAAAACATTAGGTGCAGGAGCCTCAAGGGACTCAGCACCCAGTCATTGATTGACCATTCAATATTTTCGTTGCATTTATTCAGATGATTAAGAGTCAAACTCGTTCAATAATCATAGGATTTTTCATTTATTTTGTACAACGTCAAATGTTTGAATCATTTCTAAATAGATATTTAAGCTTGTTAATGGACATTTTATGCGAAAAACACCTACCATATTCCTATTATAACCAAATTAGTTCAAAATAAAGTCTAAAGTAATTTAACAACATGTAAAATAAGTACTTTACTGACGGAAAATTTCCCAAAATAAATGATATCGACTGAACCAAGTAGATTTATACCATAAGTTCACTTCTTTTACTGCATCGAGTTTCGCCAAACAGTTTCCCATGGAAACTTACTGCAATTTTCTCGATTGAATGGACAAAACTACTTATGCCGGTGGTTCTCGTTTACTAATTAAGAAGTCTTGACATCAAACAAGCACTTGACAAAATAATTGTCTGCTTTTCGGAAGAAGCACTTAATTTGCTTGACAAACAATCAACTATCAGCTTAAATTTTATGCTTGTGTGTGGTATGCATTCAACATTGATGTCGTCCGATAGGAAAACCATGGAAGATGGAGAGAGAGATGGAGTGTGTGTGTGTTATTATTAAAATAAAATTGAATATTTAGATGGCTTGGTGTGTTGTGCAATGTGTGCTTGTGTGCTTGTGTGTCCGTTTAAGGTCCATTTTTGAAGGGTTTGTTTGCACAACGATGACCATGTCGATAGATGAATTTATGCTGTTTTTGTTGCATCCATATCGACGAACAGTATACCAGGCAATACACAACTAGCCAAACCACTTAAAATCATGCTACATACATCAAAGATAGTGCTATGGGGAATTGAAACATTGAGTCAATCAGAAATTCAAACAATGCTTTCCATTAATTATTGGAAATATTTCTGCAAATATTTGGACGACAAGCACAAGCCAATGTTGCCAGTACACAGTGCTATGGTAACCATGACCTGATCGCCGATCACTAATAATGCAAATACTTGAACTAGATAATTACCAATCAATTCCATCTAACGTTCTTCATTTTACCACATTCTTTTTTCCCCCCAGTTCTTCATTGACACTGGTCGATGAGCACTGGAAAAAAGTGAATATCAAAACAAAAAGTAAAATAAAAAATAATCGGATTTATCAAAACATTGCAAAAGTAAAACATTTACGATGGTAAAAAAAAATGAAACGCCATTCAACGAGAGAGAGAAAAAATTGGCTCAATTCGCCAACAGCATACTTGAAAATAAAGAAGCATAAAAAACGGGGACATCTAATACATACTTTGAAAATCTACGTAGCAAACAGCCGTTGGCAAAGTTTTCTAACTCAAGCATACAAGAAAAAATAGAACTAAATTCGGCTAATTTGCGAATTAAGAGCAGGTTATCGCTTGGGTTATTGTCGAACGGAATCGAGTCATTGCGTTGAACTCTCTATGTCTCTCCCATCGTACGGAGTAACGCAAAACTGGAGAAAGTATTTCAGTGAACATGAACATACTTGACGTTCATCATCATCGTATGCGCATTTTTTTCTTCTGTTGGCACACCATCAAATGGCATTTAAAACATTCGACAGATCCACAGTGGTTGCACTTGTTTAGAAAAAACCAATGCGGCTAACCGGTGTGCTTGCCAAGAACGATTGTGGAAAAAACAGAACCTGATGGAAATGTATGCAGAAAAACGGTTGAATATTTTTTGGATTTTTTTCACCGATAAGTCATATGATGTTGACGAGATAGAGAGAGGGAGATATCAGAGAAAAAAGATGATACATTTGCATGAGTAGAAAATCAGATTGCGTTGTAAACTGAAAAGCTATCGCAGCAGCGCAATAGCATTAATTTAGATTTGCTCGTAAAACGAACTTTGTATTTCCTGACTTAAAATCAGTGCTTCACATCCGTATGAGAGAAACAAACAAACACACACAGGCGCAAAAAAAGCAGAGACCCTCATTTTACAAAGTTCACATACATAACATGTACATATTTATATAGAGTTGCATGCATGAGAACGATCTATTGAATATTGAATCTGCTACCGATTTGTTCATTTCTCATTCGTTGTATTTTTATTTAAACGAGATGCAATCCACGAAAGCCGAAAATCTCGATTTTAAAGCCTTTCCTCTGTACCACGTTCAGCTCAGAATTTCATCGTTACTCCTATGACATGCACACAGAGAGTGAAACCAACCCATCGATACGAGTAGATGTCAATATACAATAAAAAAAACAAACATCGTTTTAAACAGTTTGTAAGGCATTTTAGAAATTTCGCAGCAACTGATGATGCTACTTTTGCGTGTGCTTGATGTGAATTTGCAACGGTGATGGTAGCATGATACTTTAAATATTTCTCCCGTTTGAGGAATGGAAGAGTGAGAGATGTTTTATTTTAAGTTCCTTTGCTGATCAATATTTAATGAAATGAAAGCATGAACGAGCATTAGGAAGAATGAATTTCACCCGACCGAACCAAGAATCGGAGTAAATCCATTTTTTTGGTCGTCGTCGTCGTAGTCGTCTTCTTCATCTTTTGGGTGCATGTGCGCCACTGTATGCTCATTTTTCCTGTGTCTTATCAACCGTACACTCCTTGCTGCACATTTATATTACTGTGTGTTTGTTGCATGACCCATACATTTTCGGTATATTTTCACATAACATATTCATCGCACACACACACACACTCACATGCATGTATAAAGGGCAAATTCATTGGTACGGTCGGTGCGCAACAATCTAAAATGTTCAACCATTTGACGTTGCATCTGTGCATGTCAAGTGATACTTCACAAAATGTTAAACTTGAATGATTTCGATGAGGTTTTTTCTCTCTGTGTCTCTCCCTTGGCTCCCCGGCCACATCATCTTGACTCTTGACGCCAGCAAATTTTCCGTAGTCGTCGGTGTTTGGGTACTTTTCTGTATGAGAGCACTCACACACACACACATAGCTCGTTTTCGCCAACAGTAGCACAAAATTATGCAGATCACAAGTGAAATTCCCTTTCGGGAAGCTTCATGGCCAGTGAATTAAATTACATCGAAATGGAAAAACTCTTTTTTTCGGCAATGATTTACGTTAGACCCGTTGAATGAGTTGCACACGAACGATGAAAACCATGTTCCATGTCAATGCATATTTATCTATATAGAATTTGAAAGAAGCTGCCCCAGCTGTTTTCCCGTCTATCATCATTCATCACTTGAATTGATGCATTCGATCACAATTTGCTTAAAAATTGATTTCCACTGCAGATGCTCATCCACTAATATGGCAACTTTCATTCGATCCAATCCACTCAGCTGTAAATATACGATTCAATGTTTGCTTGCAACTTTCCAAATCAGACGGTGAATTTATGCTCATTGATGAAACAAGTCAAATTTTCTCCAACTATCATTCTGCTAAAGCAAAATTTATTCAATTAACTAACACGACCAACTCTCTAATGGTAGATTTTTTTCGTGTATTTCGGTTGGTGTATTCTATAAGCATGCTAGAACTTTGGTTGGAAATGGTAATCCCTTTTAAACCAACTGAATGAAGAAAGTTTCTTTTTTGGAGGACTTCTTCGACCAGTTTCAAAAAGTCATGAGGCGAAAACGATCGTACTAATTATTTTTGCGATATTTACACACATTGGAATTAGTTTCTGCAGACATGTTCCAAGTAAATACCGACAAAGTTTTCGCCACAAAAAGACACAGTACGTGTTCATGTTGTTTGTGCAATCTGTACGATTTTGCGTACAAGAAAAACAAAACACCAACTCTCGTTTGACAGCGACGGTTGCTATCAATTCGTCTGGTGCGTGCAAATCGAAGTGTGAGTTCGATTACGCCGTAGGTTAGTACGAGGTAAGTGAAATTCGTTGGTAAAAATGCTTCCATATAAAATATTCCATTTTGATTGTACAACATTTCAGTTGCAGGTGGAAAAGTACCCGAATCAACAAATTGTGGACCACACTCAACATAGATAATGTCCATTCAAATCTCGATGTACAATCATCAGCAAAAAGTGGTTGCAACTATTGAATAGAATATGTGTTTATTTTATGCATACAATTTGGTTTAGAAAATTGGCTAAAGTGTTTATCGAAGAATCGATAAGGTTAACTACCGCATTCTGTTAAGGTCGGAGATACATAACATACCTGAATTGAATGAAAACCAAATTGAATTCATGAAAGTAGCCTGCATTATTTTAAAATGTGTAAACAATTCAGTTGGATTTAGATTCGATTGAAATCATCGTAATCACATTTTTGGCTGGAGAAAAATCACTCAAATTTCGAAAACAGCGCCTGCGTTACATCTCCTGAGCTAAAATTCATTTGTTCATTTGGATGGGGTTATTTAATTCATTCGGTGTCGAATTGAACAGCGCGGCAAATAAAGTGGAGCATTCAATGCAAAGCTGTAGGCAAATGTACTTGCATTTACATGGGTCAGTCGAAAGCTGATGCTGCAATTGTGCCATAAATATATATATATATTGTAAACTAAGTTGGTGATGTTCTTCGAAACGTGATAATGAGTAAACAACGGTATTTATACTTTTTGTTTGTTTTAGCCAACACCATTCCGTCGTTGAATGTTGTGTTGATTAAAGGCCATCGCACCATGGTGTTGATCGGCAGCGACAGTGTAATTGTGCAAAACAAATCGATTGTTATTTTCCAGGCGTCTCGAAAACTTTTGGCACCAAATTCACTGAAGCATCAACATAAAATGCAGGTTTTCCATCAATTGAGATGGCTGAATTTTGCCGTGATAGAACTGCTGTTCTCCGAGCTTTAACTTTTCTTGTTTCAGAGCAATTCATGTTCTCTTGCATATTTGGAGCGAACAATAAAAAAGAAACCCTTGAGACAAAGTGCAGAAATGAGTCTGTGAGAATGAAAATGGCAATACAGGAATAAACATTCTGAAGCGCATCAAGAAAAAAAAATACGCAAAAGTGAATCATGAACCTCCTATGCTGCCCATGTAAATTCATGTTTCACTTTTGCATATTCAGAACTCATGATTCATTTTTGCGAATTTTTTTTCTTGATGCGTTTCAGAATGTTTATTCCTGTATTGCCATTTTCATCCTCACAGCCTCAAATAAGAATCAGACAGAAAAATATATACGAATCATTTTGAATGCTGTAATAATAATAAATCCCGGTGTTGCGCGCGGCTTCATTTTCAATTTGCTTCGTTGCTCCAAAGACTCGAAAAATGGGTGAATGCTCACGCTTTGCATTGCTATTCCGATAAGTATTCATTTGTAGTATTTTGGGCGTTTTTAACACTTGTTTCTTGGCTTTCCGTTCTTTTTTCTCTTCTCTCTTCTTGTGAGTATATATGACCTTTGCATTACAATGAGGATGTGTGTTAAAACAGGAAGGTGGAAGTGGTAACATCCACGTATTCAACACTGATTATTTTCGTATTCAAAATATGTAACGTCACGTGACGAACGCTACAGTGCTATCACACCAAAGTTTTTCGCCAAGCGCAAATTTGATTCAATATGATAGGGAAGTAATTTGCTGTGCTGTGATTCAACATTCACATTGATATTCAGATTAAATACATAATTCGAAAAGTGGTTTGATGCGTGTGTGGATTTATGAATTGCGTATCAGGAAAACCCAGCCGTTGATTGCATGCTTGACTGCCTGCCTGCATGGCTCTCTGATTCAGATTCATTTCTCGTACATCGCTCGTTGAGTTAACATGTGCGGAAAAAAGTTCTTTTTCACACGCACCGACTGACACCCGATTAATGAAATTTCTTCTTCTTTTTTAACGAATTTATTTTTTCTTCTAAATCTTTGCGTTGATTGAACTTAATTTATGGTACACATTTAAATCAGTTCCACTGTTATGCATAAGGATTATTTCGATTCAAGAAGAAAATCTCCAACCGGATCGTCCGTGTGATTACGACACAGTAAAATGTGAACGGAGAAAAAAAAGAGCCGACAAAATAAGCTCATTTCGAATTTCGCCAAAAATAAATGAAAAACATTGAGACATAAAAGCAAAGTGTCAGAACGACTGTTTATATCCAAAACTAAATGAAGACACCAAATTGAAGGGCACCAAAGTAGCTCAAGTAGAAGGACAAACGAAAAAAAATTCACAACCCGTCGTACTCACTCATTTTGATTGTTGAGTGATTCCATTACTTTTTGGCCGTAGTACTTGGCAGATCGCTTTTCCGAATTCTGACTGCGATGTAATCGGTGTGGATACGTATGGCTGTTTTTTCTGCTGATATGAAATGCCACGGCAGAAAAACGGCATAATGCTCGTCAAAATCGTGACATTGACGACTGTTATTGTTGCACGTACATTTTTCTCTCTTGGTAAAAAGAACCCATGGAGTGAAGTGAGCGTGAGACTCTGACTATGTTGCAAAGAATAAGAAAGTAGTAAAAAAAGGACAAAAGCATTCCCACAAGAAAAGGAGCCAAACCGGAAAAATTAAGCAGCCGTGTAATCGGTTTGGGGGGTGGAGGGAGTGAATGTCTCGTATCCATATAGTGCTATGAACGATTTGTGCTCCGTCATGTTTATCTGTGTCAGCCATAGTTTTATTGGTTGTTATATGTATACCTTTTTCTCCTCTCATTACTTTCCGTCTCAGGCTCTTCCGTATGCTACTGTTATTATTCTTTTTATAGCACAAAAGATTTTTCGACTTGTGCCTCTCGTTAACTACAGCATGATGTGCACAACACAATACGGTATCACTGATATCTCTTCAATTCCATGGGCTTGTGTTACACAATTGATGCACAAGTTTTGTATCTTTATGTGGGTATAGTGCGAGTGACTGTTTCTTAAATATTGACATAACTTATGGTGACTGTTCTTCTTTGGATGAGGAGAGCAAATATGAATAAAGTTTTGTTGAATCATCGGATTTGATTTCAAAGGGAAAGTTTCCATTTACTCTTTTTACATTTTTTTTTTCTAATCAAAATATTTTCGTTACTAAGAGAATAAATCGTTTTTTATGGGCTAGTTTATGAAACAGAAGAAAGAGCAAAACAAATGGCTAAAAAAAGGAGAAGTCTATCTAATTACATCACTTGTTATTTGTCTAAAATGTATGACTCAAAATCATAAACAATCAACTTTGGTCCAATAAAACCACCTGATCCGGCTATAGTTTTGTGGTATAGACCGATGCCTGATAATGCTATCGGATTGTACGGTTCAACGCGTTGCGTATCAATGAATGGTACCGTCAATTGCATTACATCGTTCCAGTAATCAGTTGGGCCGAATTTTATAAATGCGTTTGGTGTGTTGTTTATCTGTGATAAATTGGTCAAATGATTCAACGGATTTGATGGTCGGTTCAGTACGATTTCTGTTTGGCCACATTGAGGGTTCGACACCCACATACTGCTGGTCAGATCTTTCAATTTTCCCGTAATAAAATCAAACTGCGTTGCTCGAACGTCCAGCGTGATGTGGCCAGCATTAGTTACACGAAACCGAACACCAGTCACTAGCCAACCTTTTGGCACCGACACCATATCCAGGTTTATCGAACGATTTTCATATGTCAACGTAACGAAATCCACATTCTCCTCAATGTTCAAATCGTCAATGTTGAAAAACTCGTACGACGATTTCCATGGCTCATAAAAACTGTGCTCCGAAGTAGTTTCCGCCTGGCCGTGTGGCAACAAGGTTCGTTCGGCAATCGCCAGATGAATGATTCCGTTCTGTTTCGTTAACATAACACCTGTAATGATTCTTAATAGAGGGATTTTGTTTTGTTATTACTAATGACGGCACGGGATGGTTATCAAGTTCAGCAGCTTTTTGAGTAGACACACACAGAGAGAATTAGACATACTTGTTATCCACAATGTTTGAAACCACTTCACGCAAACTGAAGTATCGTTCTGTCCTTTTGCTCTTAATATCGTCGCACAAACAAATGCAATTGCTACATTGAACAAACCAGCGGATCCATGACTCGGCCTGAAAATACAGTAAAATTCCGTTGCATTAATACGGTGCCTGTGTGTGTGTGTGTGTGCTGTGCGGTTGCTTTAAATGAACAAAGAATGCGAATGATGTGATGCCTTTTGTTGATATCTCAACGAGCGCATTGTTCATCGCTTAATATCAATACTTAACTCTTAATCGACCATGGCATACAGCTTTCGAATTACCCGCCGTTCGACCATCACTGTACTTGATATAGTTGTATCTTCGATTAGGTTCACCCTGTGGAAAGAACGTTAACAATAACAGCAGCAAATGATTTTTCATTAGTCTGGTGCGGGCACTAAGCAAAATGTTGACACCACCAGCCGTGTTATCGAAAAGTGTACGGCTGCGGTGTTTGCTTACCGTTTCGCAAATATTCACATCCGAGTCATCAATATCCTGACAATCTCTAATGATGCCGGTGCATTTAGCCTGCTCGTGGTCGTTAAAATGTGAGTCGCACAGTGAACCTGACTGGCATTGAAAATGAGACGTTTTCCGATAGTCAGAGCATACGCCTGCACAGCTGGCGGCCGAATTTAAATTAGCCTCGTTGTCGACAAACCCTTGGAGGAAATTCGATATCTCTGTGTACGAGCTGAAAACTAAACATTCCCATAATCATGAGCGAGAGAGATTGAACGAGCTATGGAGTGCGTATATATTCCCCATTATATCGGCTTATCGGTTATTAAGAAATTAGACTAATTTGAGGAATTTCTGTCGCAAGATGGATAAAGAGAGAGAGAGAGAGAGTCTGTGTGAATTGAATCAACGAAAATACCATTATTAACAATTGTGTCACATTTCCACACAGTTTTGTCGGATTTCTTCAGGAATCTTATGGCAATTTGGCGCAAATCGCTGAACCTCTGTTGAAATGTAGTCCGCAAAATTTCCACTTGTTCACTGTAATTTTCTGTAAATATGTACAACCCAGCGATATTAAATAGAAAAACGTGCCCATCCGAGTTGAATGAGTAATAAAATATTTGATGCGGATGTACTTACCGCCGCTGTTATAATAGCCCAAAATCATATAAGACATTTGTGCTGTAATATAGCTCTTCAAGAAACCCGACTGGATGTCTCGGTACAAATCGTAGATTATTTGATGTGATGATTGCACTGTGTCGCCGTTGTTGTGACAGTTTGACAGATGCTGAAAACCAAGACGAAACATAAACAAATACGTATTAGAACGGATGTTTATCACTGAAAAAAAAACAAGCACACAAACTAAATTCATTCGAATGGAATTGGTTTCATTTCATAATCGTCACTGACCGTGATAATATTTTCCCATAATGTGTCATTCGTTGCATAATCGAATAAATTGCTGGCATCTTTAAGAATTTTCAGCGCAAAACTGGAGTATTCGGTGATACTTTGACGATCCAATGTTTGCTCTTTCAAATGTGATTGTCCCAATTCGGTGGTGCTGTTTACGTTTGCCCCGATATTGATGAGAGTTTCAATGTTTGGAATTAGATCGCGTGCCAATACACCACTCCCACTGTGATCCATCGCTTTATCGAAGAATGTTTCATGACTTTTGAACACTTGCAACAGAATGTTATCAGCACGATGTTCGATGCGTTGCCACAATACACGTTCGGTCTTGAAATAATCGCTTATCAAACTATCAACGAATGATTGAGCGGCCGGTAAATCATCTGTTAAATTCATATGCAAATTTAAATTCGTTGCCATTGTCGCCGTCGTCGATGACGATGAACACATCAATGCACAAATTACTATGATGATAGTGTCTGAGCCGAACGACCCCATTGTCAAAACCGAGACGTTTAAATAATATATTATATTACTTAAAATAGCTTGTTGAAAATTGTTATTGAGACCAAAACACACAGACACACATAAACTGTCGACTGCACCGATATATATATATATATATCGACAGACAAACCGAAGAGATGAAGTTTGAAATATCGACACGAAAAAAAAACAAACAAACCAGGAACAACGATTGCGATGAACACAAAACACAGACTGTATGCTACAAATTTTCGAAAAGAAATGGTGACACTGGCCATTGAAACGATAAATTTCAATGGTTCTTTGTGTCAATCGGCTTTATTGCCGTCCCTTTTTACGTCACACACCAACGATTCTAAGCCTCGCTCTACGCTTTTAAATGAGAAAGTTCTCAGAAATATTCATACAGTACGGAGTTCAATACACAAAGAGTGCCATACAGAGAGCACACAGTGCCATGTCGTCTTCGATGTCCCCTTTTCTCTCTCTCTCTCTCTGCTTCAATGTATTCGTGTGCATTGTGTGATTGCGTGTGTGTACCGAACAAGGCGACACACCAAACACAAAACAGTATATTTCATGATAAGTCATCGTATGAATGCCACAACACTAAATCAAAATACAATTAAATTTATTCCGTTTGCAGTTGAGAAGATTTATGATAACAACACAGCGACAGGCTGTGGACAATATAAAAAAAAGCGAAGGAAATTCAAATGTACGTATTCAGAGCATGTCGGCTCGGTTATGCGTTATGATACGCGCGCGCGCGCTATTTTGTTGTATGCATGTATTTTATTCGCTATCAGACACAAGTCGCACTCTTTACAAAAGTGCGTATAATTTAATGTGGCTCTTAAATTTTTGGCGTTTCATTCTGGTGTTGGTTTTTCTTTGCTTCTTTATTACCGTTAGTGTCAAAGGTCAAGCATCTGTTCGCCTCTGTTCGTATCTCTGTCTCTTTCTTCCTCATTCGTTCGTTTCCTCTTGCCATTGATATCGCACCGTGATTTATTTACACAAATTTATATGCATTTAACTGCGCCTAGTTTTCATGTCGATTGGCTGTTTTTAATGTAAAATCTGGGTCATTCACGCCAAGTTAGTGGCTCATATTTAAATGTCCTTTTAATTTTTATGCCTTCTCAATTCGTAGCAAGTCCTATGCTTACAATTTTAAGTTGAATCACATGCCCCAATGTAATTAAAACAATCTGATTTATTGTTGACAAAACACAACTAAATTTTTTGCTTCTGTATTATGTTCTTAATTTGATTATTTTGTGCGCTTTATTTACTTTCTTTTCTTTTTGACCATTTTTTGCTTTTCGAAGTAGAACAATGAAGAATTATATGTAGAACTGAGACTTTTCCGTGAATACAAATGATTTTTTTGTTTTAAATATACGAATGGAATCGCTTATATCAATATCAAATGATTGTGTGATGAACAGTATTCGCTTTAAAATTGGAATCCACGATTTGGTGTTGTGTTGTTGGTGTTGAATTCGAGTGTGCCTCCAACATCTTTTGGTGCCAAGTTTTCTGCTTCGCCATTCTGAAATTGAACAAAAACCAGTGGTATGTGTGATCAGAAACGGTAGAAAATCGAATGAATGGCAATGGCTGTGCGACAGATAGCAACATGTGTGCATGTGTGACAGTGTGCCGTATGTGAGACTTACATCATTGAAATATGTTTCGATCATGTGCAAAACTTGTTGATACACTTCTTTGTTGTCGTGCTCTTGCAACTGCTCTAGCATGTCGAGTGCACCAATTCCTTCGAATGCCTGTAATGAGAAACCAGAACGAAAAACGGTTACTATTAATGCCCCACCTTAACGCCTCCCCCTGATAAATTCTATTGACTACTCACAATGGAGAATTTTTCCAAAAATCCTCTTTTGTCTGCCAATGCAAACAGATTCTTTAGACCAGATAGAATGACCAGGACACAGCGTGCATCGTTTGATGCCATGAGATCACAGAATGGTTTTAAAACTCCCACCGTATCGATGAGATGGAAGATTTGTTGATCAGTTCCGCTTGATGTTACATTTGTAATCACCCAAGCTGCTTCTTTTTGCGAACGGAATTCGCCACCTTGTAATACTTCGACGATGTCTTCGAACAAACCTTCATCGATGACGTGTTGGATTTGATTTGGATTACCAGCCGTTATGTTGCTAATAGTCCAGGCAGCCTCTTTCACAATATTATTACGTGAGCTTCTGAGCAATTTACGCATGTGCTTCAATGCTCCGGCACCTAAGACTGTGTCAGTCTGTGGAAAGACAGAAGCAAATCGAAACAAGGATTTTTTCAATGAAAAAGGCAGTTCGTTTGCTTTGAAAATATGATTATCCTCTTCAAAATGAGCATAATGAATGATTGTCTCAATTGAATTCGTTTCTTTTTACCTGAGAATCGCTTCCAGTCACAATGTTTCCGACCGAACGTAGAGCTGGTACAACAATCGAGTTCTCGTTGTGATCCAACAATCGCACCAAGCTCGGTACACATCCAGCATCGATAACAGCTTGGATTCGATCCCCGTCCTCATCGGTCACATAGCTAATTGCCCAAGCTGCATCAGCTGATCGAATGAAAAACGAATGCGGTTAATTCAGTTGCAAATGCATGTTTCTCTCCATCTCTCTTCAATGAACGGTTGCGAATTGTATTGAAATGAACACTTACTTAAAATTTGAACATCAGGGTGGCATAGGAACTGAGCTAATGCTGGTAGCATCAATTTGACTTTGTCAGCCGGTGGAGCCGGGTTTTTGTTTCGGCACAAATTCGACATCAACCACACGATGTTTCGCAAGAACGACAGCTGTGTGATCCATTAAGAAAATCAGCCGAATTGTCAATAAAAATTCAGGAAAAAACAGAATGAAACAGATGAATGAGTGTGTTCAACATACCGGTTGATCTTTTCGCAAGATTTCCAGCAAAACTTCAGCTGTGCTGTGCTTCAAAACTTCGTCTCGTGTGAGCGATCCATCACCAGCGATGTTACCCAATGCCCAGACCGACTGTTCCGCCACGTTGATTGAGTCTGACTTCAGTAAATTGACAAATTTCGGTATAGCACCAGCCTTGGCCACTGTCAGTGTCTGTTCCGATGTGCCTGATGCAATGTTTGTCAATGCCCATGCAGCTTCGAATTGTAGATCCGAACTGTTGGAAAAACAATGAACACAGTTTGTTGTGAAGAAATGAAATTCCGACGGAAAAAATCTCCCCGAAAAAATTAATGAAAATCCATTGAAATGTTACCTGGTGGCGTCCAAAAATTGAACACAAATCGGAACAATGCCATGCACAATCAGGCTATCAATCGGTGGATTACGTTCTTGGCTAAGCATTTTACGTGCCGCCTGTGTTGCACGGTGAACCAATGTCGGCTCATCACTTCGCATGTGCACAATGATTTCTTCCAATGACGAGTACAATGGTTGATTGGTTGGTGATGCCGGCGAATTGTGCTCTTTGAGCGGCGACGTAGCATTGACATCAATGTTCCGACGCTTGTTCATTTGGTCATCTTTCTTCGTTTTACGCAATTCAATCGTAACATCGTTACGGCGATTGCGAATGTCCGAAACCGACTTTGAACTATTCTTATAGCTTTTGAGACGATTTTCCATATTCGATTTTTATTGGATTTTCTGGATTCAATTAAAAAAAGACAAATGGTAATTTAGATCAAAGAAAACCATTGGAAATGTTCCGATAAATGCTAATGTTCAATGTATTTCGACGCAATTCTAATTGATATTTGACATAACCTTATCTACGACCAAAAAATACACCTATCTTTATCATCTGAATGCATTGCACTTTTTTTCTGTGAAAATTTCTAAGAAAAATCTATTCAATGAGCTACTATTGAATTGATAACTAATTAGAACTGAGACATGAACAAAAACAGCAATCTGAGCCAAAACAAATCATGTCAAAATCGGAATGAATTGATGGATCCATGATAGACAGCAAAAAAAAGGTGAACTAACGGTGTAAAAAAATGTCGACGCTTCAAATGATGAAAAATGAACAACGAATATGCAGAGTGCACACTCTCCAATTCAATTGGTGTGCAATTGAATTCGTGCAAAAATGACATTTTCCCCCTTTTATTCTCACAATTTTTCCAAAAATCCATAAAATTCATTGAAATATCTTACCTGAGTGTCGACACAAATGAACAAAGATGCAATTAAACTATTTGATTCGATTCAATAAAGAGAAAAAAACTTGCGTTGCGTATGCGATGTGGTTCTGACAAGCACAAAGAACTGAATGTTGGACGATTCGTTAGAAAATTTGAATTGAACAAATTGAACATTTGGTGCAAACGGTTTTCTCGTTGAGTGCCACACAATCAAACATGCGCCGCATACTAACGCAAAACCTGTGTTCTTTTTGTTTCATTCTGACACGGAATTCAATGGGTTACGCATGTGTGTATCGGTATGCGTACCGATTTGGCGCGTCTGTCACTTGTTTCGTTGAGTTTGTGTCGCCATCTGGCTGTCAATTTTCGCAACGCCATCATTTCGAATACGAAATGGATTTTTTTTTCTTGTTTGTAGTTTTTAAGGCTGGATTAAATCATTTTGTTTACCTTTTAAATCATTTAATCAATTTAAAAAATTAAATTGAAATTAAAAACCATCATTTTCTGTGTGTTGACACAATTTATTCGAATATTTTCCATTTACAATTTCAATTTCAATGGATTTCGCCTGTGTGATTATGCTAGAGTAAAAAGATTGCAATACGTTTTCTTTTTTGTACAATAGGACAGTTTCGATTTACGTTATCAACATACAAATAAAATATATATGAAAATCACTTGAAATTGCTGTTCATTTCGATAAAAATTGCACACCGAAAATATTTACAACATTTTGTTTTATAAAATTGCATTGAAAGCAATTCACTTAAACCTCATCATTCCTCTGATTTAGTACAATTTTGTGCAAATAAAGAAAAAAAAATTAAGTCTCTTTACATTCGATAAGATATTTTCGTGTCTAAAAGACTTTCATGACGGCAAAAATGGTTGCACAAATTGAAACCAGAGCAAATGTTGCGGTATTTCCAATGGCACTGTTTATATTGCTGCATTCATATGGTTTGGGTTCTCTCATGACGCGGCAAGCGGCTGTCCGTAGGTCTCTCAATGCAAGCTCGTGCAGTTGTTTGTCGGTTTGCTGGAATAGAGATGGAGAAAATGTAATTTTCACTCAATGTGTCACATGATTCAAAGTGATTTTAGCCGATTTTCTCAATCGAAAATGGACTTACATGATTGAATGTGATGGTTGGCACTTCAGACAGTGGTGGATTCAACTCTTGGGTTCGTACACCGTAGTCTTGTAGTAATTTACTGCCTTCTGTTGTATTGGCACACTCTTCAATCACGTGCCAATTTGGTAGCTGCAAATCTTTTGCGCATTTTGCACCCGGAAAAACGGCATCTTTGAATGTAATCCAAGAATGCATCAAACACGCTACATAGTCTAATGTAAGCGATTCCTTTGTTTTTGAATTCTGATATGAGTTCACCTGCAGAACGGTTGAAGAGAAAGAGAGAAATGGTATATCAGCGAATGTGCAATCTAATGGTTATAAATGTTGATACTTACCTGAATGTGTTGGATGGCACAGGCATGCACTTTGTTGCCGTAGCATTCATTTGGACCATGTTGACAAGTGAATAGCACATCCGCTCCTTCCGTTTTATACTGTTTTCCGTGTTGACCACCATTGAACGAGAGAAAGGGAGACACACACACACACATAGAAAACGAAAGAGAATATTGCAGATCAGTGAACAGATAGGTAATAAATAATTGTGTTGTCTCTCTCATAACGATAATTTGCCACCGTAAAACCGGAAACCATACCAGAACACTACACACACACACAACCAGCCACTGGAAACTTGCATTGAAGTGATGGCCATGCCAAATGGCAAGTAGTAGTTTCCGGTTTTGCCAATCCAAAATTTATGTGCATTTGTTCGAACGATACTTACGGATGCCTTTCCAAATGGGATTAGAGTGACGTCAATGTAACGACCCAACGGGCTGGATTTCACCGGGTGTAATTGGTCGACGATAAATCTTACGCTATCAGGACATAGCGACTCATAATATACAGTCAATGGTACCTATCGAAAGAGAACCGAAATGGAAAAGAAAATAACAATCAACAGATGAAAAATGGATCAACTGAAATAATGTGCTTGTCGACTGTCGGAATTGTTTATCTTTCTAGTGGCAGTCGAGAAATTTGGGCCAATGCAATCAAATTGAATGGTTTGAATGACAAAAAAAAGGAAACAGAAAATAACTTTAGAAAATTAAACACTACAATGGATTAATGTTCTGAAGTTGATCTTCAACGGTTATATGTTAAAACCAACGCATTGACAAACCACAGCAAAATCTATTGTTTTCATTCAATTTTCATTCATGCTAATTGCTTTGCAATATTTAGTTGTTGAATTTGTTTTGCAAAGATCATTTTCGTCAGTAAATATTCAACGAAGACTGCACACAGCTATCGGCTTATCGTTGATGATAAAATATTTACAATGTTTGCATGGCACATGACAGTAAAAGTCATAATTCGGGCTGTAAATTCACGATTGTTCTACATGTCGATTACCATCACTTAATACACTCTTGGGCTTACAAATGAACCATAAACTTTTGCAAAGAAACGTCATTATATGGCTGGCGTTGTGTATTTTCTCGTAGACAACCGAACTTGTTGCCATTTTTATGTCATAAACCAACTAATTAAACAGCGAGACCGAGGTGCCGTGATTGTTGCCTTTGCAGAGTTATTGTGATACATTCAGATAGAGTGGAATATAAAATGTTGCATAATAGAAGGAGAAAATTGTATCTTGTGTTTACTTAATAGATAATTCTTGAATGGAGACTTCCATTGGGATAACCATTCCGGATGAGCAGCTTATGAATAAATTACACGTTGAAAATGATTCTACATGACTGATTACTTTCGACTAACACAATTCTCATGCATCTTAAGCTTCACTTTCTGTTGCATTTCTAACGAAAAGGCGACGCTTCTTCAAGTAAATAAATGAACCCTATTGTTCTGACTGTGTGTAGAAAGTTATTTTGCTTACAATAATGTCGATTGAATGGATTCTAAAATAGTCCCATATTGTGTGGCTATGCAAACAAAATGAACGATTTGTTGGCAAATTCTATTGTTCACGTCTCGCCTCAAACTCAGCCACACCAAATGAGATTCTTGAAACAATGTGTATCGCATCTATTCTTTGGAAATTTGTCCATAGCATTTTCCGATATGGTGAACGCGCGCTATTTATTTGCACAGAATTTACGGCAAATACAGATTTTATATTTATAATTTATATTTGCTACAGTTTATGTGCTGAATGGGGAATATACTGATTGTAAAATGTTTATCTATTTTGGCTGAAAATTCGATTCGTATTGTATGAAACGGGAGGAAGAGTTAACACATTGTGTGTTGTGTTTTGTCCGCCGAAAGTGTAGTGCGGTACGACTGAAGTGTACGGTATTTCCAGGTATTTCGGTATTTTTCCACAGAGTTCTGAACCGTGCATATTGTTGTGTTGTATGAGCGCATGCAGTCTAAATAGATCTATTGTTGTTGTCGTCTGTTTGCTCTAACCACAATCGAATAACAACGCTCGTCAATCTCCATTTGCAAAAGACGGCTATTTGTTTGACTCTCCCTCTCGCACACACTCTCTATCTCCATGTTAAATGAATGTCACAGCTCACTAACGATGCCAAAGTCGAAAAGCAAAAATATACGTAATTAACGTGGTTGCGCTAATGGGCAACAAAGAAATGATTTTTTTTTCGATGCAAGTCAAGATGAAAACAAATAAATTTACACTCAATAGATTCATTTATGGGTTAAAGTATCACAATTTGACCAATTTGCATCCAACAAATACGTGTTTAATGGCAAATATGCCGACTTAGAAAACATTCACTAATTGGTGTCAATGTTCGCGACAAAATAGAATCTATTAAAATCATTGTCTATTTTTGGAAAGCGTATCGGTCATCTGAACAGTACAATTCATTGACGAAAAACAAATTGCACGGAATGAAGATGAATGCATTTTTAATGATATGAATATTTGTGTGAAATTACAGTGATGTGCACGGAAGTGCATGCCCCAAACTATGATCACAAAGAACTTTTCCCGTTTTCATTTCCACTTTTTTTCTCTTCTCTCGCCATTTTATCCAAATGCAAAAGGTAGCTGCCTTTTTTCCCATCGCATTCTAATAATGATTGAGTATGTTTTGTTCACATTTGGTTGTATCGGTGAATGTGTTAGCATTGCCTCCCCCCCTGCCCATCACTTCGTATGTTGACCCAATGCGATTGTGTGTGTATATGCTGCATCACACGAGTGAATTGAGTGGAAAAAGTGAATTTTGTTTTGAACTGTGTTGAAATGCATGACCAACAAACAATGTGGAAACAGAGAAAACCGCTGGCCACTGCATTGAATGCAGTAGTGTATGAGAATCAATAAACGACAGAGAAACATCGGGTAAAACTATTTTCATCCAAATGCTGTCAATAGAAGCAGAAAAAAAGGGCAACTATTCACACTGCCATCGCTCCGAGCTGGGTCAATGAATGAAAAACATTGCTATTGAAATGCAGAAAAATCGATAGCAGCACACAATTCGTTTATATTTGCATGGAGTTCACACTGCCAGTTTTTTCAATGCTCGCTTCTTCATTGGAAGTCTTCATGAATCAAAACACATCACATACACAACCCGACGGGATGGCACAACGCAATCATAGAAAAATCAAAACAAAGAACAATCATAAAATATATGGAAAAAAAAGAAGATTTGCATTTGAAATCCATTTTTCAGGAGATTGGAAAACAAACAACTGCTATTCATGCATTATGATTTATGTGTCTCTTTTTCTTCATGTCTTCCATTCCGGATACACAAAACACTTCAGCTTTGCGTCACATTTATAAGTTTTCTATTTGTGTGCACACTGTGCACAGCACAGCACATAGAACTATTTTCATTTACGTGTTGCACAAATGCGGCAAAAGATTCTTATCATGATTCACATAGAGACCAACTTCTTGGCCACTGAATTTCTCTTTCTCTCTTCATTCACAATTTGCATAACATAGATAACAATGTGATGTGGGTGCAAAATATAGTAATACGACCGACAAAAACAAGAGAGACAATCTGTCTTTTCTTTCTCCACTGACCTTTTCGCTTTGATCCCATAAATTAGTCGTTTGCAAGAGACGGACCAGACCGGCGCACTCAGACAGTGTTAGTATACCAAAAGTGTCTGTTCTTAATTAAGCAGCCACACAGTCATTTAAAAAGTGCCAAATAATTAATAGACGCTACCATTGTTAATTGATCAATAATAATAATTAATAGCTCTTTCGGTTCTAATCAATTCAACTTAATCATTCATTGTTTTGTTTATTTTGAGTACATTGAAGAGACGCACAAAAAATTATTCAAATCACGAGTGCCAAAAAGAGTACTATCGCATTCGAACAAAAAAAAACAACACATTTGCTGGAATTTCACGGACAATAAATATTGTTGCAACTTTTTTTTTCTTTCTCCAGAATTCGAATGTTGTTTCCAATTATTGCAAGTTATCAGATTTATTATTTTACATTTCATAGAGATTATTTTGATTTGATATAAAACATTCATTGTTACTCGAATTGCATCGGTCATGACCAAATAATAGCATTTTATTTTTAGCCAGACCCCTTCACATTGACGTGAGTACAACAATCACTATTATTTGGTTCAAACTCTGCCTATCATTTTGAATGAATAGCTTTTAGTGACCGGCAAAAAATGAACCATGCATAGATTCCGTCATGTTTCGCAATACTTTGTACAAGAGTGAAATGGGTTGAAGGTGCGAACGAAATTTCTCTGTTTGAATTCAAACAATATTTTGCATTCAAAGACCATCCCATTTTGTTAATTTGAAATCCGTGAAAATGGCATGCAATGCTCCATTTGAAATCAAAGAAAACGTATTGCATTCAGCGTGGCTTCGTTTCGGTTTTCATAAATGACATTCGTTTGCGAGTGCTAAAATTCATAGCGACATGAAAGAAATTTCGATGGTTTTCATTAGCATGTCACGTTCACATCAAAGTGTTTTATGTAAACGAATTTGCACGATTTGAAACGTTATCGATATTTGATTTCGGCTATAAAACGATTTACAGCGGTTTTTTCCTACTGTTGTTCGATCAATGTGTAAAATTCATATTTTAGTTGCTGATTGGGCCAGGCGTCATTTATGACGACCACATCAGATAGCTAATGCACAATGTTTCACTCTCGCAGCAACAACGCAGCACATTTTGCTACGAATTATTCGAACGTATATTTCACCACGTGACACTGATTATTATTTATTGCATTGATGATGTAGCAGAAATGATCGGTTTTGATTTACGGACGCAATCACTTAAATCTAGTTATATGTGTTCGTGGATTGTTTGAGCCAAAACACTTTTCGTGGACACAATATGAATGCTTTTTGCAGAGTTTTGAATATTTCATAATGTGCCATGGTCAATATCAGCACGGCAAAAAGTATATGCATGAAGACACAAGACACAAATGACGAATCATTACCAATTACATCGTTTGAAATAGGTTGTTATGAGACAAAGCAAAAAAGAATCAAATGAATTTAAAGAAAGATCGGGTTAACTAGGGAGAAGGGGATTCAATCGTTTTGAGTTTAAATGAATTGAGTCGACATTTATATCACCTATGACTGAAGCAATTTCATAAGGAATAATATTTTATTCAAATATGCATCACAATGACTGAAGTTGATTTAAACTGCCGATAAATGCTTTGTTTGACATTAAATGAATAATTTTTATATGTGAATTGTAGCATGTGATACAATTTAGATATCATATTATTCATTTCCATATTTTTTCAAAAGTGAATTCACAACAACATAAAATTATGATTGCAGTTGTAATTCCGTAAACGATAACGCATTTAATTCGACGCATTCCGTCGAACATGCCATTAAATTTGTCTTTTTTAATAGAATGTTATTCATTCAGTTGTATTTCCTAAACGAAAAAAAACTATGCGACTGTCAATGTTTTCCCCATATAATTTGGAATCTGTGTTGTGCCGACATCGAAAATTGAGAAATAAACATGGCCACGACAACTCGCTAGATATGGTAAGAATATGTTAAGCGAATTCAGAGGAATGACTATTGCGACAAAACACGAAACCAAATCGTCGTTTCATTTTCGAGCAGTTCAATGGCCCCCTCAAGCGAATGGTAAAAACATTAAATCACATGTCCAATGCCCATTGTGTAACATACAAAATATGCGGCTGACCGAATACGCAGTGAGAGCGTTGCTCGTAAGTATCACACGGAGCATAGAGAGATAGAGGTGAGACTGTCAAAGCGAGCGCCGTCAAGCATTAAAATGAGCTACACTGATGAGAACGAGAGAAAACACATAAATTGCGCTACAATGGAGAATCGAATGAAAAAAGAGCGAACTTGGATCGGGAGAAGAAGAAAAAAAAAACTAAAAGCAAAACTTACATACAATGCATCACACACCGTGTATGTGTTTGAAACCACAATAGTTAATAGGTATTAAGTTTATACTGAATCGCTACCAACGCCCATTGCATTTAAACGTGGTAGCGAGAAAACAAAATTGTTGTATTCATGTCGATAATTGTGTTTCAATTAAAAAGGCTATGCATCACACACACACATTCCGTATGCATATTTATGATGATTTTAAGCAAAAGTTGATCTTTGAAAAATCCACATTTCCTTCTCAGATATCTAGTTGAATCTTCAATTGATGCATAATCTCATTAATTCCACAATAAGCACTTGATTCCAATTAGTTTTTTGAACTTCAGAAAATGCCAATAATAGATCAAGAACCAATTAACAGAACGTTCTTCTTTGATGGTTTTGGCTTTTTGCGAATTTTTCACATCGTTCCATTTGCGTAGCAGAAGCATAAAAATACAATAACTCAATTATTTCGTTCTAAATCGTCGCTCTCTGTTTTTTTCTCTTTGCTCTGGCATGTTCATGGCCAATTGAATGAGAAGATGAAGACTCATGTTTGTTGAAATAAATCAAAAACAACTTGAAAAATACACTGTTTGACTCTGTGAATTTGGCGAGAGTGCAAAACAAAAAAATACGATTCTGATAGAAAAGTCATTCTTTTCGAAAAGACCGGTCTTCCCAAGCAAGTAAAGAAAAGAAATCTGCGTTCGTCTCTAAATTCAGTTGTTTATTTGTTACCATGAAATCGACTGATGAGTAATCGTTTTGAATACATCAGCGAACAGATGCGCCATCATGCGATATTGATTTAAATCTGAATAATTTGTTATTAATAGAAAGGAGTAAAAAAATAAGCCAGTTTACCCCAATTGCACTGCAAACAGCCACTAGCGCACACAATCCAACTAATTTGACCAACATTTTTGTCTGATTATTTGCAGTAACTATCGAAATAAAAATTGAAATTCTTCCGTCAAAAACTGTTTCACTCGTAACAAAGAGCCAAACGAAATTTAATATAAACGGAACTATGCACCAAAATGAGGAATAAAAACTAACGTTGAAATGCTCTAAAGTGTCTGTGTGTGTCTGTTTCTGAATTTAAAAAAAAAGGTATGAGCGAAAAGTTTGAAGCTTGTAACACGTTCCAAATTCAATTCACAACTGAACTCGAAAAAGAATGAATAATTTGAATTCTCGCTTTTACCACACTACCTCTCTCTCACTCTTTTTCATTCACTAACGCTCGTTCGTTCGTTTTGTACGTGAGCGAGTTCATAGTGTAGCGTAGCTTTGTCGGTTGCGTGTGTATTGGCGCACAATACAATCGACTGAGTTTGTTTTTCGATTTTGTTTTGATATTCATTTTCTGCTCGGTAACTATGCAGCGGTTACTAATACAAACAAAGCACGCGCCATACACACAGGCCTAAGTCAAATTAGTGCACATCATCATCGCCATGCCTATGAGTGTCGTACGCTTATAGGAATGTCTCCAGAGCAGTTGAAGTATGAGCCAAAAAACAGGTTTCTCATTCAACGATGTTGTTTTTCTTTCTCTTGCTGCTGTTTGTGGCGTGTGTATGTGTGTTCGTGTGTGTTTGTGTATTGGTATTTGGGTTCGTGTTCTGATGTATTAACATGAAACGCTGTTTTGTTATGCGGAATATTGCTAGGTGCATGTTTATAACATACAAACCAGCGCCCAATATGTCAATGGGCTGTTTTCACACATATGTTTTTGTGTGCTTTTCTGAAGAAAATGGTTTTGTTGATCTTGGCCGATATTATGTAATCGATGGCCTGTGACATCATCGCTCCAAAACACATGCAAACAGTCATTCCAAACTCTACCGTCTTATTGTCTGTTTATCGATTTTATTCGCTCCCTTCAATATGTCAACAAACTGTGTAGGGGAAAACATCAAACATGTGGAATATTTTTAGATAAGTAGTCATCTCAGCGATGAAAGATTTTTGCCGGAGAAAATCCATTTGAATAACATGAGATTACACCACCATTTACAGGTTGGCAACGACACAAATTGTGCAGTAACTATGCATGCGTGCTGGAGAATGAAAATATTTTGATTGAAGGTATTAAAAAAGTTTTTTTGCTGAAAAGAAAAGCGAGAACGATGCTATCGAAATTTTGTGTTTGCAATTTACATTGATCAAACATGAGTGTCTACGATTACGTTGATTCGAATCACTGAAGCTGAATTTCACGTCGGTACAAGTCCAACCATGTGTCTAGCAATGCATATATGATAACCGACCGGGTACCATTTCTCTCTCTCTCTCTCTCTCTCTCTCTCTCTCCGAAACACGCACACATTGTGGAACAATGTGTTTTGCATAGCTTTTGTGGGATTTAAATGGGCAACACATGCATCGAATAGCAAAAATCTACTTAAAAACTTGTAACATTTTGCCTATTCTACAGCGGTAATGCACGCACGTATGCTCAACTTTTACCTTAATTTCTCTACTTTGTGCTTTTTTTCCTGTTCCTGCAAAGTATTATTTAATAAACACATTGTTAAAATTCCCAAAGGCGCATATGGGGCATCGTATGTTCCATGTCAACTGTGTGCAGCATGTATGCATGTACTGCATCACCATCTATTGTTCTCAATTCCGTGCTCTTTGTGATGGTCATTACCTGCCCGGCCACACATCAGCTTTCAACCAAGCTAGCCAGATTGCAAAATTAGACGTAAGCGTTGAATTGTCAAGTTGTAAATTCAATAAAATGCAAAAAGTTGAAAGACTCGATGGAATTAGAAAAATGAATGTGCTACGTGTTGATACGAGTAAATTGAACGTGGTTCAGTAGTCGATTACGTGCGATGAAATTCCACTGATTTCAACAGCATTCATTTTGGCTCTACTATACTTACCTCTGTCTGTTCTCCCACTCTGTCTCTTGCTCCGATTGCAATCGGCATTGTGTGTATTCAGCATTTTACAAACCAATTCAGTTAAAATAAATAGATTTCATCGTGTTTTGTGATTAAAAACGAACGGTCTTGTTTTCAGTATAGAAGTTTTCTGCTATTTTTGAACCAGAGATTTATTTTAAATGAGATTTTCATTCCGAATCCCAATAGCGAAAGTATGAATATGAGAAAGGGAGAGAGAGCGAAAACACTGCTTCAATCGCTTATTCAATTCCCACTTGAGTCACGTTTTAATGCATTTCATGGTGCATTTAAAATCACAACGCAATGCAACGAATTAAGTTCGGCAAATGTTCTTAATTCGTGTTGCACAATAAACAAATCTATTTTACCCCTTTTATGTTAAAATAAATATTTAACATTCGGCCACTTGACCAATCGTTGATTTTTATTTACTCCGACTGCAGCTTCCAACAGATCGAATTCGATAATTTATTTCTTTGAACGTTTCGACTTGGCTGAGTTGTGAACTTCACATGAGAATCATCCATATCAAACAACGCTCTTGTTAGAAGACTGCAAATAAAAACATTCAAATACTTACCCAAAATAAAATCTTTTACCTCGATTTTCGAATAATCATTCCCATTAATAGAAAATAAAAAGTCATTTCATTATTTCTAAAGAATGTTGATCGAAAATTTTATGTTCATTTTTGGAAAAAGATGTATATTTTACACAAGAAACACTCAAGAATTATGGCTAGAAATGTTCTTTCGATTAGTCGATAGATTGATGTTGCTGTCATATTTAGTAAATGTTCAATTTTTTTATGTTTGATTTTCATCGTTTTTTCTCGTAACTCAACATTTTCTCTCTTATTTCATACTTTCCTTGTTCATTCGTTTAATTCCTAAGCTAATGGAATTTGTAGTCCTTAACATTTAAATTGGAACATAGAAATGATACAATATGTATAAACATTAAACATTTTGTTTGTTTTTTGGTTGGTTTTGTCTTTTGTTCTGCGCATCTCTTACATTTGATTGTGTTTTAATTACATCGATTTGGTTTTTGGCTATTTTCATATCAATTCATTTTCCATCTTCTTCTTCTTCTTCTTTTGATAGAGTTTATTTACAATATTAACGTTGATAAATACAATCATTTCATTTACAAAAAAAAAAATAAAAAACTCTTTTAAAAAACAATTGGTGTTAGAAAACAAATAAAAAAATCGTTGAGTTTTGATAGGTTTTTAGAATAATAATACTATGATGTTATGATGTTTCTACTGGAGATTTGTATCGACTTATGTACTTGCATTAGGTGATTAGAACAAATCACAAAAAATGTGTATTTTTTTAAATTGGCTGTTTTGGTCAAACAGAAATTTGGACTTGTAGTTACTCTTGAGTTAAGAGTTTTGACCTAATTGATAGTATCGCATCTGTCCATCGAAAATTATGGAAAAACATAAAACATCATACTTTCAATGAAGTGATGCTGTCATTTTTAAGAACGAGAAAATGGTGATTCAAAACCAATTTGTTACAATTTCGTTTTTTTTTATATGAACCCAATTTTTTACCATGTAGTCTGGGTATCGTTTGCATGAAATTTAATGATAAAACAAAGCAAAGCTCAAAGAGAGCTCAAATTAATTTCCATTCATCGAAAAAACAGTCGATAGTATCTATACACATATATCGATATTTCAAACACACTATGGGCAATATTCATTGAACACTGAACTCGTTGAAGAGAATCAAGTCATTGGGGGATTGATTTTGGGTTCCCAAGTGTCGACTGTACATATATTTTTTGCGTTGTCCAAATTATGCGCAAATAACGCTCATCTTATGCGATACATTGATTTGTAACCGTAACCGAAAAAATATAATTGATAAATGGATCGAATCAATTTGATGCTTCCGTCTGCAATGAAGCGTTTGATTGGATTCAATTACTCTTATAAATGCAATAAAAAAAATTATAAAGAGAACAACAAATAAATCACAAATTTAATTCCTAGTGGGTATTAATGTGGTCAATGTTTGAATCATTTGGTTGTTTTTTCAATCATTTCCATTATTATTCATTCATTTTCTCCAATTCAATTTTATTTTTGCCGCTGGCCAATAAAACTCAGAGACAGAAACCAGATCATCACTTTGATAAAGTATTTTTTTTTAAAATAAAAGCAAAAAAACAAAACTTGAACAGAAAAAATCAAAATCAACAGTTTGAGCGTATTGGTTTTAAATATTGAAAACTTTGATTGGATATATTAAAAAGAGGGGTTAGATGAGATGTGGCGAAATGCCAACGGAAAAGTATGTGTGTTTGTTCATGTTAACTTTGATATCAATGATATAGCCTTACTATAGAATATAACTCCAAATTAAAAGGGAAAAAAATTCGTTTGGATTAGTATTATGGAAATGGTATGGTCTTTCTCTCCTTGCTTCACTTAACGAATAAGGTAGTGGTATTTTATACATTCAATCTGGAAATTGGAAATTGTTTTCGCTATCTTTTTTTTCAGTGTATCGGAATAAATTCAATTAGAATAATCCTATCTAAATGTTAAATGATCGATTCACCCACTTGGATGTGGACGATACGGAACAGAAAAAAATATGAACATTGTTGAATGTTTTCAATAGAAAAAACACTAACCTGAAACCGAAAAGAAAGGAAAAACGAAATCTGTACAGTTTTAGTTATTTCGATTTGATGTCGTTGATTACAAATCTTCGGCTTCTTCTTCGAGAATGACTTCGTGCACGCTTAAATTGTGCGCTAGCAACGGTGGTGGTGGCGGTTGTGCTGGAGCGGTTGATGCGGGTGGTGGCGGTGCGGGTGGAATTTCAGCCATGCGATTCAACAGATAATCCAAATCGTGTGAGATTCGGTCGAGCATGCCGTCAATAGTTTTGTCCGTATCGTCAGTTGGCGTGACGGTTATCGTTGGTGGCGCGTTGACCGTTAGCTTAGCTGTGCTTGATGGTTGCGGATCGACCGCATGTACATTCGCTGACTCTAATATCTTTTGGCCCGATTTCTCATGATTCTTATCGAATAGCAATTGATTTTGATTGACATACGAATGCAAACCACTGCCACCATCGCCGACCGTCACATTCGATGTGGATGGAGCCAACGTTGATAAATTGCTGCCATTTATATCGGGATTAACCATTTGATCGTTCACATTATAATTACTACGGATGCCTATTACGCTATCTGTAACGAAATAACCAAGTGAAACACAGAGAAGGAAAAATAAACGGAATATGTTAGCATCGAAAAATCAACAATAAATGCGAAGCAATGGATTGAAGACCGTAAAGGTCGTAACATGACTTTTTGGTGTTATGTCAATATGAAATGGGATGATTTCGCGGAGCGTATGAATACACAAAAACGGCGTGTGCGTTCAATTTTATATGTTATAGTGCATAAAAACAATCAGCACGATGAGACTGTAAATTTTGATGAGATGTAAATCAGTTGCGGAGCATGTGTATACGTATGTATATGTGGGTTTCATTTTGGGGTAGAGGAGGTTTTGTACTTGGATGCTACACTGACCTTGTCTTACGCCTTGTAAAATGTCTAAACTGCCAACACCAACGAAATCGTTAGTATCGCTTAAATAGCATTTTCCTTGTGATGGCTTACAACTGCTGCCATATAAACTTAAATCCGTTGGTACGATTTCCATTTCATAGCCGTTGGCATCCAACAGCGATGGATACTGTGATGGTTGGTTCGATAGCGTCTGTTGCTGCTGCTGTTGTTGGTGGTGCTGAAGCTGTTGCTGTTGCTGATTTGGATGTTGTTTGAATTCGATAAAATTTACATCTAAATTGGCCGACGGATCGTTTAATTCTAAAAATGTTGTTTCACATAAACCACCAGTTGTTATGTACGGATCAGTAATATTTGTTGTCGTTTGTAAGCGATCCAATGGATATCGTCGCGTTGTTATTGCTAACGGTAATTTCTTTGTTGATGATTGTGTCGATGGCACTGAACAATCATTCTCCTTTTCTATTTCATGATTTGTATAAACTGCATCCGATCGAAATGACGAGCGCCAAGAGGAAGAGAAGAGAAGAAAAAAATAAAAACAAAAATCAAATACAAATTGAGAAGAAGTAAAGCGTGCAAGAAAAAACAATCGAAACATTTATATGTGTGTGTTTATGTGCTATTTTCATGAGCTACTTTTTAAAACATTTTATTTGAATCGCATTACGCTCGATTCGAAAACCATTCGTGGGGTGTGATTGGATTATACGAAATTTTCAACATCAAAGTGATACGGAAATGTTACTTACAGTTCAGAGGACTATTGATTGATCCCGAACAATAGTCTTCGATAATTTGTTTGCTGTTACTTTTGTTCAGTGCATCCGATTTCAGTTTCGTTTCAGCTTTTATAACAAAGCAAAACAGTAAAGTGAAACCCTGTCGAGGAGATAGAGAGAGAGAGAGAGAAAAAGCATTCGTTTTAAAATCCATCGCAAACAATACAGCTATGTTCCGCCGTGAAACTAGGAAAAGTCTCCGGCTTAATTTTATGTCAAATGTTAAAGCGATGGAAACACGCTCGTCGGCGGAGAAAAGAAAAAAACCGGCACCTGATGTGAGAACGAGAAGAAAAAAAACGATAACATGTCGTTCAAATGTCTGGATCGTTTTATTCTTTGTTTGTCAAATCCTGTTTGATATGTGAACATTTAAAATTTTCTTGACGGCATTCCTTTTCGTTCATGCATTCTTTGTCGTTCGCTTGCATTCTTGAGTCGAACATTCTCATGGGAAATTGCGACATTTCCGGGAATCCGATGCTAACAACGAAACTTGAAAAGGCTTTTGTCTGTTCGATTTTTGGTCTTTACCATCGCTTTTCCTGCTGTCGTTATCATTTTCCGATAAATTATTCACAATGAACATATTCTCCGAGCTCTCACACGATCACACAAAGAAACGGAGAGTGAGAGAGATACAAAGCAGGAGCAAAAAAAAAATATCGAAACTAGTGAGCGCATAGAGACAACTTGTATTGAATGAAAGTTTAACGAAATGCTGAATAGGTCGTTTTATGATACCTCCTACTTGTAGAGCCGTGTTTATTATTCATGCAAAGTACTCGGTTCATAATATTATTGTGAACGTTGCAAGGATCGGGGATGAGAACGAGCAAGCAAGCGACCGAGAGAGAATGAGAGAGAGTACGAGAGAATGCAAGCAAAACAACGGTTTTGTCGTGTAAAACAAAATATGAAAATGTTGAAGTTTCCATTATACCCATTTATTTTTGTTCATTTTCAGTTGGATATACTTTAGTTAGCATAACATAAATGCTGCGTGCATATAGTTGGCAATGACATGGTACAACAATTTTTGTAATATTGTTCATGTACAAATATTTGCTGAGAATGAAAAGCGGAGAATGAAAATTGAAAGCGATATTCTGTCGGTTTCATTTGCAGTGGAACGAACACAAACCAACAAACCAGCTTAATTATTTGACTTGGAATTTTGAGGTTTTCCCATCTGCTTCCTCATTTCATTTTAATCCACACACACACACACACACAAACACACGAAAATACGTGTGCTGTGTACCGAGGTGAATGTTACCGAATATTTTGTTAAATCAAACACAAAAGCAACTTACCAAACAGATACACAGTGCACCGAAAATATAGCTAAATAAAATTTCATTGGAATTGGAATACATTAAATACAGAATATCCGTTGATATTTTTAATACTAGAAGACATGTGATTCGATAGACGAGTCCAATTCTGGAAAATATAACATTTAAATTGGGTCATTCACAATGTTGAAGGTAAATTTTCGTAAAAAAAACAAAAACAATTTGACATTGATATGGAAAATGTTACCGTTTTGTTATGAGGATCCCGTGTTTGTCATGTTTTTTGGCTAAATAGCTGAGCTTATGCACCAATGTATAGAATAATAACGAAAATAATATCACAAATAGAGTTTCGATGATGACAAACAATGCGAAACCGATCGTATTCACTGTCATCCACCAGTTGAGTGGCCATTCGTCCATCACCGTGTATATGAGTAATGTGGTGATCGCATACAAAATGGGCATAAACCAACTGAGACCAATAGCACCACGCATACCGGACGATAAATGCGCGGTTGGACTTTTTCGTGGACCCAACTCTGAGTCGATGACCATCGTTATGGCAATCAATGTTGACGAGCCTAACAACAAAATTCCGCCCAATGTTGAACTAATGACGCCATACCAGTGCTGCAATGGAAAATGAAACAAACAAACAACAAAACTTGTTAGTGATAGGAGGTAAAAATGGCGCTCGTTTTATTTTGCGCCGCAACATTTTGCCCGTAATATAATGCGATGAATGGCAAACAGAAACATTAACAATTCACTTCAGTTATTTTCACAAAATTGTTTATGTGATTTAATTAAAAGTTTTTTTTAGACCCTCAACCATGGTTGAAAATGTGCTCACTTCAAATTATGGTACATAGATTTTGATTTTTGGGCAACAGTTTAAAATTATGAAAATGTTAGCCACCACATAAATTTTAAACTCAAACAAAAAAAAATGTACATTTTTTACTGTCCGTCAATTTTTGTAGCGATGTAGTATTTACTCAAACTGGCAATTAATTTGGATTTAATCTCGAGATTGGCCAAGAGTTGAGCAAATTTGTTCTTGAAGGGAAGATTTGCGAATGCAGGACAATGAAATATAAAAACAAAATCCAACAAAAGAATGGCTTTATTTGCTCAAGGTGAATCATAATGTCCAAAGAACAAATGGCGACTTCAATTATTTGCCTTTTCGAGAAAGAAATGAGTCTTTGTGAGCATGTTCACGAAAAAAGAAAGAATGGAGAGCTTTCTTACTTTGATCAATTACTCATTTTACATTCATTAAATAGAAAGCATGGCTTTTCTCTCCCGTGGTGGCTTTTCAACAAACGAGCGAAATTCACAGTTTCATTATACTCGGCACAATTTCATTTGGTTGTAAAGTGCACTCATTGTGACCGGAGAGAGAGAGAGAGAGCTAGAGAGTGGAAGAGATGGAGATAGCGAACGAAAGAGCGTTGGGAGGAGCAGAAGTGCTTGCATTTGCATTTTGCTTAAATAATAAAGTGCAACTTTTGAAAATGCTCAACCTCGAAAAGTAACGGAACAGCTGAAAAAATATGTAATTATGATGAAGACTCTCATGCTAACTAAACTATCTCAGTTTATTATTATGGCTGTTCTTTGTATCGTTTGGCCGTCAACAACACAATCACTTCGATGTCGGCGAAGGAAGGCTTTTATCATAAAGACTATGTCATTATAAACGAACTGGCATGGATTTTGTTCGTAGCAGCAGCGAACAGAAAAAGGGAAGAAAAGCACACTCACACTCACACACACAGCGAGAGAGAGAGAGAGAGAGAGAGAGAGAGAGAGAGAGAGAGCGCACACGACACGAAAACGCCGCAATTCCAGTTTGAGTCCTATAATTCTGCTGATATTGTTTCCGCATAATTTTACTTGTTCTATTTGAACATCATCATCGTGGCGAAATGCGTTTTATGTTGTGTTTTTCTCCGTAGCACGCTACCAAAAGCCCATAAGAACGTCATACTTTTATTTTTCTACTTTTGCAATTATAAACATCGCTTTTCCATCTCTCTCCGTCTCTTTCTCTCTCCCTCTCTCCCTCTATCGCACTCTGTTTGGTTTTCTCACTGATTTTTCGTGCACATTCAGCAAATCTCCAAGCGCTTTTATATTGTTTCGCTTGTACTTTCAAAGCGTTTTTTTTTCAGTGTGTTTGTTGCTTTCGATTTGGGTTGTTTTTCCCTCAACCGTTTTGCTGCATCTGCCGAGACAAACAATACCAAACTCCATTGTTTTCATCTTAACAGTTAACAAGTGATTTTAATAATAATAGGAAAGAAAAAAAAACGAAGCGTTTGTGGAGAAAAGTCGGCCCGAATATGGAGTGTCGATGTCTCGATGACTGAAACGGAACGAATCGTACAACAATAGGGAATTCTCTCATTTTCCCAGCAAACAAGCAACGCATCAAGTGAAATGAATACACGAATTCAAGACAAAAATGCAAAAAAAAAAAACTTTTTAAATTAAAACGTAATTGCTTACATACTCAAAAGAAGTTTTTCTGCCTCTGTCGGTTGCCGATTCATCGTAGCCTTGATGTTTTCAACAAGCGTTCATTTGTTTGTATAGGCTTTGTTTTTGAATTGTATTAAGTAAAGATTCTGTTGTGTGTTTTAAATGAAAAACCCGCTCAATTCTATTACAACATTGCAATTGTTTGTATGTCTGTTTTAACGCACGTGACGCCTGTTAACATTCACACGACGGCAAAGAAAAGTCGATTTGACAAACTGGTGTGAATAAAAAAAACTCGTGTGAAAAGCCGACTTTGTAGCCATGCATAAAGGCGTGCGTTTTAATTTGGAAAAAGGATAATAGCCTCGTGTCTTAATATAAAAGCAATAAAGACGAAGCAAACACTCACAACCGGATGCACTGCGATACTGCAGACGATGGTAATAAACTTTGCATTCGGTCATGCGGTACCCATTTATGTTATAATTAAACGCCATGGGGTTCACCAATCAGATGGGTTAATGCCACGACGATGCTACACACCGACGAAGATGACCGTTAACAAGAAACCATTAAAAGGGGCTAGAGCATACATAAAAAAGAACTTGAAGTGGATTTCGTATTCAGTTTCACATCCTCGACACATAAACGAGGTCAAGTTTAGTTTCAACATTCCATTCTCATTATGCGACATGCTCGTCGTACAAATCCCCGTATGTTGTCGGTATCTATGGTGGATTATCACCGGCATTTCGCTTCAACATCTTCATAAAACAGACACATTTCTTGTCGGTATGAAAAACTCGCAAGAAAAATGTCTCTCCTCTGAAAAAATTCAACACTTTTTTTTTGTTGAGGATTAAAGTGAAAGAAAAAATGGCGCGAGTAACAATCACATTCCAAAGGGATTTTTTCTCAATTAATTCCGGCGGAAAATGCGGCAAAATTCATTTGATTTTCTGTTTTTTCCGTCTCAGCCAAATGGGTTACATTTATTCTACTTATCTGCTCATCAAAGTGCAATTCCTTCTTTGATGATGGCTTTTGTGTCTGTGTTTTTCTTCTCTACAAATCCGCTCGAATATTTTTCTCTCGCACAGTTTACAAAAGAAAAAAAATCAAAGGAAATTAGCGTCGTATGTAACGCGTGAACGGTTTTATTTTCTTGTTTGGTTTATTCGTTGCTATTGTTTGGGGTCCATTTTAAATTGTTTTTTAGCCGTAAGGCAAACACACTGTGTTTTCTATTAGGCTTATTAAAATGTAACCGGCTAATGTTGCAACACACGCATTTTTTCGCCATCACTTCACTGTGTTTGAGGGGGAATAGACTATTTCGAATAGTGTTTCTATTCCAAATGCGAGAGCTTTTGCTGATGTTTTTAGATGCAAAGGGAACACAGCGTTGCTGTGAGTGCATGGCTCATGGCTAAAACCGTTACATAATGTAATTTTATATGGTTTGCTAGCACAAAGGAACACCATTTTATAATGAACATACTGAACGCCGCCCAGTGCTGACATTACTGACTTTTATTGAAATACTTGTCTCTCGCTGGCCGGCTGACTGGCACACTTACATGTATATTGTACATATACATGTCTGCATGTGTGTGTGTGTGCTCTTAATGACGATACAATTTCAAACAGACACCAACAATTCGCTACAGTCACATTCACTTGAAACACCTCTCCAACATGATTCTAGGTTATTGAATTGAAAATGTGCTTCTGTTTCAAATAGAACATGATTTTCGCCCAGCAAAAACCATTCGTTTTTTTTTTAAATAAAAGGAAATGCCAAATTAAATGAAAACCCGGAAAAAGACACCCAGAGTTGACAAATAATTAGATTTCAACGCGATTGCTGTAAATTAGAACGACGCTGACAGTGGCTCAAAGTGTCCGTGATTTTTTTTTCTTTTCTTTCCGAATACAATTTTTTGAACGAAAATTTAATTTCGTCGAGAAAAAAATGACGACAAAAACGAAAATCAGGGAAAAGAAAAAACAATGAAAAAAGCATATTTCTCTCTCAAAACAATGGGAATAGTGTTAAATTTCATGGTTTCATTAGAAATGCTACCAATAAAATGTGAAGCTCATTATCATTTTCCAAAACGCTTCTCTCGACACATTCCATTGAATCCATTGAAATGATGGTGACAATGAGTAAATATCATTTCGTTCGTTTTATAATAATATTTTCAATTGAAGCATGCGTCCATCCATTTTCAATGATTGGTGAATGTAGATTTAATTTGGTTTTCCGTAAAATAGCATTCGAATTGTTAATATTTAAATTGAAATTTTGAAATTTATTCTTATGATAAGCTCAATGTTAACTGTATACTATTTTAAATAAAATGTTTTACCATGTAAAACGAACTTTTCCGCACATTTTCGGTAGAATGTAAAATATAGATCACTTGGATAGAATGTTGCAATTGTTCTTATTTTAAAGTATGTTTGGATTTTTATGGAGATCAGTATGGCTTTGAATTTTTTTTCAATCATTGGATTTGGGATATTTGAGAAAGTCAGTCGTGAATGATGAAAAATAGTGTTAACTTGAATATGATAGATAGATATAGTGTCCATGTCCACTTCCATTTCCATTCTAAAACTCTATGACTAACATGCCAACTATTTATTTATTTATTTATTTATTATTTATTTGATCCGGTGATAAAATCTGCATAAATTAAATTATGCGTGCAATGATTTTATCACATGCTGCCTTAAGGCCAATTACATTTTTCTTAAATCTATGACATGATTCTTTTAATAGGATTTTCCATGTTCAATAAATAGCTTTTTAGTAACGTTTTAAATTCATCCGTATCATTAATATTTCGTATAAAATCAGGTAACTTGTTCCAAAGACTAGGACTATTCATATAAAAAAAATGCAGTTAAGTGATGTTACCATAACCATGAAGGACCCGGATGGTATTTATGTTCATCTTCGTTCCAAGACCTTTCATATGATACCCATATTGACTATACTTATGTAGAAATGGTATGAAGTCCATCATGGTCACCATGATGGACGGATATGGTGTCCTTGTCCACGCCCATTTTAAAACCTTTCATATGACACCCATGTCAACTATTCATATAAAAAAATGGTGTTAAGT